TCAGTCTAGGATCACGCGCTGCCGCCGGCTACTGTCTCTGTGCCTTCAGTACCCTTCATTCTAGAATGTTCTTTTGTGCCAGCGACTTGAAGAGGCCAGGGCCGCTGTGCCGTGGGTCATTCCCCCAATCTGGATTGGTCTGTTTCTCGGTGATGGGACCCAGGCTGAGCATTTCTGGCAAGTGGCTGCCTTGGCGACTGTGTCCCCATGGGAGCAGGTCCTGTGGACTCTCAGGTTTTTTGCACATGGAGCAGAGATGAGAATTCTTGCACGTTCGTCTTGGCACCGAGCGCAAATAGACCTGTGAGAGCTATTCCCGGAGGTGCAGGTGGCAGATCGCTGCCCCGGTGGCCGCCCGCGCACACCTTTCAGGGGCGGAGGGTTGGCACAGGAGCCCCGCGTCCCTGTCCCCACTGAGCCAGCACAGGGCAGCATCCGTCTTTCTCATGTGCCAAGCTGACGGGAGGGGCACCTCCCTGCTTTAATCTGTGGGGCGCTGGGGTGCCCGAGAGCGTTTCCCTGCGTTTCCAGGCCACCGGTGCTGCGGCGTGAACTTCCGGTTCCCTCCTCCGCTCACTTTCCTGTGGTGCTGCCGGGGTCAGGAGGCGGGTGGGTGGGGGACCACGTTCCGTCCCGCAGGACGAGGAGCCGCTCCTGCTCCGAGTGTGGGGGGCTTTGCCGCCGCCGCTGGGGCCCGCGAGGGGGCAGGACCCGGGCAGGGGTGTGCAGGTGTGTTGCTGAGCACAGAAGGCAGGTGGGCGGGGAGCAGGGGGAAATCTCTAAACAGGACCCAGAAACTCCATCCCCTGCTGCCCTTCTCTCTCATGGGCTGAGTTCCTGGCTCACTCCGCTCTGGGGGCACCTGAGACCCCACAAATAAAATCAGACAGAACTCCTGCTCTCTGTGAGTGGGAACCCCACCCCCGACCCCTGGCCTCTCTGCAGCCCCCTCTTGCTCTTGGCTCCTCCAGGCCTGGGGTCAGCACCCCTGCCGACCCTCTGCTGGACTCGTTCTGTCCCCTCTTTAGCTTTTCTCAGCCTGCAAAGGGCAGTGTCACTGTCACCTCCTCCACGAGGGCCTTTGTCCGCTTCCCACACCCAGCCCAGCAGCCGTGGAAGCTGCTTCTCTGTCTTCTCCCTGTCCCAGCTCGTCACGGTCCGGTTTGCGCGCTGACTGGTTTCCCTGGCGGTGCTGCCACGAGCCCGCCTGCCCCATGGGGCACAGGGCCCCTGGGACCTCAGAATGCAGCCCCATTCAGAAACAGGGTCCTTGCCAAGGTAGCTCGTTCAGATGGCGTCACAGTGGAGCAGAGTGGGCCCTGGTCCCATGTGACTCACGTCCTTAGAAGGAGAGGAAAGGGACAGACACAGACACAGAGTGGACGGCCATGGGACAGCAGCGCAGAGACCGGAGGGGCGAGGTGCCCGCTGGGTGGGACCCTCCTACAGCTTCTGGGGGAGGGCAGCCCCGCCGGCCCCCAGCTCTGGTGCATGAAAGAGATTTCTGTCGCCCTGACCGGCGCGGCTCAGGGCGTCCGGTGTCACTCTGCAAACTGAAAGTCGCCAGTTCGATTTCCACTCAGGTGCAAGCCTGGCTTGTGTGTTCCGTCCCCGGTTGGGGCAACCCATCGATGTCTCTCTCCCTCTCTTCCCCTCTCTCCAAAAACAAACAAATAAATAAATAAATAAATACATGTTAAGAAAATGAGAGAGAGAGAGATTTCTGATGATTAAGCCACCCAGTTTGTCGTCCTTTGTCACGGCAGCCATGGAAACAAACGCTGTGGGGTCTGGGAAGGGGGGCGCCCGTGCCCGGTGCCCTCCACGCCTCGGGGTGAGGCCAGGCTATTCCACACAGTGTCCCATGGAGTCTCTCTGCAGCCCAGGGGACGGGCATTCCCGTCCTGCAGGCCAGGAGCCTGAGGCTCGGAGAGGGAACGCCTCTGGTGTGAGCTACAGTGGGCGGCAAGCCCAGGTCTGCCCGAGTTGCTGGAGGGGACCCCGCAGCCGGGCGGGGGTGCAGGTGTGTGAGGTGTGGCCCCGTTGGGGGTGGGGGTGGGGTGACAGTGGGCACAACGAGCCAGGCGTTCTCTTTTCCGACTGTGCTGCCGGGGGGACCTTCCGGTGGGGGTGTCCGACACGAAGCTCCCAAGTGCTCAGGAGAGGCCAGGGCTGGGCCTGAGGACTCCTCGCCCAGGGACGGGTCGTCTCCGGCCCCTGCAGACCTCATGGTTCATGTCCCTGAGGAGAGTTGGCGGGTGTCTGTCTTGCATTTCAGTCACTTTGGAAGTCTCTCTGCCTGTCACGACATTTCCAGGCCCTGCTCTCATCTGTTTGTCACCTTTAAGCAGCGTTGGTGACGGAATCACGCGAGCGTCATGCCCACCCACGCAGTGCTGGGCGGGCGGCTCCGGGCTGCCAGGGAGCGAAGGTCGAAGGTTGCAGTGTGAGAACGTGGGGGGCGGGCTGTGTGGGCAGGAGGGGAAGGCCGGGGGCTCTGTGAGCCGGTGGGGCTCCCGGAAGCACTGAGCCACGAGGCCCTCGGACCCCCCACTCCCGCCCCCTTCCTGTCAGGTTAGAGCCCCTCCCCCAGCCCCCTGTGAGCCGGACTGGACCCCGGGGAGGACGGACCACGAGGCAGGGCAGTCCTTTGGGGCGCCCGTCAACCCTGCCCCCCCTTGGCGTGCAGAAAGATCGCACTTCTATCTTTTAAAAAAATCTTTGATTTCTTTTTTTTTATTTTGATTGGGTCCCTGCCCTGGCAGGGGTGCCTGACGGCGCAGGGTTAGGATACAAATTTCTGCGTTGGAGATGGCGACCCATTTGCGGGCACACAATCAGATTAGTGGGTCACATTTGTTATGTAAGCCAAGTGCAGTCTCAAAGCAGCGGAGCACGGCTGGCGCGAGGGACAAGGGCGTTGCTACAGGTTCACATTCCGCACAGGCTGCTGTGGGAAACGAGCCCCCAGTCATCAGGTCCCCCGCCAGGCCCCGGTGACGGGCACCTCACGGGGACGAAAGCATGTCTGCGGATGGGATTAGGCTGAGGACTCGGAGGGGGAGACTATCCCGGGTCACCCAGCGGAGCCCGGAGCGCCGTCATGCTGGTCCTCGGAGCACAGGGAGGACACAGGGAGAGCACCCGCAGGAAAGAAGGTGGAGTGGCCACCGCCTGGAGCCAGAGGACACAGAGCAGGTCCTCCCCACGGCCTCGGGTGGGGGAGCAGAGCCGACACCTGGGTTTCAGCTCAGAGACACCCACTTTGGGCGCCGGGCCTCCAGCGCAGGGAGAAAATGGGTTGGACTGTGTTAAGGAGCCGCCTCTGGCCTGCAAGCCCCTCTCCATGTGCTGATGTCGGAAGCCTGGAGTGCATGTCCCAGTGCCCTTGATCCTGAAGTTCACGGGTTCTCGGGGCCCCAGCTCTGCTTCTCTGTGACACCTGCTGACCTTCAGCTGGAAGGTTCTGGGTGGGGTGGTACAGAGCCACAGTCAGGCAGCAGCCGCACGCAGTGGGGCCCTGACTCACGGCCTGTTCACTAGCTCTGGCCCCTTCCACCTGTGGCCCCCACCACCCGTCTCTGCTCGGTGTCCTCCCTGGGGAGGCAGGGATGCGACTCCCACCTCAGGCGCGAGATGCCACGTGGGGCTTGCAGGGTGCTCGGTGGGGGGCTGTCATCTGTGTCACTGCTGAGCAGGGCACAGGGCCACAGGGCACAGAGGGCAGAAAAAAGGGGAAACTCTTCTTGTGAGCCAAACGGGGGGGAAGTCCCTGCCTTGGAAGCAGACGTGGTACCCACTTGCGGGCCCCCCGGGCTGGGTAGGGATGCTGTAGGTGGCCTTTCCCGCAGGGTCAGCGGTCACCGTCCCTGTCCACTGGGCAGGACTGTCGGAGATCAGATTCGGTGGCCGGCTGCCCGCGTGCACAGGAGATGATGCCTCCTGCTGGGCGCTGTCACGGACGTGCATCTCACCCCTCCCCGTCTGAGTGGCGTGAAGTGTGGCTCGTGACTGGGCTGCCCCAGGCCTGTTGGCTGTGGGACCCTGGGCCCACAGCACACGCACCCTTAACCACGATGATGCCGCGGGCTCCCTGCGTCCACGTTCTGGGTCCCAGGCGGCACCGACCACTTATGCTGTTGGCCGGTCAGAGAGTATTTCCACCTCCCGAGATCTTAATGCTGAAACTAGCACAGGAGCATCACAGAGAACGGGGGACACCTCAGGGACTGTGGTGGCAGCCAGACGGGTGCAGGGACCCAGCTCTGTCTTCCAGGCCCAGGGGCCTCCGTCAGTCACTCAGACTCCCCAGGCCTCAGTTTCCCCTCAGAACACTGGGGGTGTATGGAATAAGTGAATGAGAAGTAGACCCCCCCATTCATGTCCACCCAGAACCTTAGCATGTGCCCTTGTGTGGAAGGAGGTCACCCTGTGTCGGGGCGGCCCCAAACCCAATGGCTGGTGTCCTTACAAGAGACAGAAGAAGATACAGGACACAGGGCGAGGCCACGTGAAGACAGTGGCAGATGTTGGAGCCATGTGACCGCAGGGCCAGGACCGGCTGAGCCGCCCGGACCTGGGAGAGGGAGGGGGGACCCCCTGGAGCCTCAGGGGAGCGCAGTCAGGCCCCACCTTGAGGCCCGACCCCGGCCTCTGGGGACTGTGAGGGCAGAAATGTCCGTGGTTGAAGCCCCGGTGTGTGGGCCTGGTGGGGCAGCCCCGGCACGTACGCCGAGTGGCTGGGACGGTGTGTGAGAGCTCTCCCGCCGCTCCTGGCCCACGGGGCAGTCAGTGTTTCTGGCCCTCCCGGCCCCTCCCCCGCCGTGTGTGTGTGTGTGTGTGTGTGTGTGTGTGTGTGTGTTCCAAGTCCCTTTCCCGGACGCGTGGGGAACAGGTGCCCTTTGGAGTGTGGCGGCATCTATTTCAGTGCGCCGGGAAGGGGCCGCAGGGCGCAGCTGCCGCGTCACCCTCTGGCGAGTCAGCCGGAGCTGTGTCGGCCACAGAGGCGCCCCGCCAGTGCAGCGGCGCCCGCAGCCTCCACGCTGCTGGCCCTTCTCACGGAGGCCGCAGTCCATGGGTGTGCACAGCGGGGAGACAGGTACGGCTCTAAACCACCTTCCTGCCTGAGCCACCCAGCCGGGGAGGAAGGTGCACTTTCATAACGAGAAGTCTTGAGTGCCAGGAATAATTTTGGGGGGCGTGATGGGAAGGGGGTGGTGTGGCCCAGCTCTGCTGTCGCTGAATGGGGTGAGGGCCAGCACGTGTGAGCGCCAACTGTATGCCGGACTTTGGGACTTTCTCGGCAGACTTGTGGTGCCAGTCTGTGGTGTGGCCCCACTTTACAGACGAGTATGCTGAGACTTGGGGGGGAAGAGCAGGCAGGTGCGTCAGTGTGAGTGGGCTCCAGCGCCCTCTGACCCCAGTGGGCCCACAGCCTCTCTGCCCCAGCCCCCCCTTCCATCCCTTCCTCTTGTCCTTTAAGGTGGTGGTTCTCGGTCAGGGCCCAGTTTGCTCCCCAGTTGGCAATGTCTGGAGGCCTCTTTGGTGGTCACTCCTTGAGGAGGAGGACACAGAGGCCAGGGGTGCTGCTCGGTGCCCTCCATGCACTGACGGCCCCCCAGCCACGGGCTGTCCCGCCCCGAGCACCGGTGGAGCTGAGGCCGAGGGCCCGCCTGCTTTACGGAAGGTCATGAAACTGCCGGCCCCCCTGGTGTGGACTCCGAAACAAGGCCATCAGCCCTTGGGTAAAGAGCAATGTGTGACGCCTGGTGCACGCGAGGCAGCCTGCAGGGAGGACGGCGGGGGCAGAAGTCTCGGGCCTGGGGACTTGGGCAGAAGAGCTGGGTGGGAGTGAGGTGGGGGAGGGACGGGGAGGGGGCCAGGACCCCCAGAGGCAGAGGTGGGGTGCATGGGGAGCTCCTCTGTGTGCCCACCCTGGCCTCCATCCCGAGATGTGCCCCCCGGGTCCTCAGGCCCCCACCTGGCACGAGGCTCCATGCCCTGTGGGCAGCTGGGCAGCGCTCCCCCCGGCCTGCAGGATCTGTCCAGAGGCAGCAGCCAGGGAATCTGGTCGGCATCTCCCCGTCAGCGCCTCGCACCCAGGGTTTGCTGAGGGCAGCAGCGCTGGGCTGGGCCTCGAGCCCTGACTCTGGCCTGGCCTCTCGGTCCCTGGTCCGAGCTCTTCACTGCCTGGGGCTCCAAGGCTCCCACCTGCAAGTGGGGGGTGACGATGCCTCCTCCCTCCCGGGCTCCGTGAGTGGGCACAGCAGATGCCCCGTGCCTGCTTCCCACAGCCAGGGGCCAGGGCTCCCCCCGATATGTCCCCGTGTCGACGTCTCACTCCTGGCCTTCGAGCGCCAGCTGGCTGGGGCGCAGGCAGTAAACACGCCCTGGCCCCAAGGGTGCGCAGGATCCCTCCGGAAACCCCAGTGGGTTCCAGGAGCTGGGACTCGTGCCGATGTCCAGTCCTCGCTCAGCGTTTCCAGGCTGGAGGTGGGGCGGGTCCCCGCCCAGCTGAGGACACCGTGTCCTCCACACCCTGTTGTGCTTCCCCGGGTGGCGGCCAGCAGTGCGGACGGCACAGAGCAGCCACAGTGCTGGGGGAGATGCCGCCGACCCACAGAAACAAGCGCCCTTGTCCCCGCCCACAGATGAAGGCGGGGACTGGTGATAAAAACAGCAGCAGAGGAAATGTGATTCACTCTGCAAAGTTACAGTAAGAGCGGAAACCGAAAACTCGGTAAGAAAGCACGGAGCCTCTTGGTCATCTCGGGTCAGGTGGCGGCCGGTCCGACAGATCCCCAAGAACACGCAATGCAGGGAACGCGCACGAACTCGATTTCATCAAAACGGAGCACTTTCGTGCTGCCAGGACCTTCACGAGGAAAACGAAAACACGGCCCGCACCGTGGGAGCCAGCCCTTGCCAGTCACGTGTTTGATAAGGGAACTTGCCTCTGGAGTGTAGGTGCTCCTGGGTCAGTCACAGAAGGACAAGCGATTGAATGGACCCGGTCTGAAGAGACGCATCTCCAGAGAAGGGGTGCAGGTGGCTCACAGGGGTGCGATGGGGCTCAGCACCCTCTGCCCCCAGGGAGTCCCCCCCACACCCACTAGGGCGGCTGCTGTCAAAACGACAGGCAGTAACGAGTGTGAACAAGGGGGTGGAGGGTGTCCGGTGTGTGGCCACCAAGGGAAGACACGCAGAGTCGGCATCCGGCTGAACGGTGTGCCCTAGCTGTGTCCCCAGGACAAGCGGGACCCCGTCCGAGCAGGAGGGCCTCACAGTGGCCCCCACGTGCTGACCAGCCGAGTCCTCCATCTGCGGAGGGGCCCGTGGAACTTGACCACACAGCAGGACTTCACCCGGCACACAGAGGAAGGCCGCCCTGGCGGGCGCCGCGGCGTGGCTGAGCCGCGGGAATGCCGTGCTCGGGGGGGAGCCAGACGCGAAAGGCCACCGTGGACTGTGTGGTCCCATGCGTGTGATCTGTCCTGAAGGGGCAAGCCCTTCAAGACAGGGAGCAGGCTGCCTGTTCCAGGCAGGAGGTGGGGGTGGACGGTGAGTGACGGTGGAGGGGTGGGCCTCTTGGTGGGGCCGTGGAGATGCTGTGACAGTGACCGTGATCATCACTGGACTCTCCCAGCGCACCAAAGCCTGTGGTGTCGTGCCTCCTGGGGAGAGCAGGGCGTATCATGAGAAATGTGTCCGTAGAGCTGAGAAGGGCTCAGGACGGGGGTGTTCCCTGTCGTGTGGACTGAAATTGACAGGCACATGGGGGCTCCAGACGCGGCACCTGGTGGGAGAAGAGGTCCGGGGCAGGGCTGTGACCTCTCAGGCCCTCTGTGGCCATCCCCGCTAGATTCGAAGACAAGGACTTTTCTGGGTTGTTTGGACTTGTGATGTTACCCAGTGGGGAGCAGTGAGGACCCCCAGCCAGGCAGGTGGTGTCTGGAGGTCCAGGCTGCAGCCCCAACTTCAAGGGCCTGGGCAGCAAGGGGGCGGCTGTGGCTTGGAGCTGGCCAGGGCACACCGTGGGGAGGGGCGGTACTTGTGGGCAGGTCCTGCAGCCCCAGGGGCTCCCACACTGGGGGGTCCCGTGGCAGATGGGACCTGGCCGGGCCAGCTCAGGCTCACAGACCCTTTTGGTGGCCGTTGACGGAGGGTGAGGGATCCTGTGGCCTGGGCCCGAACCCTCGCAGTGCTCCGCCCATTGCCGGCTCTGTGCCCCGGGCTGTCGATGGAAATCGCCGCGTGCGGTGCCTGGCACGGCTTGGACACAGGACTGAAAGGTGAGGATGACTGTTGACTGTCGCCCCGCAGGGGCCCTGTGGGCAGCTTGAGTCACCAGACGCGTTTCCTGGTTCCGACTGGATTCAGTGGACCTTCATGGGGCATCTGCTGTGTGTGCGGCTCTGGGGACGGGTTGCAGGCCCAGACCAGACACTGGTTGACCTGAGGTGGCCGCCCTGGCTGATGGCAGTGGGACACAGGGGAAAAGCATGTTCCTGGGAGCCCAGAGCCCCGAGTCCAGGTCCCAGCCTGGCCACAGGCTCGCCAGGCCCTGGCAGTTTCCCAGGGGATGGGCCCAGACGCCTGCTGAGCCCTGACCTTCCGGAATGCCACCCCGAGATGCCTCTCCAGCCAGGAAGGACAGCTCTTCCGGGGATGAAATGACACACTCCAGGGGTGTGGGTGGCGAGGGCGCCTGGACCAGCTGCTCGAGGCGCAAAGAGCCCCAGGAATGGCCAGAAGCCCGGGCTGAGGTCTGCTGGCAGCTCACGACCAGCCAGAGCTTCTGGGGCATTCAGTTCGGTGAGTGGAGCGGCAGCTCCATCACCCACAGGGCCATCCCTGAGTGGGCACCCTGGGCTGGAACCACAGAGGTGCGGACTGGGGCGGGAGCAGTTGGCGGGTTTGGTGATACAGAGGCTCCCCGACTGGAATGATGAGGTCACCTCCTGAGAAGCCGATCGGCAGTTGAAAATACCATGTGTCGGGAATGCATTTACCCCACACAGCCTAGCTGAGCCCTGTCGGTTTCTGCCGAAGGGGCATTGCTGTGGCACCCGCGGTTGAGTCGGAAAGTCCTACGTCCAACCGTCATTCAGCCCAGGCGTCTGTACTGGCATTTTCACACCCCCGGGCTGCCCGTTCACACCTGTGCTCACGCCTGTGTTCAATGCTTAGACCCCAGAGAGAGGAGAGTTGATGTGTGACTGTGGGGAGTCACCGTCTGACCTCGGTGCAGGTCAAGGGGGCAGGTGAGCACACTCAACTCTGCAGGGGAACCAGGCCGTGCTCCCAGGGAATCAGAAGAGGTCACTCTGGGGAGGTCAGGTCCAGGGCAGCAGGTCGCGGTGTGGGAACCAGTCACTTTCAAGGCAGTGAGTCATTTCTGGCGTAACAGGTCCCTTCCAGGAGGTTACTTTTTGGGTCACTTCCAGTAGCAGGTGGAGGGCCCCTGCAGCTTGATCAGGTGATGGTTGAGACCGGGTGGGGGCAGGTTCCGGGAGGGACGTCCCTGTGCTGGACCGGAGATGTCAGCGTGATGAGCTCTGGGTGTGGGTGTTCCCGAGTTTGTCCCCATCTCCACCCTCGTGTGCCAGCTCCTGGGGGCGGGCCAGTGTCTGGTGGCCTCACCCTGGCCCTGTGCAGGCCAGAGCTTGGCGGGAGGGGACCCACCGCATCCTCGCGGGATGGAGGACTTGCTGACTGTCAGACTGCACGGCCCTCCGGCCGCTCGCTGGGCCAGGCTGCTGGGGGCTGTGGCGGTGAGAAAGGGGGGGGGGCGGGGAGCAGCTCCCCCCGTATACAGTGGTCGGCCCCAAGGAGGTTTGGGGGCGAGGGCTCAGGTGTGATTGGTGAGATTTCCATCACGTGACCCTGGGGAGGGTGGGAGGGCCCGGGCCCACACCTGCAGCAGGCGCTTCCTCTGCCACCTGTGGGGAGCCGTGCCCTAATGAAGGACTTGTGGGCAGTGCTGGCCTCTCCCTGAGTGGGCAGCGGCAGGGGGAGTGAGTCTGTCCTGGGGGTGGGCCCTGGGCCTCAAAGCCACAAGATGCACAGACATGATCCCAGGGCCCAGAGGGCAGAGGGGCAGGGGCGGGCTGGCCGGGCCACCTACCTACCTCTGTGAAGACGGGTCTGTTGTCACGGTGCTGTGTCTACTTCCCACCACTAGAGGGAAGCACCACTGTCCTCACCTGCACAGAGGCTCCAGGTGGGTGGAGGGGGCCTTCCCACTAAACCATGTCTTAAAGCAGCTCCCCCCAAACCAAATATATCCCCAGTAACCAGGAAACGGGTGACTCAGGCTGTGAGATTAGGAAATGACGGCAGCTGCTGTGCATCGAGCCCTCGGGGTCTGCTGGACATGGGGCTGGCACATTTTGGTCCAGGGTCCCAGCAGGTCCCAGCCAGGGGGTGGGAATGGACGGACCGGTGGAAGTCCGGCCGTTCGGGGTCCAGCACGTGGGGGGTGGGGCGAGGGCTGCACTCGGCGTCTGACCCCGCAGCCGGCAGTGCCCCTGGCCCCTGACAGTGTGCCCAGGGGGCTGGTTCGAGGTCTCTCTGATGCCGGACTGGGGTTGTTGTCAGGCAGTGTGAGGACTGTGTGCGTAGGAGGGACAGCCGGTCGTCCTCTGGGCGCCTGACAGGCCAGGAGGCCACAGTGGGGCCGATCTGCGTCCCCCCGCCCCCGCCCGCTTGGCTGCACCTCAGACGGGACTCGGTGGCCGGTCAGCCCCACGTGGGCCCTCGGCAGCCGGGCTGTGCGCAGGCCCGCTGGCCCTCGCTGTCTGCGGTGTCCAACCTCAAGGGCCGTGGCCCCTCCCGCACGGGGAGTCTTAGCTGCAGGCCCAGGAAACCCTCACTTTTGCCTCCTCCCGTCCGTTGTATTAAATAACCCACGGGGATGGTTTCTGCAGTGATTCCACAGGAAAAGTGGGCGTGGGGCACTTCACGCTGCTGACATTGAACCCAGAGCCGGCACTGCCACCGTAGGTCCCAGAGCACAGGCCGAGTTCTTGGGCCCTGCCGAGCTCAGCGCCAGCCAGGCTGCCGTTTGGTGTCTTGGGGGCTCTGGACCCGCGAGGCAGGCGTGACGCTGGGCCTCCTGCTGCTTGCCGCCCTTGCTGCGCCTGCTTCTCCGCGCCATGGCTTCTGGTCCCCAGACGGGGGGCACTCTGCCGGCCAAGGGCAGGTACCGCAGAGGAGGGGAGGGGCCCCACTCTGGTCCGATGGGGGCTGTTGGGAGGCAGGGTTTGGGGGTGAAGAGGGCAGTGGGGAGCTGATGGAGGAAGGTCCTCCTGTCTGGGGTCCATTCTTCAGTTTTTACAGTGGGGATGAGGCCTTCCAGCCTGGTGCTCCATCAGTGCTAGGTGTGCACACCCGTGTGTGTGTGTGTGCATGTGAATGTGTGAATGTGCCTAAATGTCAGACGAAGCGTGGCAAGTGTTTTCTGTGCCCACCCACCTCCCCTGGGCCCAGCTGTGGTTCTGCCAGCCACAGGGGCTGTTCCTCGGGCCTCTGCCAACCCTTGGACTCACTCAGCCTGGGCACTGGGCAGCCCAGAAAAAAGGGGCACAGGGTCCTCCAGGGGGGCAGGACATGGGGCTCATGTCCCCCCCAGGGGGGCGGGAGATGGGACTGGTGCCCCAGCCCCCTTCCCTCCAAGGCAGGATCTGGGCGATGAGGGATGGCCCCTCCGGGGGTGGTCTGCTTGTACCCGGCAGTGAGGGCTCAGTAACACGCCTGCCCTTGCCTTCCCTGCCCGTCCCTTCTTCCTGCCACCTGGGTGCCCCAGATAAAATACACACTGTGCCCTGTCCTGTCTCAGCCCCAGGTTAGGGGACCCAGACTGAGTCAGGAGGGTGGCGTTAGGTGTGGAACTCAGCTAAGACCCAACATGAGAAGGCAGAAGCTCTTTTTTCAGAATGGGCTGGGGCAGGAGGTTGGCCACCATCACCTGCATTTGGTGGGCACCCCGAGGCAGGTGGAGGGCTCAGAGCGCAACCTGGTGGAGAAAGGGGCACGAGTCCCGATGAAGCCGGGCGGGTGGGGAAGGCTGGGGCGGCTCCTGGAAGGGGGTGTCTCAGGTGACAGGTTAAGGGGAGCAGGTGTGGCTTTCTCAAGCTGGACCTGCGTGGGAAGTGGGTACAGCCTGCTCGGTGCCTGTGTGGGCCACGCTCTGCCTGGCAGGCCCCTGTGCCTCCTGCAGCCCCACCACCTAACCAGCTCCTCCTGGCACCGCCCGTGACCCGGCTGGGAGAGAGCGGGTCCCCAGCCCCGGGGCCCCCAAGCCAGCCTCTGCCGCCTGGCTTGTCACCGTTGCTCACCCAGCTGTCTGCAGTGTGGCTGTCCCTGTCCTGCACTCTGGCCTCCATAGGTGCTTTGGGGGGTGTGGGTGAGGAGCACGTGCCCTGCCCCGGCCCCAGGAGCCCCCAGTCGGGCCCCTTCTTGGGTTCCCAGTGCCTCTGGATGTATCCTAGGTCACAGCTGGGGGACAGCAATGACGCTCAGGTTGGCGTCCCGGCACAGAGGGGACCTGAAGGACACTCACAGGAGGCTGTGGCCCAAGAACCTGGGTCTCCTGGCTGCGGGGGGAGGGCCATCCAGCTCCCTGGGTGGGGCTCTCTGAGGCCATGTAGGGCCAGGGTCGCGCCATCCCTGGGGAAGATAGTGATCTCCCCGTCACTGCCGGTGTGCACACAGGTATGGGGGCAGGAGCCCTCACTGGGGTTGACTGTGATATCCGATTTCCGCTGGTCCCCAAGGAGAAGACGAGGCTGTGCCCGATGCCCCTGGGACTGTGCTGGCAGGGGTGGGGACTCCGTTCCTTGAACACAGCGGGTCTGCTCCCCCGTGCCTGTCCGCCCTCCATTAACTTGGCTCCTTCCCCCCCTGCAGTGTCGGAGCCCCCAGCCGCTCACAGCCTGCTGGAGAAGCCGCCCAGCTCCGCCATCCTGTGCACCACCTGTGGCGGCGTGTGCAAGGGGGAGGTGCTACGCGTCCAGAGCAAGTACTTCCACATCCAGTGCTTCATCTGCAAAGGTGAGTGTCTGCCCGGCCCTGTGTGGCGACCTGGCGCAGCCGGGGCCCGCAGCTGCAATTCGGGGCACAGAGTGTCTCCGGGCAGCTTGCCGGGTCTGGGGGCTTGGAAAACCCCAAATCCAGAACCTTCATGAGGCAGTGGAACTTTTGGGTGGGGCCCGAGTCCCTTGTGGGTGTGGGGAGGGCCAGAGTATGGGGTCTGGGTCCCAGGAGTGTCTTCACACAGCAGCACTCGAGTCCCAGGGCTCAGATGCATGGTCCTGTCAAAGTGGCCCCAGGGGCCGGGAGTCAGAGCCTGTGGTCAGGGCCGGTGGCATGACGTGGACCGTGGGGGGCACAGGGCCTGTGCCGGGCCCTCCACGAGCCCCCCACGGAGCAGGAAGAGAGCATTGCCATCATTCTGAGTGAGAGTGGCCTCTGCTGTCTCTGACTGTAAAACACAGTGCCAGTGCAAGCGCAGCCTAGATTCAGACAACAGCACAGAGATGAAACTTAAACCGAAAAGAACCGTGGGGCATCCCGCCGCGGGGCCGGCCTTCGCAGCGAGCCTCTGGCTGGCTCCTCCCCTCCTTGTGCTCCAGGTAACACACTTCCACGGAGCACAGATAAGTCATGTGTGTTTGCACTCGGTTTCCTGGGAACATCTGAACAACAGCGTTTGGGGGCAGAGGTGGACCAGCCAAACCGATTTGGCCGGGGCTCCAAGGCCACGGGGCTTCGGTTTTACAGGGTTTATGTTGGCACCGCAGGCACACTGTCCACCTGTCTGCAGGGAGCAGGGCCCGCACCCCTGCTGTCCTGGGTTGGAGAGGATGTCGTCCTAGGCCTTCAGGGCTGCTGTGGCATCAGCCAGAATGGCTGGGATGAACCCCGGGAGCTGAGGGTTTGCTTTTGGGCGGCACACACACAATCCGGAAAGATGCTGCACAAGTCACAGAGTGACGTGTGTTTTATTGGGGGGAATGCCAACACCGTTTTTATTGAACGTACCAAAGGCTGTGTTCCCCCCACACAGGGTCCCGGGAGACCCCAGTGGGGCCAGGCTCTTGAAAGAGAAGGACGGCCAAGCTCAGCCTGCACAGTGAGCTCTGCGGAGGGGGAAATGCACTGGCCACGGTGTGTCACGTGGTTTCAGAGCTCACCATTAGTGGCAGGATCAAGTGCTGGCAGGGCGCACGGGCAGGGGTTGGAAGCTTCTAGAGGGGGTGTCACGGGGAGGTGATGTGTGGGCTCTGACCTGGAGGCAGGAGGGTCAGGTGGCAGGGCACCGTGCAGTGTGGGGGCAGCCTGCGCCCGTGGGGAGGGGCAGCAGGGTTTGAGTGCCAAGTGCGGCCAGGGGAGAGAGGCAAGGCTGGGGCGGGAGATACAGCTGCCCATCTGGGGCGTGACTCCGGGCCTGCCTGTGGCCCCGAACGAGGGCTTCACCCACCCTTCTGGGGGTTCCGTGGTGCGGCCTCCTTTGGGGGGGAGTGAGGCAGCAGGTGAGCAGCCCTCCCCCAGAGGACCTCTGCCGGCAGCCAGCACGTCACTGTCACAGGCTCTGTGTGAGGGAGGTGCGTGGTCCTGCTGCCTCCCCTGGGGCAGGTCCGGAGAAGGCCCGGTGCCCCGGCCCCAGAGGGGTCAGAGTGTAACTGACAGGCTGACACCGGGGCTTCTGCAGGTGTCGCCGGGCCTGTGACTTAGGGAGGATGATGGGGACCACCAGAGCTGCCCGACCCCAGGACCCCAGCCCCACCCTCCCTTCACAGGTCCTGGGGATCCATCTCTGGGCCTGGGTGGCTGTCAGGGTCGTCACCAAGGGACCTTGATGCCCCTGAACTTCCTGGATCCAAGGGTCCCTGCACATCGACTGCCTGGCTCCTCCCTGGTGAATTTTCCCTGCCGCACCTTCGCGCCCCATTACGGCCCGTGTACCCCATTACCACCTGCCCCCCGAAGGCTGCTGGGGCCTTAGTGATGGGCACATGGGCATTCTAGGATGGTGGCTTGGGGGCCGTTTGGAGAGATGAGGTGAGGGACAAGGCTGGGCCCAGCCTGGGAAAGGATGGCGCAGCCACGAGCGGCTCTGGGACCTGAGGAGCCGTCGGCATTTCCACAGACCAGAGCCCGGTCCAGCTGCCTCCGTGGGACGCGGCACCGGTGCCCTGCGCTCCAGCTGTAAGGCAGACGTCCGTCAAACATTGTCTGGCTCGGTGTCCTCCACGCCCCACAAAGACCCGTGTGTTACATTACTGGAAAGCCAAAGCCATTAGGTCACTCTTTGTAAACACTTATCTCAAAACAAAAAGAGGAAGTGCCTGCTGCACTTAGAAGGATTGTCTGAAAGCGCAGATCTGAGCCGCCCAATAATAGGCCCGCCTCCTGGAATGCAGTCCTCCCATGGTTTGGAGGGAGGCGGGAGCTGCCCACCGCCCCTCCCCACCCCATGTCCCGGAGGAGGACCACGTTGTCCCGTGAGGCTCACCTCCGCTGCACCTGCGGGTCAAGAGGTGCAGCTGCTGTTTTTAAAGCACCTTTAAAACAGCCGCGCTTGTTTATGGGTGAGAATCACAAGGTCGTGGGTTGGCTGTGGTGAGCCCAGAGCCTGAGAGCCACGGCGGGAGGCTTCGGGGGGTGAGGAAGGACGCCTGGCCCCCAGCACCCCAAACATGGCGGATGCTCACCCCCTAACCTGAAGCCTGGAGGTAGTCCCGCACCCCCAGGGTCAGTTAGCTTAATGGCTTAACAGGTCATCCAAGACCCAGGTCCTTCCTCCACTTCCCCACTCCCAACTGTCCCCTGCCCCTGCCATTCGGTGCCTGTCAGCAGGGTCTCTCCTCATGATCTCAAGGGAGCTGCTGTAGCTCCGGGCATCGCACCCTCCTGGGGTGGCGCTCAGCTCCATGGGAGGGGGGTGTGGGGAGAGGCCATCTCTCTGCATGGTGCTGTCCTTGGTCAGGGAGAACCCTCTCCCCGAGGCTCCCCCAAGCTCCCAGCATGACGCGTTGGCCAGAACCGGGCCCGTGCACTCCTGCTGGCTGAGCAGAGTGGGAGGTGGTCACTGACGTCAGACCCAGCCGTCCCCGGGGGCATGTTGCCAGGTGAAATGAAGCAGGTCTGTGAGCACAGAGGATGACAGTGCGGCTGTCCAAGTCCTATCCGAGAGGCCCCGGTATTCGGGGTCCCTGCCATCTTGGCACTTGTGGACTGGCCTCGGTTTACCTGGGACACTCCATGAAGGAAATGACATCATTATCCTGCTCCAAGCTTGGGCCTTGGTGCCTGTGGGTCTGAGTTCAAATCCCACCTCTGCCTCCCCCAGCTGGGCAGATCTTAGACCTGTTTCTTAACTTCTGTTTCATTCAGCAACTGTTTATTGGGCACCTACTATGCGCAGGCGTGTTCTGGGTGCCTAGGATGCATCTGTGAATAAAGCAGACATCCGTGACCCCATGGACCTTGTGTCCTAGAGCAGGGAGGGAGACAGGTGGTCACTAAAGGGCAGAATAAATAATGTTTTATCACACGATAAGAAGTGACAGCAGGGGAAAGGAAGACGCAGGCTGGGGTGGGGCTGGGGTACAGGGGGAGCTGCGGTGCAGGGGGAGCTGCTATTTCCAAGTGGGGATCAGGGAGGGCTTCACGGAGGAGGTGCCTTTGTGTGAGGACTTGAGGGGTAAAGGGGACAGGTGCCTCCAGGACCGTGGAACGTGCCCAGGAAGCAGGAGTGGGGGAGGCTGCCCGTCAGGGAGGAGAGCCCTCGGCCCTGCCTGTCACTTGGTGACAGTGGCCAGGGTTGTCCACAGGGACAGCTCCACCTGGGGACAGACAGGCCGAGAGCTGCTCTGGGTCTTCAAGGGAACAGTGCAAAGTGCCTGCACACTGGCCTTTTGGGATGTTCGCGGGGCCTCGTTGGGAGACCCACCGAGGGCTTCGGACCTCGGAAAGCCCCGGAGAGAGGGGAGTCACCCCGGCTGGGGGCACAGGTCACCGCGCACAGCACGGCCCTCGAGGGTGGCCAGGAACTGCGGGTCACGTGGCAGAGCTGGGGGCAGCCTGGGCAGGAGGACTCTCCAGTGACCTGGCCTGCTATTCCAGGTGGGAGCCGGGCCAAGGTCAGGGCCGACCTGGGCCAGCACAGCCCTGCCAGCCCCGGCGCGTGAGCCCCAGCAGGCCTCTGCATGGCTTCGGGTCGGAATGTCCCCCAGCCCCCTGGGCAGCAGCTCGGGACAGTGGAAAACTACCTGTCGCCTGACCACCCTGGGACCTGCCCTCCGGTTCTGGCTCCCAGCCCTGCAGGCTGGCCAGAACGTGGATACCAGGCTTTTAAATGTGAATCCTGCCCTGTGCGGGTGTCTCACCTCCGAGGGGCCTGCTCCCCGTCAGGCACGCTCCTCGCCGTCCTCTGTACACAGGGCCCTCCCTCCTCTGTGGGACACTCGCTGCGACCCAGCTCAGCATGGGGCTAATCGTTCCCCAGACCTCATCCCTGACTTCTTAGTGCCAGATGGGCATGGCTAACCCTAGTTCCAGAGGAGGACCCTGAGGCTCAGAGAGGTTAAGTGACTTGCCCAGTGCCACACAGCGGCAGGCCAAGAGGGAGGACTCAGGCCCAGGCTGCCAGTCCTGAGCCCGGTGATGGCTGACCGACAGTCTGTGTGATGCTGCAGCCCAGCCTGGGGCTGGCTGTCCGCCCACGGGCACTCCTGGTCACTTCCTCTGGAGAGGGGCCCGGAGCTGCTCGCTGGGTCAGCCGGTGGGGGCGGTTTTCACATTCTTCATTGTCAGTGCCAAAGGGTGTTCCTGAAAGCCCCTTCCCACCACCGCCCGGCTCTCTGGAGCGTTTCTCCTAAGTGACCACAGTGAGTGCCGAGGCTGACCCGGGGCCACCCACAGCCGCTCCGAGACCCCTGTCCGCCTTGGCTGATCCCACAGGCAAAATGGAGTGCAACGCCAGAGCAGCGTCTCCATCAGGAGATTGAACGTTACCCAGGAACTCAGAGCAGCACTTGCAGAGGCCGCGGTTCCCCGTCTGGGCCTGGCCTCAGCAGGCGCGGGAGGCAGGGGACCCGGCGGCAGTGGCAGCTGCCCGGCCGGTGGCTCTTGGGGTCGGAGTGTCATGTCCCCGTGACAGGGACTCCTGTCTCAGGGGGGCACGTTTGTCCTCCAGGGAACGGCCAGCGCCGCCCCACCCTTACAAAGGATAAAAATGGCCAGACACCAGGGCCGGGGTGTCTGTGAGCCACTCTGTCGCTCAAGGGCTGAAATGCCACAGGCGGGGCTTGCGGGAAATGACAGTAAACCTCCTGGGAAGGCCCCAGAGAGCCAGTTGTCCCCGAGTGGGACCTCTGTCCAGGCTGCGTCGTGATGTGAGGCTCAACTGGGTGTTCGCTCTCGGGTGGTTGAGGGAAGGGGTCAGCCCCGGCCAGCCTCTGGCCTGGCCGAGCTGCTGGGGCTGCAGGGAGTTCTGGGGCCTCCAGCAGGAAGGGGTGGGGCAGGAAGGGCGCCCCTCTGAAACTGGGCCTGGCTCCCATGTGCCTCGGGGCTGGAGGGGCCTGGGTGGGGTGGAGGCTTAGGGGCCCCAGTGGCTGAGTGGCCGGCTGCCCCAGGGGAAGGTGCCCTGTGCTCCACCTGCCAAGACCCCAGCCCCTCTACCAGCTGCAACAGTGCGGCTTCCTGCGGTAGGAGGGGAGTGTGAGGGGTCAAGTGTCCCCACCTCGTTCCCTCCTGCAGGGGCTCTGGCCTTGTCCACGCATAGGGGGAGTGGGGGAGGGTTCAGCAGCCTCCCAGCGTGGGGGGTCAACTGTAGGGATTCATTCATCTGTTGTCAGCCACAAGGGATCTCCCTGCCCTGAACAGAGCCCAGCACATAGTAGGTACCCCTGTGATCCATTCTATTCTGCAATGGAAACCAGAGCCTGGAGCAGCGGAGGGGCTGGGGACATCAGCGTGTCACCCTAGTGGCGTCCCAGACGAGGGAGGGAGGCTGGTGGCCCCTCAGCACAGCTTGGTGTCTTCCCAGGTCAGTGCCCCTTTCTGGAAGCTTCCACAAGGAAGTCCACTCAACTCCAGGCTGAGGGGCCGGCACTGGAGCCCGTGCCTGGGCCTGCTCCTGGGTTTTTTTTTCTGTGAACCCCTCCGAGCCTGCGTCGGGTGGGGAGCTGTGTGTGGTGTGGGGGTCCACCTGGGGCTGTGGGGCCCTGGCCCGCCATCCCGCCTGCTGACACCGGCCCCCTGCGCTCTCCCTCAGCGTGCGGCTGCGACCTGGCAGAGGGCGGCTTCTTCGTGCGCCAGGGCGAGTACATCTGCACACAGGACTACCAGCGGCTCTACGGGACCCGCTGCTTCAGCTGCGACCAGTTCATCGAGGGCGAGGTGGTGTCGGCGCTGGGCAAGACCTACCACCCGGCCTGCTTCGTGTGCGCCGTCTGCCGGTGAGTGGGGCTGCGGGCTCCCTGCGCGTCGCCGGGACTGCCCTTCCAGCCAGGCCCAGCCAAGGGATGGCGGTGGACCCTGGGCGGTCCACCCCAAAGTGCGCCCACGTCCAGCCCGACCCTGCAGGCCACCTCCCCAGCCTGCAGCAGGGGTTTGAGCCCTCCTGCCTGGGGGGTGCATGGCCTCCTTCAGCTTCTGGAAAGGTCTCTCCCCCCCAACCTCTCCTCGGCCCCTCCACCAGCTCCTCTCCTGGTCCGAGTTCTCCACACGTCCCATCTCTCCTGTTGGTGCTCGTGGGTTCCACGCTTCGGCCCCTCCTTGCCCACCTGCTGCTGCTCCCCGGCCGTCCTGCCGGGTCCCTCCTGCACTGCCTGCTTCTCACTGCCCCTGTCCCCAGTCTGGAGGTGACAGTACCACCCAACCCGCCAGGTGCATGAGCCCAAGCATGGGCATCTTCTACCGTCCTTCACTTTCCAGAATCCGCTCAGCCACTGTCCCCACTCAGGCCTCAAAGTGCGTCTGCTGGGGTCCCCCCACGCCTGCCACTCCACACGCACCGCCCATGGCCTCCGAGCCCGAAGCCTGGCTCAGAGGTGCGTCCAGGCGGTGCCGGTTCTCCTGCTCTGTTGCTCACTCAGCCAGGCTTTCCTAAGCACCCCTGCGGTCCAGGCTTGGTACCCTGGGCCTGCGTCAGCAGGGACCCCACACCACAGGGCTCAGACCTGGGGCGCTGCTGGGCAGCAGGAGGCACCTCCCAAGCCTTTCCCACCGGGAGCAGCCTCCCCTACCATTGCATCCTGCGTTGCCTCTCTCCTGGGCCCCAACGTCCCTGGCAACCGGCCGCTGGAACAGCTCGATGTGAGCCCCACGCGGGTCTGGGCTGGCTGGGCACAGAGCAGGCGCCCGGTGCCTGATGCTGGGTGGACGGAGGTCCCGAGCCTCGGCGGCGGGGCCACACGGGCTTCCCTCTCTGCCCTGCACCTGTGGGGCGTGGGGGGTGCGGCCAGCGGGCGGCCTTCCACCTGGGCTCCTCCCTCCCACCACAGATGCGCTGCCCCCAGGGCGATGCTGCATCTCTGGGAAACGAAGAATAAACCTCCCGAGTCCATTCTCCTCTGTGCCCTCCCCCCACTACACCAGTGTGACAGGGACTGCGTGTTGTTCCCAAAGCCTTGTCCCAGGTGACCACACGTGCACTGGATGGAAGTGGGGGCTTGGTTGGGGGGGATGCTGGGGGGGATGCTGAGAGAGGGCGGGACAATGGCACGGGATGTTTCTAATGCCAGTGTCACTATGTGTCACTGCAGCATGAGTGGGTCAGAGTCGCTTGGGGACCATCTCAGGGCCGGACCTCTGAGCGTGTCACTTGATGAGGTTTGATGTCGTCACAGTGGGTGTGAAAGGCCACCTCTGGGTAATCGGCTATTTTAAAAGTGACAGCAGACAACTCAGTCACACTGGAACTGGGCCTACCGGCCACTATGAACAGCTGGAGACCTGGACAAAGACACAGAGCAACCGTGTGCAGACACTGGGGGCCCCGATGGCTCAGGACTGAGAGGGGAAGACACGGGAGTGGAGCCCTGTGACCCCCGGCCTGCTGCCCGGCCCAAGGGGGGACCCACTGGAGAGTGGCTTCCTCGCTGAGCCAGGAGGTGGTGACCCGAGAGACAGCAGCACTCAGAGCCCGGGGAGCTGCGCAGGGGCCGCGGGTCTCCGCCGGGCACGGAGCTGTGTAGATGCAGAGGAAATGGCACAGGGCGAGGCGTAGAAGGGCGGGGCTGCTGTGAGCCACGCAGGTCCCAGGGCCGGGCGACACGGAGGTCTGGCCAGGTGGCAGCGCTCACTGAGTACCCAGGCGCACAGGAGGGACCCCGAAAGGGCCGTGCCCCATCGGTGGGGCCGAGCCCTAGGGCAGGGGCTGCTGTAAACCTGCACTGACAAAGTGGAAGGAAAACACCTCAAAAAGCTCAGCCCGACGCACAGACAAGCTCGCCCCCGATCTAACGCTGCTGCTCATGAAAGGAAACCACAATGTGACCGGGGCCAGAATAGTCCGCCCCCCCTCCCGGGGGACGATGGACCCCGGAAGGAGAGCCGTGCTGGACGCCCAGGTGGCGGCGGCACAGGCCCGTCAGTGCGCTGTGTCCCTGAAGGAGACCATCATATGGCCGTGCCACAGGAGATATCAACAGACACCAAACCGAGTTCCTAGAAATGAAGATTACCGTTTCCGAAACGGCCACCTCCCTGGGAGGAATCGGCAGGAGACTGGGTTCTGCAGAGGAAACATCAGTGAACTGGAAGATGTAGCCGTAGAAATGATTCGTCTAAAGCAAAGGGAGGGGAAAAGGCTGAAAATGTAAAGAGAGGCCCAGCGCTCTGTGGGCATCGATCTGTCTGTCTGTCCCTCTAGGCTGGGAGGGGACACCCAGCGGATCGGAGAAGGCTGAAAGAAATTTGAAGAAATAAAAGCTGAAAAATGTCCAAATTTGGTGAAAGCTATAAACTCGTGCTTCCAAGAATCTCGCTGAACCGCGGCAGAAGAAACACAGCAAAACCCTGCCAAGCCCGTCCCCACCAACTTCCTGAGAAACGGTAGTGAGAAGGAAATCTTAAAAACAGCGAGAGGAAAACACGTTGTGTACCACGGAATAGAAGGCCGACCCCGGACTCTGCGCCCGAAACCATCGGAGAGGGTAGGACGGCGTCTTCGGAGAGCAGAAAGAAGACATCAAACGCCCCTACGCCATGCCCCCCAAAATGCCTTTCAGAGATGCAGGCCAGGCGGGTAAAGGGCACAGGGTGCTTTGGGGGGAGGTGATGAAAAGGACCCCCGGCTGATTGTGGGGACGGTGGCACAGTGCTGCACACACGGACGGCCGTCGAGTGGGGTGGGAGTGGCCGCGTGCATGTGAGTGGAAGCGTCGGCGAAGCTGCCACACAACACGAAGGCGAAGCAGACTCTAGGCGCTCGCGAGCCCAGAGCGGCCGCGGCCGGTGGTCCTGTCTCTGCGACGGCGTCAAAGGAAACACGGAAGCCGGAGGAAAACGTCTGAGGATGTGAAGGAGATGCCAGAGCGAGCCATTGGCGGGTAGGTGATGTATCATCTGATGAAGGACTCGTGTCCAAAATATGTAAAGGTCCTGCAAGTTGATACTAAGAGGACAAAAAAACCTCCATTAAAAATGGGCAAAAGAGCTGAACGGCTGCCCCACAGAAGAACATTTACGAATGAGCGATAAACACACGAAAGGAGCTGAGCCTTGTCAGTCATGAGGGGCGAGCTTCGGGGCCCTGGTCACAGGCTGCCTGGTCGCAGTCCACCGGACAGCGGCCACCTTGTCCACCCCGCAGTCGCCGAAGGGGAAGTCCTTGGGCTGCAGGGGGTGGGTGGGCTCCCCGCTGCCCATCAGCCAGCCTCGCCCCAGGCAGCCCGGGGCTGGGACCAGGTGCCGTGAGCGAGGAGCTCGCTCTGGATGCAGAATTGAAGGGGGCACCAAAAAAACTCAGTAATGAAGCTAAAATATACTTTAATGGGATATTGAAATTAATGCAAAACATTTATGATGAGAGGAAAGGCCAAGCTTCCCAACAAAGAGGGGGCCCGCAGGACAGCGCCGTGGGGTCTGTGGACGTGATTTTTGCTGCATCGCCAACTTAGAAGCCCGGGCAGGGGACACGGAGCTTAGAAGCCGGCAGGTCTGGGTGGAACGCTGGTTCTGACATGTGGTGGCTGTGTGTCCTTGGAAAGCTAAAGCAACCTCTCTGAACTTCAGCCTTCTCACCCATAGAGGAAAAATGAAGTGGGCGTGGTTACCCACTTGGACAGACCTCCTAAAGTTATGAAAGAGGCCCATAGGACAGGTGTCTGCTATCACTGACTGACATGGACAGAGGCTCTCCTGGGGGGTCAGAGGCAGAGGGGTCAAAGCAGGGAGGCCAAAGGTTAGGGCTGCCTGCTGTGGTGTTACAACCGGCCAAGCCCTGGGCTGGCCCTCGCTGCCCCTCCCTGTGGCACTGTCCTTCCGCCTGCCGGTGTGGGTCAGGAAACTGAGGCTCAGGTGTCCGTGACTGGCCTGAGGTCACACGGCAGGGACACGGCAGCCCCTGGACAGAGAGACCCTGTGTCCTCGGCCTGAGGCATCCGTCTGTGAGGTCTCAGGGGAAGGTGATAGGGTGGGGCCTCCCCTTCCCCAGAGAAGAGCAGCAGGTGGCCCTGCCTGGTAATTCGTTGTCTTGTTTCAGGTTGCCTTTCCCACCCGGGGACCGTGTGACCTTCAACGGGAAGGAATGCATGTGCCAGAAGTGCTCCCTGCCCAAATCCATGGGCGGCAGCTCGCACCTCTCCCAGGGCCTCTGGAGTAAGTGGGCGTCTGGTGGCGTGGTAGTGGGGGGAGCTGGTGCTGAGCCGAGGTGGGGGGTGGAGCATAAGGAAGGGAACTGGGACAGAAGTCTCTGGTACACTTGTGCCACTGAGCCTTTGCCCAGGCTGTGCCTGCTGCCCTGTACGCCCCTCCCGCTTCACATCCAACTCCCATCCTGCTTTGGGCCCAGCTCTGGTCTTCCTCCTCCAGGAAGCCCTCCTGGCCTACTTCTCATCCTCTCCCTCTAGCTCTCTGAGCTCCCCACAGTTAATTCCAGGCCATCTGGAAGCCCTTTGGGAGAGCATTAAAAGAGCCTTGAACTCTGGGATTCTATGGTCAGGGGTTCTATCTACATCCCAGGAGGCTGGCCTGGGTGTATATGCAGTAGGTGCTCAGTACATGGTTTTGTTTTGTTTTAAGATTTTAAGAGGTGAAGGGAAGGAGAAAAAGAGGGAAAGAAACGTCAATGTGTGGTTGCCTCTCACGAGCCCCCTCTCAGGGCCCTGGCCCACAACCCAGGCATGTGCCCTGACTGGGAATCAAACTGCGACCGTTTGGTTTGCAGGCAGGTGCTCAATCCACTGACCCACACCAGCCAGGCCCCAGTACGTGCTTCTTGCAGGAAGAAGCGGGAGGCCATTCCTGAAAGCTGGAACGCCAGCTGGACTGTCACTGGCTTGTGAGGCAGAGTGGGAGCGAGGCGGGAGCAGGCAGATGCTGGCTTTTCCCGCGTGGGCGAGTCTTTGGGAGCCAGGATGGATGTAGGAATGGGGCAGGGGCCCCGGGACTCCAGGACCTGCGGCTGCCAGGGCCCCACTGCAGAAGGGGAGTTTTCAGAGCCCACCCTGCTGTGAGGTCGCTGTGGTGCCCCAGGGCCACACGTCCTGGGGCAGAGGAGGGGATTCCCAGAGCCGGCCCCTTGTCCAGGACCGAATTCTTGTCTGGGGTGAGCACCCTCCCCCGCCCTCTCAGTTCCTGTTCATTCCCTTGTGCACACGGCCATTCCCCAAGCCGGTCTCCGCCGGCCCGTGTGGGCCCTGGACCTCGGAGTCGGAGTCTGCTTCTCGGTCACTTTCCGCAGCGGCACGTGCATTTGCACGGCATGACAACTTAGGAGAGCCGGGCCTGGCCAGCGGTTCTGGGCACAGTTTGTGGTCCTGCTGGAAGACCCACCTGCTGCCCAGGCCGAGACGCTCAGCCCCTGGCAGGCGGGGCCTCGGCTCCTGGCCCCTGGTCTCCCGCTCCTGGCCCCTGGCCCCTGGCCCCCGGCCCCGGCTGCACCTGGCCAGCGCTTAGCCATGCAGGCATCAGCTCTGTGACTTGTTTTCTGCACACTTGCACCTGCTGTGGAACAGGGTCCCACAGGCCCGCCCTGCTGGACTGTCCCCTCTGTCCTCTCCTCGGGGCCCTCTGATATTTCAGGGGTGTCCGGGGACCCAGCGGCGAGGCCCCTCACTCCTCTTGACCCATGGTGATGACGGCCGTGTTCTCCTCTTCCCTCCAGGTTGTGGGGGCTGCGGCACAGAGATAAAAAACGGCCAGTCCCTGGTGGCTTTGGACAAACACTGGCACCTGGGCTGCTTTAAGTGCAAAACCTGTGGGAAGGAGCTGAACGCGGAGTACATCAGCAAGTGAGTGGGGGCAGGGCGCCGGAGCCGCCGAGGTCTAGGGGTGCCTGCGGTGTCCCCACCCCCCGCTGCCGCCTCTGCATTTCCGCCCCGTGCCATTACACAAGGAACCCTGGCAGGGACTGGTGCATTTGTCCCCAGGCCTGGGCGCGCTCTCCCTGCAGCCAGGCCTCCCTAACACGGTTCTCAGACTCAGCTCCGTTTCGTTTGCTGAAACAGGCACCGCGCTGCCATGTCCGACTCTGGGACTCACCTCCCCACGCCCATTCCTGGGGTCACCCTCCCCGTGGAATTCGCCCCTTTGCTGGCACACGGCTGTCCTGCACGATGCAGAGTAGATGTCAGCTGGTGCCAGCGGCAGAGTGAGGGACACAGGCCCGACCAGTCCCAGTTGTCATGGGTGTGACATCTCAGCCCAATGCTTGGACTCTCCAGTGCAGGCCCCCCTTGGGCAGCTCCCACCAGCCCACACAGTGTCCTCAGCATGCAGTCGGCTGGTTTGGGGTGAGGGGCCCTCTGGGAGACCGTGGCTCTACACAGGGACACCTGGTGTGTGGGGTGCGTGCATTTCAGTCCCGAGCTCAGGGATGAGAGACAGGTGAGCCCCAAGGCACAGGCGACGGGAGAGTGAAGGCCCCAACATGCACACAGAGCAGGCTCCAGTGAGGGTCTCTGGGCAGCTGTCACGGACTGCGGTGTTTGTGCTGACGCTGAGGGGACAGAGCTGTCACAGGAACTGGTCGGGTTTTAAAAAAAGTCCTGTGACAAAACTGCGTAGAATGAAACACACATGCACGCACACGCACGCTGGCACCTCTGCACACATGCATATATACCAGCACGTGTGCACACACGCATGCACACATGTGACTGTACTGCGTTGCTTCCCCGGGCACTCGCACTCTGACTCTGCGGGGAGGGTGTGCGGGGTCTCTCGGCGCTCTTCCTCTCCGAGGCACGAGACCACAGGCAGCGCCCGCAGACCGTTCTCTGGAGGGGTCCCTCTGGCCAGGCTGGATCTGCCTGGGGCCTCTCTGGTCCCTCACCCGGAGGTTCGGCTGCTACCGTAGTGGAGGGAGGGGACGGCTGGTGGGCTGCCTGGTGGAGGGACATTAAAATAAAGTGAACGGCCCAGCCCCCAGCACACCCAACAGCTCCGTGGCAGCTGGCCCACGCTGCTCGGTTACCCAGCAGCCTCCAGACTCCTAGAACTGATGAGGAGGGCGTTGTGTTGCCATGGAGACGATGCCTTTGAACCTCCTGGGTGTGCTGCACATGCACCCACTTGTGGGGACGGGCAGGGGCCCTGAGGTCAGTGGCTGCTGTCCTGTGAACGGAGGGCTTCCCCTGTGAGGCTGGGGGGTGGCGGCGGCCCAGCGGCCCCAGGGCTTTGTCACTGCACAGCAGGCCCTCGCCTCCTGCCGGCATCCGAGACCTAGAGGTTGACCGTGGCGACACTGCAGCCGCTTTCAAGTGAGCTCCTCGCTTGGCAGATGCTGTGCCGGGTGTGGTGCCGGCGTCAGCTGCCCTTCCACAGCCTGCACCCTGGTGTTTTTCTTGCGGCTCCTTCAGTGGGGACTCAGTGTGCAAGCGACTTGCCCAGGGCTGCCCAGACACTCAGGAGCAGTGCCCCAAATGACGATGCCTCATCCTGATTTCCCAGTGCCACCGCCCTGATGCCACAGCGCTGATGGGCACGCTGTACAGGGGCATGTGGTGGGTGGCCCATCACCGTGTGGCCCCCGACCCCTCCCTGTGCAGGCGAGGCCTCTGCTGCCCCGCCTGAGACAGTGAGGTTCCCCCCAGCTCACCACGCCTGCCACCTGGCATGTGGCACCCCTCAGACCCAGTCCCTGACCTGGGCACTGTGGTCACATGCCCTTTCAAGCTCATGTTCTTCCAGGGTGGCCAGAGCCCTTTGGGAAGGAGCTGGAAGCCGCCCGAGGAGTAGCCGGGCCGTTTCCCACCCTGGATGTGGGAGGCCGGGGGCACAATGAACCGAAGGAACAGCCACATCTGCGGAACCATCATTTGTTTAGTTCTCAGATATGGCTTTTATTCCCTCGGCTCAGCCTCTGGAAGCACCAGCAGCCCCTCCCTCTGCTGCTGGGCACGTGGCCCCAGCTCTGCGCCCCTCAGTTTCTCCGTCCGTGAAGTGGGACCATCTGCGTGGTCCTTCTCCGGGCTGGTGTGACGGGGGTGAGGCCCTGCTCATACCTGTAAGTCTCTGAGGAACACTAAGGGTGGTCCTGTGACTTGCAGAAGGAGGCGGGCTTGTCCCCCTTGGGCAGGGCCCCCCTTGCAGGCGAGGGTGGTCAGGTCTTGCGGTGCTGGGGTGACCCTGCCAGTCCTGACCGCCTGGCTCATTGCAGGGACGGACTGCCGTACTGCGAGGCCGACTACCACGCCAAGTTCGGCATCCTCTGCGACGGCTGCGAGAAGTTCATCACAGGCCACGTGCTGGAGGTAGGTGCTGCCCCAGGTGGGCGCTGGGTTCCACCTGCCCCATGAGCTTCAACAGGGGCCTCCAGGTGACCGGCAGTCCTGCGTGTTGGTGCAGGAATCTGCACCCAGAGCCTTTGCCACCTTGTCTCCCACCTCTGCCAGGGGAGTCCTGGGAGTGCATACCGCCTCCTCCAGGAAGCCTTCCCGGTGACCTCATTCCCCTGTGAGTGGATAGAGCTGGAGAGGTGGGAAGGGCACCAGGTCCTGGGCATAGCCCTTGGAGCCTAGACGGGGAGTCTGAGGCCTGGAGGCTGTAGTGTGAGCTCAGGAGGCAGGACTGTTGTCCCCTCGGGAGGAGACAGGTGGACCCGGCAGACAGAGCACTTCCAGGGCGGGTTCTCCTGGATGCTGTCTGTGTGGTGGGGACATGGGCGTCTCCCTCTGTGAAAATAGGGTGTGTCATACACTCTCCTAAGTCTGTTCAGGAAGATGCATCCCGGGGATGACCAGGACCGAGCTCTGTCCACCCCGTCCCCCGTCCTCCACCTCCCTCTGTAACCCGCCCTCTGCTCCAAGCTGGGGCAGGCAGATGGATGGACCGTCCAGCCCTGCCCATGGCCCCTGGGGGAGGGCACAGGTGACCAGAGGACTCAGGGAGGGGCAGGGGGCTGAGCCCTGAGAGGGAAGGGGCCCTGGCCCAGACAAGGTCCCCAAAGTAACCTCTGGGGCGAGGACAGGTTGGGGCCACCGGGGGTCGATGTGCTTCTGCTGCAGTAACAGCGAGGAGAGCGTTCTGCTCCACTGTGTCTCTTGTCTTCCTGGAGACCAAGCCGCAGAGCCGCAGTCGCCAAGTCACCTGCCCGGCGCTGTTGCAGGGACGGGAGGCTCCTCAGGCGCCTTCCGGGGGGCGGTCTACACTCCTACGGGCAGGGATGCGGTCCCTGCCTTGCACCGGGAGTGTGGCCTTTACAGAATCCTCGGACAGTCTGGCGGGTGACAGGGAGGGGCCTTGCTGTCCCACCCCCATGAGCCTCTGTCTGCCACTCTTAGCCGATCATGTTGCAGTGTCCGGTTACATTTGTAACCTCTGCCCGTGTGTATGTGGGGGTCTCCGGGCGTTTCTCTCTGACTCGGGTGAGCGGGTCGCATGACAAGATTGCTGACACTTTGTCCTGTGTGTTCCTGGGCCGCGGTCACGCCTGATGTTTACGCCCATGGCCTCTGAATGCGGGGGACCGATGGGGGCATCCTCTCCTGGAATCGCTGCCGCCACCCCTCACGGGGCCACCCCTCTCCCCAGGGGCCCCTCACCCCTCTCCTCGCCCAGCCCTGCGCCAGCGCCCAGCAGCGCACCTCGCACAGACCCTGAGTCTCCCTGCTCCTTTCCACTCTCTCCTGAGACCTTGTTCTCTCTCCTGGGCGGCTCCCCTCCCCCACAGCGACCTTGTCTTCCCCTCAACAGGGACAAGGGACCAGGTGTCACTCAGGACTGTCCTGGGCTCACATTCTGTGAGCTCCCCATCACCGCCCTGTCCTCTCCTGCCCTTTCTGCCAAAGGTGCCACCCTCCTTCCCTCGGCCCCCACCTGTGCTCAGGTCCCTGTTCCTCCCCCACAAACCCCCCACCTGTGCTCAGGTCCCTGTTCCTCCCCCACAAACCCCCCACCTGTGCTCAGGTCCCTGTTCCTCCCCCACAAACCCCCACCTGTGCTCAGGTCCCTGTTCCTCCCCCACAAACCCCCACCTGTGCTCAGGTCCCTGTTCCTCCCCCACAAACCCCCACCTGTGCTCAGGTCCCTGCCATCTCCTCCCCTCCCTTGGGCACAGGCCTCCCCTCTCAAAGGCCTTTAAAATAGCTGTCGCTCCCATTAAAAAAGTGAAATTGCACAACCTCGAAGGAAGTCCCCCCTCCCTTCGGAGCCTAGTGCCCCACGCAGTGGCTGTCCTCTGGCCTCTGTGTCACCAGCCTCTCAGCTCAGTCCCCTGGGTCTGCTCTCCGGTTGACTAGCTGGGCAACACCAGGTTCCAGGAAGACCTGCCCCCCCTTTCCCACACACACTGTCCGTGGTCCCCCACCCTGCAGTCCCTCTCAGAGTCAGCGGTGCCACCTCCTGCCACACACCTGGCCCCTGGCAACTGGCTGGGCTTCACCCACAGGGAGGGTCCCCGGGGGCCCATGGGCCATGCCCAGTCAGGTGGCCAGACTGGAACCTGGGCTGCCCAGGCCCCCACCACTCAGCCTCCCCCAGTGCAGGGGCGGCGGTCGGGTTTCTGTCTGAGCTCTCAGCCTCTCGCCACGTTGTGACATCACCGAGCAGCCCAAGCGGGGCGCGTCCTAGGCTCAGGTGGGCCGAGCTGGCCGGGCCCGCTTCCTGGCGGCCGTGGTCTCTGCACCTGGGAGGGGGCAGACCTGACCAGACCCTGCTGCCTGCCCTGCCTCCGCGGCCCAGAGCCGGCGCCGCACTTGTCAGTCGAAGGCCCCGGTAACATCCTCAGAGACTCCAGGGACTTTGCCTGTGAACTGTCCCCAGCTTAGAGCTGGCCCCGTGGTAACTGGTGGGGCGAGGGGCAGTCCGCAGGCCTCCCCTTGGTGGGTCAGGAAGGTGGGAGTAAGGTGGCCCCGTCTGCGGCAGTGGTAGCACCCTGATATTTGACGCTGGGCCAAACACAGAGTTGGGGGGCCGGTGCCTGGGATGGGGCACCTCTGGGGCCAGCTTGGTTGCGAGTTGCTGGGAAAAGCAGGTCTGGGTTTTCCTGCCGGTCCATCCGCAGTGGAGGGTGCAGGGCCTCCCTGGGAAGATTGATGCTTTTGTTTTCGCCTCTGCCGGGAGCCGGGCTGGCTGAGTCGGCGGCTCTTCGAAGCTCCGAGATCCTCCTCGGCTTGAGGCGAGGCGGCAGCTGAGGGCGGGTGGAGACGAGCTGGCTGAGCAGAAGGGGAGCAGCCGCCACGGCGGCTCCTCAGGAGTCCAGCCCAGAGTGTGCGGGCGCCCGGCTGGACCGGCAGGGGACTCTGGGGGCAGCAGGTGGGGGGTGGCAGGATCGGAAGAGGAGGCGAAGGATCCAGACCCCTCAGGGTCACGTTGCCCGTGCAGCCAGCCTGTCCCAGGAGCGGGCCCGGGAGAGGGGCCGTGGGACCGGCTGGTCGGACTGGGCTCCGCTGCCAGGACCCCATGAAGGTAGGAAGTCTGGCCAGTCACCTTCAAGGGCTGTCGGGGGGGCCACAGGCTCCACGCTGGGCTGCAGGTGGGTGGGCTGGTGGGGAACAGGGACAGATCAGCCAGTGTGAGAACCCCAGGCCCCTGTTGCTGTCCCCCAACCTCCTAATTTTGCCCCCTAAGATTCTGCTTTTCACAGTGAAGCTGGTGAGGGACAGCAGCCCAGGCCCTCTCCCCACTGCCGGCAGGGGCCCGAGGTCCATGCCGCTCTGGTCTGCCTGCCTGCGACAGGCGAGTGCCATCCTGCTGCTGGGCGCCCTCAGCGCCTGCCCGCCCCCCTGCCTGTGGGCCGGGAAGTGTGCATCGGAGCCCGTGGGTGCTCCCTCCCCCTCCGTCTCTGAAACGGGCGTGGGGCCTCCTGCACTGTATGGGTCCCCAGTCCTGCACCCCTCGGGCACCTGTCGTGATGAGCCTGGTCCAGGCTGGGCACAGGTGCAGGAAGGGGCCTTAGGGATCTGTGGGTGCTGGGGGGCCTGACGGCTGCTCCTGGGAGCACAGTGGGCACCTGGGGCAGCCGAGCAACAGACCTGCCAGCCCCTGGCAGGGAGCTGCCCCAAGGAGCAAGCTGGAGGCAGCTGGTGAGCTCTCGGGGACTGCAGTGCAGCCAGACCACCTGGACCCGTGTTGACGGGGGAGGAGGTGCTGAGTGCAGGGGGTCCCTGCTCAGCCCTGGCCGGCACCTGGCCACACGCCTGCATCCCTGGGGGTGCTGCTCTCGGTGGTAGGAGTCGCAAGGTGCCCCTGCGCAGGTGGAGGGGGCGGCAGGAGCACGGTTGCTGCTGGCTCAGCCCCACCCTCCTCAGCTCAGGAGGTGCCGCTGACAGAGCCCCACCTGCCTCCTGCCGCCTGGCTGTCCCCATGGTAACGAGAAGGCAGGTGCCTCTGGGACCACTAAATTCGTCCTGCTTCCTTCTCTCCTGGGTTCCCTTCCTTCTTTCCTTCCTTCCCTCCATCCTTTCCCTTCCCTCTTCCCTTCCTCTCTCCCTTCCTCAGTCCACCACTCAAATTACAGATGCTTCCTGAACACTCACGGTGTCCCTCCCCGGGCTGGGGGGCTGCCTCCATGGAGATGGCAGTGACAGGACACCCCGCTGCCCTGAGGAGACCCAGGGGAGAGGGGACCACTCAGCCCGCTCCCCGCCCCCTGTCCCCATCAGGCATGCACCGAATGCCGTTGGCTCATTGGCTTCCTCCCTCGGTACTTTCCACTCGCCGCACGGGCAGGCATGACCTTCGTCATTGGAAGGAAATTAACCACGTGGTCCGAACAAGCAGAAGGATGCAGGAGAAGCCAACGTCCCAAGGGCTCAACTTCTTTGTTTCCTGGAAACCTTAGTGGGTTTCCTTAAAGCCCACACTCAGGAGGGGCATTTGCTTATCATAGAACAAACCGAAAAGTCATCCACAGTGAACACCGTCCCCCAGGCGAACCCTGTCAGAGTTTAGAAGTCACACAGGGACACACACAGACACACATGTACAGAGACACACACACAACACACGTGGGGACACACACAACACACACGGGAAGGGCTCAGAAAGGAGGCACGGCCAGCTCTCAGGGTGGAGGGAGGGCAGGGGCGGGTCTCGGGTATGCAGGGTGCCCCGCAGCTCCGTGGGGAAAGGGGCTGCCATTCCCTCTGCAGGGGGCTGAGGCTTTCTGGACCCGAGACAGGCCCGTGTGGGTACTGACCCTGCCCTGCGCGTCCCCGTGCCCCAGCCCTGCTCTGACTCCTCCCACCGGGGGGACCGCACTTGTCTGTGCCCCGGGGCCTTGGTACCTGCCTTCCTTGCTCCATCTCCTGCAAGGTGACAGCCACTTGCCAGAAGGCACAAGGGGCTTTTTTAACCACACACTACAAACCTCGTGGGCATTAATGTACTTTTAAAGCCTGAGCCCTCCGGAGCTCCAGCTGGGGGCCGGTGGCTGCCCCTGTGACACCTCGGTGTGGACACTTGGGGCCCTTTGTGGACAGGCCTTGGGAGGGCCAGGCCCTGAAGGAGCTGGCGTGAAGTGTCTGGGGACGTGGCACACTGTGGTCACACTGTGAGACTGTGAGAGGGGACAGGAGTGGCAGTGGGGACTGGCAGGAGCGAGGATACTTTCATTTTTGACTCTGCGGCCTTAGTCAGCTTGGGCTGCTGTGGACTGTGGACTGTGTGGTTTTTCTCATGGTTCTGTGGAGGCTGGCCACCCACAGTCACACTGCCAGCCCCCGCAGTTCCCGGTGTGTCCCCACATGGCTGAGAATGGGTGTGGTGTCTCATCTCATAAGGACAGTAGTGCCCTCCTGAGACTTTGTGGGGCCCTAGGGGCCAGGACCGAGCTCCTTTTCATGGCTGAGTAATATTCCATTGCATGAGTGGGCCCATTTTTTAGCGCTCACCCACGGACGGGCACTTGGGTCGATCCCACTCTGCGGCGATGGAGAGTCATGTTGCTGTGAGCACTCATTCGCCAGTTTTGTGTGGGCCTGTGGCTTTGTTCCTCCCACTCTGTTCTCTTCGTTTAGGCATCTCGGAGTGGGGTCGCTGGGTCCCGCAGCACACAGCTCTGTGCTTCCGAGGCCCCCACAACAAACTGCTTTCCACGGTGCAGGGTGGAGCTGCGTTCCCGCCAGAGAGCCGGCCAGTTTCTCCCCGGTCCCTCCGACACCTGCTTCTCCGTTTGGTTTGGTTTTGTCGCCGCCCTCGTGGTTGTGCAGTGGCCCCTCTTTGGGGCTGGAATTTGTGTTTCCTCAGCGGCACCAATGTTTGAACACACTGGATGTGCTTCTTGGCCGTGGGGCGCCTTCTGTGGGAATGTCTGTCTCAGTCCTTTGCCCGTTTTTTCAGCTGGATTGTGTCGTTTTGTTCTTAGGCTGTGAGAATTCTTCACGTTCTTCGAAGACTGAGCCCGTATCAGCTCTATGATCTGCAACACCTTCTCCTGTTCTGTAGGCGGTCTTTCCACTTTCTCAGTCATGTCCTTTGTGGCACGAAAGGTCGTAATGCACAAAGTGCAGTTCGCCCGCTTTGTCTGCCGCCCACGTCCTGGTGTCCAATGCAGACCCGCTGCCAACCCTGGGCTGTGAGATGTGCCCCTGCGCGTCCGTCCGAGAGTTCGATACTTCTGGCTCTTACTTTGGGTCATCGACCCATTCTGTGCCACAGAGGAGTGTGCGAATCGCGCATGCGTGTGGCTTGATAACTTTCCACCAGCCGGACACCACGTAACCAGAGCAGGAGAGAGGGCGCCCAGCACCCCCCTGCCCCGAGACGCCCGAGCCCCCAGGGCAGCCAGCACCCCGACTATAGCAATGCAGATTCCTGTCCCGGGTTCTGAACTGTGTGATGGCGGAACCTACTCTTTGATGTCTGACTTCTGCCCCAAACCTGTTCTGGAAGCATCTCCCCAGCACACAGGGCCCCTTGGGCCTGGTCTGCACCGAGTGCACCGTGGGGAAGGGAAGGGAAGGGGAGGGGAGGGGAGGGGAGGGAAGTGAGGTGTGTGTGAGGCACTTTTACCCTCCCCACCCCCGTCTTCCTTATTTCGCAAAGCGACCCTTGTTCACATAGGTCAGGAAGCCGTGGTTAGGCCACCGCGTGAGCCGCAGGGGTCAGGGTCCGCAGTTAGGAACAGGCCGCGGCGCCCCTCCCCCACCTGTCTGTGGGGGTGAGAAGTAGTCTCTATAAAGTAACACAGTATTTTGGGGTGATTTGGGGGTTTCTTTGGCATCATGTAGAACTAAGCCAAACCAGCAAATGCAATTAGTTTAGGTTATTTCAGTATTCATATTTTAATCTAATTTAATGGGTTTTAAGAATTATAAAAGTAATAAGTGCTAATTGAGAAAACCCAGCAATACGAAGATACGTAAGAAAATTGCTAACCACTTTTCACTTCACCTCCCCAGTCCCTCCACCTGGGGGAGAATTCAGCTTTATCCCCGCCTCCCACCCTGGCCCCCAGTGGGCAGGCCCAGCCTTTCCACACAGCCCCCTGGGGCACTGCCGGCCTCACAGTGCCTCCGCCACCCCCGCACCCCTCCACGCCCCCAGCAGACCACCTGTGCTCTGTCCTCTCAGGCCGGGGAGAAGCACTACCACCCCTCGTGCGCACTGTGTGCCCGCTGTGGCCGGACGTTTGCCGAAGGCGAGGAGATGTATCTGCAAGGTAGGAAGGAAGCCCCCGCCGGCCCCCGGGCCCATTCCCTGGGCTGGGTGGGAACTGGTGGGCCAGGGCGGTTCTCTGGCCAGTTAGGAACTGTGCTCATGAGGAAGTGGGGGGAGGGGGCAGGGCCTGAGCAGGCTTTCCTGAGCAGCCGTGGGGGGTACCGGGACCTGGTAGGATGGGGTGATGGTGGGAGGCAGAGCCTGGGGACCTGCGTGTGTGGAGGGGACCCCATGCTGCTCAGACCCTCCCCCAGGCGCCCGGGGGATGGCTGACACAGAAACCCACCGCCTTGGCCACCAACCCTTCTCAATGATGTCTCTGTCTCCGGTGACCGGGGCAGTGGAGCCAGACCCGGGGGGGGGCGGGGTGGGCCACTCAGTCCCCAGCAGGTGGCTGTTTAATGGCGTCACTCAGGGTTGTCTTGGGGGCTGTGTGCCAGACAGGCCTCCTTTTCTGAGGCTGGACCTCACAGGGTGATGTCAGCGCAACGGCCCTGTCCCCAGTGTCCCCTCTTGTTCCTTGCATCTCCACTGCAGAGCCCGTGAAAGGAGCTCCTTGCGCCCCCGCAGTGCTGGGGTGTCTGGTGGAGGGAGGGGGTGCCCCAGCCTGAGGCACCTGCCCCCACTGTGAATGGTGCTGTCGGGCCCTTCTGACACCAAGCACAGTGGTGCGGGGACGGCGGCGTGGGGACAGCGGCGTGGGGACATGAGCTTGCCATCACAGGCACACTTTTAAGCCTCTGCTGTGTGCCAGGCCCTGTGTGGCTTGCCTGGGCATCAGAGAGTGGGGCAGACACAGTTCCCACCTTCACAGCAGGTCTGGCACTGGTGGGCCATGAACCTGGTCAAGCAGCCATGGCCATGAACCCAGGCCCGCACGGTGAACCCAGCCCCGGCAGCCACGTCCGCAGGCAGAGGATGCATGAGCAGGGTGGGCCGCAGTGGGGAGGGGTCGGCTGAGGTTCCGGAGGCCGGGAGAGGGAGTCCTCTGGGCCCGGGGGGGTGGGGGTTGGGGGGCAGGGGCCTGAAAGGGTGGGATGGTAATGTGGGTGTGCCGTGGCTCACGCCTCCTGCGGCCCCACTGAACTGTAGGAGACCCCCCGCAGACCGAGCAGGCTGGGCTGTTGCCTGCTCTGCTGGCAGGTGAGAGAAACCTGGCCCTAGGGCAGGTTGGCTTTGAATCAGAAGTGGGCAGAGCACCAGCCCCCGGGCACTTGGTGACTTTGGTGGTGGCTGTCGATGTGGGTGGCTGGGAGGAACTGGCAGGTGGAGAAACTGAGGCAGGAGAAGGTTCAGAGACCAAGTGACTCAGTGGGGGAGTCAAGCCCGGGGTCAGGGCCTTGGGCCGGGCCCCCCCGTTCTCAGCCCTGCTCCTCACCCCACACTGAGGCTCCCCCTTCCCGCCCCCCAGCCAAGAGCACAAAGCCCTTATCCCCAAGACTGGTCCCCACCCCAGCCGCAGCCCAGCTGTGCCCACGGTTGGGTCTTGCTGCTGCCCCTGCCAGGGAGGAGCTGGGACAGGTCACGACACAGCCCCTTCTCTTCCTCTGCCTCTGAACTTGAAGCCCCTCAGCTGCCCGTCCTGTGAGAAACCTTGTCTGGCTGCCCTCAGCCAGGCGAGGTGGCCTCACAGCCTCTGTGGGAGCCCGTGCAGCCCCCTGGGGGAGCAGCGAGCTCACGGGGGCATGTTTGCCCATTAATGTCATGTCCCCCAACCGGTCTATGGGTCCCCTTGGGCAGGGCCTGTGACCTGCTTGTCCCGACCCAGCACTGACTCCAGGCAGAGAGCACCCAGGGGCTCCTCGGAGGTGGGGGATGAGTGGGCGTCCACATGTGAGCTGCCGGACCTGCCCCCTGACCGCCAAGGTCCCCACGTCCTGGCATGGCACTGACCACTTCCGTCTCGGGACTGTCCCCAGGTTCCTCCATCTGGCACCCAGCCTGTCGACAAGCATCCAGAACTGAAGACAAAAACAGGGTGAGTGGAAGTCACTAGTTCTTCACTGCCATAGAGTTAAGAAGACACTGACCGGCTTCTGCAGGCTATGGGGCAGGTGGCTCGGGGGCCTGGGGGCGCGGGGTTCAGGCGTGAACAGGCAGCTCTGAGGGACAGGGCAGGGTGGGCGAGGGGCGTCCCGGGCTCCCTGCCCTGGCCTCTGACCGCTTCGTTTGCTCGGCAGGTCCAGGAGGCTGTGTCATCTGGGGGCAAGTCCAAAGTTAGCGGGGCCCCAAGTGATCTCCAGCGTTTCAGCCCAGTTCCCAGAACCGTCCCTAGGGTTATAGACACTGGGATTCGGGATGAGAGTAGCCCACCGGCCCCCCCTCCCACCTGCTGCCACTGCTCCCAGGCCAGACCGGACCCCGCTGCTAGGGGACCCTCGCGCCGAGTACTGCGCGTCCCCCAAGCACAGCACTGGGACCTGGGGGAAGGCAAAGGAGGCAGAGCCGTTGGACCACTGTCCTCCTGACTCCAGGGACACGGAGGCTGTGGGGGGAGGCTGGTGACATGCTGGTTTCCTACGGGGCGGCAACGACTCAGACGCGTGGCAACAGCTGATGGTTACCCTGCAGAGCTGGGGCCAGAGGTGTGACCCGGCGGCGGGCTGCGGCCTCCCGGGGCTCCCAGGGGAGTCCACTCCTGTCCTTCTGGACTGCCCAGACCGCCACCCCTGCAGTCACGTGTGGCCACCCGAGAATCCAGGACAACCTCCCCCTCAGGCTTCTCCGTCCTGTCCCGTCTGCGAAGTCCCCGTGGCCACACGAGGCCACAGCTGCACGACTGGGGAGTTAGGACCTGAGAATCCTTGGGGGTGCTGCTGCGCCTCCTGCAGGTATAGAAGTGCCCGTCACAGTTTGTCACGCACATAGCTGGGGTGGCAGGAAGTAGCACCACACTGCCCTCCGTCCCCTCCCACGGCCGATTCATTTTGCGAACTGCCCCTGTGCCGCCCAGCCTCAGAGATGGGCCGGAGCTGCAGCCCCTGACCCTGCAGTGACCGCCGGGCCCGACCTTTGGGTGGGGGCCCCTCCATCCGGACACGGGGGCCAGCATGCTGAGGGGTCCCTGGACCCCATGCAGGTGTGGGTGTGGGTGCAGGTCAGACTGACCAGGGAGCAAGGAAGGGCCCTGGGAGCATGGCAGGCCCACTCGGGGACAGGCCAGGGTGGCCGGCACTGGCTCCTGGATCCTGGGCCTGGCCTCAGGGCCCGCCGAGAGCCCAGCTCTGCGTGCCCCTGCTCTCCACCCAGAGGCTGCCGAGAGGAGCAGGGCCACTGGCCCCACGAGAGGCAGGCCGTCTGAGTGCTGGTGGGTGGCAGAGGAGGGAGGGGCCGTTGCCTGGGGCCGCACAGGCTCAGCGGCTTCCTGAGCTGTTCTGGAAGATGTCTTGGGAACATTGGGGGAAGAGGCCAGCAGCCTGAGAGCAGCTGCCCACCCAGCGCCTCCCCCTCCACTCCTGGGACAGGGGCCAGGCCCCTCCGTGCCCTGCTCGTCCCCGCTTGTCCCTTTCTTCCCCCACCCGACGTCCGAGCCCCGCCCCAGCCCCTCAGAGCCTCGTCTGTCTTGCCTGGGAAATGAGAGCCATCTCCAGGCCGGGGCCCAGGCCAGCCAGGGTGGGTGGGGCAGGCCTGCATGGTCCTCCCTGGGCACTCGGGTGCCTTGGAGACAGTTCCCCGGCTGTCTGGCTGCTGTGGACCGGGTGGCAGGAAGAGAGAGCCATTTACTGGCCATGAACCAGCCAGACCCAGTCAGCTCCAGCCAGCTCAGCGGGGTCGGCGCCAGAGGGCCACCAGCCCCTGAGACACGCAGCAGAGGAGTCGTGGGCCTTGTTGATTCTCTGAAACTGGCCCCAAGTCAGGGTGGCCCCACTGTGACCTGGTGGCTTGTAGGAGAACTAACCTGCCTGTCCTGGGGGCATGCCTCTCGGTGCCAGGCCTGGGGGCCCCGGGAACAAATGGCTTTCCTGCCCAGCTGTGTGACCGCAGGCCAGTCACCAGCCCTCTCTGAGCCCCTGCCCCTCAGCTGAGACATGGAGAGGAGTGGGTGTTGACAAGACTTGTGGGTAACTCTGTGAGAACTGGGCACCCCAATCCCTTTGCAGGTGGTGCTTCCCGAGGGCCAGGCTGAGGGGTGGGGCTGGGGGTGGGGAGCTGCCTGGCCCCTCCCAACGCTGTGGGCGCATCCGAGGCCTGGAACGAGGCCTGCACTGGGTTCAGTGGCGCGGCTGCCCTGGGTGAACTGGAGTTGGGGCAGAGAGAGCGAGACAGCACCCAGCCCCCCGACCCCACGGGAATAATCTCCACTCAGCCCCCTTGCCAGCTGGGCTCAGTGACTGGGGAGGGGCTCAGTGACCAGGGAGGGGCTCAGTGACCGGGGAGAGGCTCTGCTCCCACCCCATCCCACAGGGCGGCTGCTGGCCCTGGGCCACCTTAAACGTGCTGGAGCAAACAGACCCCAGCGGCAGCCGGCATGGCCCGAGCATCCTGGTCACGGCGGTGCCCACGTAGCTTGTGCCAGAAAGACTCCTGGGCGCGGGGGACGGCACAGCGCCCTGCTGCTGCCTCAGCTCAGGGACTTCCTCCCAAAACACCCAGTGTGAGTGCGGGGGCGTTCTGTCGTGGGCCCTGGCTGACCAGAGAGGAAAGCGAGGATGATGTCGGAGGCCAGCGGCTCGCGGGCCGTGTCTTGGACTCGTCAGAAGCAGAGCCTTTGGGGGGATGCAGGGCCAGGGTGGTCTTCCGTTTCCTAGAGCAGGAAGCTGAGAGGCAAAGGGCGTTTCCAAATGTGTAAATGTGTGAGTCCCTCATTTGTGGCCAGTAAGAGAGGCCACCCGGCCACAGGGACAGCGAGAAAGCAGGCCCTGTGTGACCTGCCTCGGAGGGGAACCATCTTCTTTGCAAACGGAGCATGACGCTGTCTTGCCTGGGTGGCCGAGGCCTCGGGACTGCACTGTGGGTTCGGGCTGAGCTTCCCGGACAGACCCTGGGCCTGGCTGGCCCTCGGAAGCCAGTGTTCTGAGGGGGCAGGCAGACCGGAGACTGTGCTCTGTGCAGCACGCAGAGCTGGGTCAGGGGGCCCGGGAAGGCACGGGGGGGGGGGGGGGCCTCCAGGGCGCGGCAGCACCGAGCTGCACCCTGGGGCAGGGAAGGGGGAGGCCCAGGCTGCCAAACGAGCCCACGCAGAGCCAGGTGCACACGTCACGCCCTCTCCCTCTCTCCTTCTGGAGGCAGACGCAGGTCTTCTTGGGCGCAGCCCCCTGGGCCTTCCAGGTTTGTGGGCCTGACACCTGGTCTCGGTGTCGTCCTGTGCTCGCTGCCTCTGTGCTGCGTGTAGGGGCAGCGTGCTCTCCACCGGGGCGGGGGCGGCTCCACAGCCTGGGTCCGTGTCCTGGGCTGCCCCGGTGGCGCCCCAGACCAGGGCTGACACAGCAGAAATGCATCTCCTCCCGGTCCCAGAGGCTGAGACCCAAGGCCACGGCGTGGGCGAGCCGGCTCCTCCCGAGGCCTCTCTCCCTGGCACTGTGGCGCCGTCTTCCCCTGTGTACTCAGGGGTTGTCCCTCTGTGTGTGTTCCCAGTCTCTTCTTGGAAGGACTCTGGTCGTATTGGGTCAGGGCCCCCCCTGAAGGCCCTGGTTTAATCCCAAAGCAGTCGTGCTCTGGGTGCTGGGAAACAACCTGGGGGTTGGGACTTCCACCCATGGGCTTGTGGGCACCACTCAGCCCATGATGGGGCCCCGCCCAGGTTGCTGGTGCTGCAGCAGGAGTCAGCCCCTGATTGATGAGGGTGGGACAGAATAGCAGGGGCAGGGAGGGGCCTGCTTAGGAAGCAGGAGGGGAGATAGCAGGGCTGAGCAGGGAGTGGGGGTCAGGTTCTCAGCTGGGAGCGTCTTTGTGGAGAAGGGCCCCATTTAGAAGGGGCAGTGGGGAAGCCTGGTCAGGTTCGACCAGACAGGGGTGGGGCTGGGCCCAGTGGGCGGAGCTGCCAGGCCCCGCCCTGCAGGTGGGGATGGACACAGGTGTGGTGGCCGGGGTGGGAGCCTGAGAAGGACAGCATCCATGCAGATGTGGGCCGGCCTGACACAGGGAGCAGAGGGTATAGGTGGGGGGCAGGAGATGTGGGCAGGGAGGGGGGTGAGCAGGAGTGGTTCCAGACAGCAGTGAGCACTCGAAGGGCAGGCTCTGTGTGTGACAGCCACAGAGAGGCCCGGAGCCAGACCGAGGGCTCCCTGGTGACAGTGGCCAGTGGTGACCCCAGGAGGCTGTTTACGAGACACACTGGGGTGCCGGGCCAAACGTGGGGTCACTGCCAGGACTGCTGGTACCTAGAAGGGCACAGGGCGGGGTGTCAGAGGGACGAGGAATCAGGCTAGAGACTGGTCTTTGGGGTCACGAGACCGTCCCCAAGTCTGACAGCAGAGCCCGGGCACGTGGGATGGGCTGCCCCAGGTCCCCATAGTCTAGGTGGGAAGTGGCGTCTCTGAGCGGCACTCTTCTGTGCCTGAGACGTCCTTTGCCACTGGCACTCAGCGCCCCTTGAAAGCCTGTGGCTTGCTCTGGTCCTCTGGAAAACAGAGCACGTCTGGCCCCTGGCAGCTTGGTGGCCACCGGTGCTAAGGGCGTCCCTGCTGTGCTCTCGGCCCATGTCGCCGCCCTGTCTGTCTGGTGAGCTTCCCAGTCCACTCAAGTCTGCCTGTGCATTTTAAGAGTCCTTTCAACCTGCCAGCCTCCCTGTTGCCATGAGCTGTCACCGGTTCCTCCGGAAGGGCCTCTGCGTCCCCGTGCTGTGTTTTCAGTCTCTCCCTGTCCCCTCCGTTCCCAGGAGACCCGCACGTCCTCGGAGAGCATCATATCCGTGCCTGCGTCCAGCACCTCAGGGTCTCCCAGCCGAGTGATTTACGTAAGTTGGTTCTTTCTGTGGAGAGCAGGGAGGGGACAGGTCCGGACCGCCAAGTGAGCCCCCGGGGGCTGGGGTGTCCTCGACAGGCACTGGCTCGGCCGTCCCTGCTGTGGGGACAGTGCAGACATTAGGATGCTGTTGGGGGCTGTCCCAGCCGCTCCCCAGGTGTGTGGCGAAGAGGGCACAAGGAGGCCCTCACAGCGGTGTTCGTGGTGGTGTGGAGGGCCTCTGGCCCCAGAGCCGTCCCGTGGGACTGTCTCTCCCGCCCTGCAGAGAGGCAGTGGAAGCTCAGGGCAGGCACTCCCTCAAGGCCGCGGAGTCTCCTCCGTGGACAGGTGTGAGGGAACCAGGCTGATGCGGTCTCGGGGCTCCTTCGCGCGGCTGCCTCTGCACAGGGGTCTCACTGCGCCCCTTGGCTCCTCCTCTCCTCGCAGGCCAAGCTGGGCGACGAGATTCTCGACTACAGAGACCTGGCCGCTCTTCCTAAAAGCAAGGCCATCTACAACATCGACCGCCCCGACATGATCTCCTACTCGCCCTACATCAGCCACTTGTCGGGAGACAGGCAGAGCTGCAGTGAGGTACGGCCCCGGGTGCCAGCCCACAGCGGGGTCCCCTGACTCAGTCCTCACTGCTGTCCAGGGTGCTGGGCCTGCTCTCCCCCCGAGATGCGCCGTGCGCTCCCTCTCTGAAGAATTCCCACTGTGCTCTGCCCCAGACACCCCCGGCAGACCCCGCAGGCACTGGGGACTGAGTCTGGACGAGCTCTGCCTCAGGGCCGGGAGCAGGAAGCGTGTGGTGTTCAGGAAAATGATAGGAATGAAGTGAGAACCCCTTCCTTTTCACAGTTTGGGTGATTTTCACAATGTATGAAATGTGTAGTTTTCTTTTATTCAGAACATTCTGGACCTTGCTCCACCCCCACCGGCCGTGGCTTGTCCCCCTGTCCCTTGACTTCCGGGAGCTGGTGGAACCCGGGGGGCAGCACCCTTTGCTGCTGACCTCTCAGCCGCAGCGGCCCTCCTCCGTTTAACGCGGGGCTTGCTGTGGGTTCCCGGGTTTCTTCCGGTGGTTTTGAGATTTCCGGGAGACCACGGTGCCCGTGGCAGACAGAAGGGCATCTGCCAACCGGCAGCCGGAGCGTGTGTGCTGTGTGCGCGTGTGTGTGCCAGCAGGAGAGCTCTGTCCCCCCACCCATGTCCCCAGCCCCTCCTACCTGAATCTCCCTCAAAGGCCCCCCTGGGGAGCGCAGCTGGGGCTCCAGGTGCCAGGCAGAGGGGACAGTGCAGCAAGCCCCGCCCGGCCCTGCTGACTCGGGGCACCGGCCGCTCTCACCGTGCCGGCACAGCTGTGGGGCTCAAGGGCAGGGTGGGGAAGGTGAGGCGGGCATGGCTTCCCTTGCTTGGGGGCCAGTAGGTGTTCCCCCCAACCTGGCCACCACCAAGTGGCTCTGCCCCTGGGGATTTACGGGACCCCAAGGATCTGGACCATTGGTTTCGTGAACGGAGGCTGGAGGGCGAGGTGGGAGGAACATCCCGACCTGCACCCTCTACCACGAGCCAAGCTCTGGGCCTCATGGCCCAGTGTCCGGTCTGAGCCCCAGCAGAAGGCTGCAGAACAGGGTTGGCGGGGCCAGGTGGTGGCCATCGTCTCCCAGGGCAAACAGATTTCTGTGGGACAGACCGTGCTGACCTGCTGTGATGGGCTGGTCACCGTGCCCTCAGGACCCAGGGCCGCCACTGGCAGAGCGGGCCTGCACCCACACCCCAGGCCCCAGAAGCCCTCTCTTTCTGGGGCTGCCGGGGCGTGGCCGCCCCGCGCCCGGGACCCGCACTCTTCCTTTTGGAAAGAGGCCTCCTTGGGAGAGGGCTGGGGCGTGGGGGGCGCGCCGCATGGAGACGGCCCCGGGCTGGCACCAGGCAGTGCCCCGGGTTCTCGGGGCGCCGTGGACCGTATCTCTCCAAAGAGAAGGTTTGGAGCCCGTGGTGGGCCCCGCTTCTGTGGGGGGAGGAGGCCCACTTGCGTGAGTGTCTGTGCCCTTTGTCATCTCTCCACACAAGTGGCTGCCTGGCGCCGAGGTGCTAACGGCTGCTCCGTGTTGTGTCCACAGTCACCTCAGTTGCTCTCGCCAACACCGACGGAGGTAACCGCCGTCCTCACCACGCGCTCCAGGGCTGCCCCCACCCCTGCTATAAAGATAACCGCCTGCCGCCCCCAGGAGGGCCCCTGTGGCTCTTGACCCTGCATCTGGGGCCCTGGAGCTCCGTGGCTGGGGCGCCCTCCTGGGCGTTGGCTATTTTTACAATCCCGTCTCACCTGCATGTCCCCCACCCCCCGGTGCATCTGCCCGCCCTGCGAGAGCAGAGCCTGGGACTGCCTGCGGTCTGGGCCATGGCTCCCTCCCAGGGACAGTCCAGGAGCCTGGGGTAGCCAGGCCACCTCCTGCGCCTCTGTGGGGTCATACAGGAAGTCCCTGTGGATAAACATAGGGCAGCATCCGGAAGCACAGCATTTGTAGTTAGCAGCCAGCCAGACTTCAGTCTGCGTGGGCATCACACCCTGGGGCCCAGGAATTTGATGACCGGTGAGCCCCACGGCAGGCAGTGTGAATTGACCAAAGGGCTACGCAGAGGGGCCCAGAGACGGGGACCGGACGGCGGGGCTGCAGCTGCCCAGGCCAGTGCTGTCTCTGTGGCCTGGGCGGGCCAGAGGACTGGGGGGCAGCCCAGGTGGGTGCTGGCAGGTGCAGGACCCGCTTGGGGCGTGGCCTGACCGGAGGTTGGGGACGGGGCGCCCAGGCCAGTGGTAGGGACAGTGGCTCAGCCCCTCTGGGTGGCAGGTAACTTTGGGGAGGCGTGGGAGCCTTGAGTGCCAGACCCAGACTCTCCCCTTGCTCATCCCCACCCACACGGGCCTCAGGGGCCGTGGCGGGACACTGGGCTGCCCTGTGTCGTGACCAGGGTGGCATGCTGTGCCATGGTGGGCCCTGCAGCCTGCGCTTGCCCTGCACCGCGTGCTGTGCTGTCTCGTGCGCCCGCCGCCCTCTCTGACCGCCCCAGACAGGTGCTCGTTCTGCTCGAACAGAGTCTGTGTGGTCGGTGCTTGTGGTTCTGACTCAACCGGACTCCAGGCCCAGGAGGGGTGCCTTCCTACCCCCCATGCCTGGGGACCCCCATCAGGCTGGGGCGGGTACAGAATCTCGCTGGTTCTCAAACTGTGTTCCAAGGAGCCTTGGGTGCTGGGAAGGATTGGGCACGGCCCGGGTGGGGGTGGAGCTGGATGTAGGAGGAGCAGGTGCCCCCACCCTCCTCCCCCGTAGTGGGGGCCTGGCCACAGGAGCCGCTGTTGGAAGGGTGGGGCGAACCTGCCCTCCAGCACCTGGCGGGCAGGTGCGGAAACCGTGCTCAGGCTTTCGGGGCCTTCAGTACTGAGGCCAGGCCCCTCTGGCTCTCATCTTGGGTTGAGTCAGGCTCAAAGGTCAGGAAAGCACCCCCCAGGCAGGTGGGGCAGAGGGTGGGAGCGGGCGGGCCAGGGTCCAGCTGCCATGTTCACCAGGCTGTCTCCCCCAGGGGGACCAGGACGACCGCTCCTCCAAGCAGTGCCGGACCTCCAGCCCGAGCTCCGCCGGCTCGGTCAGCCTCGGGCGCTATACCCCGACCTCACGGTCGCCCCAGCACTACAGCCAGCCAGGTACTTGGCCCCACGGCTTCCTTTCCCCCGGCGAATCTGTCTTCTTGCTGCTCTTTCTGTTCCGAATCTGCCTCTTACACAACAAGGGGGAGAGGGATGGGCGGGGTGGCCTTGCCGAGGGCAGTGGGGAGCCTGGGTCACCTCTGTGACCCAGAGGAAAGGCCCCGCCCGGGTGGGGAGGCCGCCGCAAGGGCAGCTGGTTCATCTGAAGGCAGAGGGCCTCGGGACACACAAGACAGAGCTGAGCGTGTAGCCCGTGTAGTTAACGTGTCTGTAGGAGACATGTCAGGAAGAAAAAGTTGCGTTTACGGTGGTAGACACAAGTCAAATAGTCCCGAGCCCAGCGTGGGTCTGGGAGGGGCTTGAGGGAGGCAGGGTCGGTGGCCAGGAAGCAGAGTCGATATCCGCTGACACTTCCCTCGGGGAGGCTGGTGGCCCCCCGGATGGCAGTCTCGTGGGGAAATTAAAGAGGCGGCGCCAGCTGCTCTGAGCAGGGAGAAGCCCTGTGCGTAGGGTCCCTCTGCCCCTTCCTGCCCCATCCTCTGCCTGGTGCCAGCTGTGTCCTGCTGCCCTGTAGCTTCCAGAACTCCGAGTGGCCCTCGGTGTATCAGAGCCACAGGGAGGCTCCACCCACAAAAAGGGCGCTGCCTTTTTGAGGGATTTTTCCACACTGCTTCCCACCCAGCTGGCTGTTGCATGACTCCATCTTTGCATCTGCAGACTACAGCTAATTTTGCAGCCTTGGTGGAAAAATCAAATCTCACTCCTGTGCAGTTATTTTTATTGGCTCCCTGCAATGTGCCTGGTACATCCTGCTCAAGGACAGAGGTTTGGAAAGTGGGTGAATGAGCGGGTGACTGAGTACGTGAATCAATGAGTGAGTGAATGATGAATGAATGAGTGAGGAATGATGAGTGAGAGAGTGGGTGAGTGAGCAGGCCGGTGAGTCAGGGAGTGAAGGACAGGTGGACTTTCCCAGGGCCCCTCTGCTGGCCTCTGACCATGGTACTTTGAGTCACGTGGTAACCCCGGAGAGCCAAGACCTGAGTTTTAGCTGGTGAGGTCGTGTGATTGCCAGGTGACAGTCTGCACTCACTCCCGTCCAGCCAGCTGCTCTCCACCTGCGTCCTGATCCCGAGGAGCCCCAGGTGGGGCGCCGGGCAGGACTCAGGGTGCCAGCAGTTCCCAGCTCCCAGAGGGCGCGGCGTCCTTGCTCTGAGCCTGGAACCGGCTGGGGCACAGTGGATTTGGTGGCCCCCCTCCAAAGGTGTGCCTTCTCAGAGAGAGGACACAAATGTGTTCCTAGCAGGCAGGGTCTGGAATGGTCTGTGGCTCTGAGGCCAGTGAGCCCGTGTGGACTCTGACTTGCTCTCTGTCGCCCGCAGCTGGTACTGTGAGTGTTGGTACCAGTAGCTGCCTGTCCCTGTCCCAACACCCAAGCCCTACCTCCGTGTTCAGACATCATTACATCCCCTACTTCCGAGGTAAGGCGCGCCGCGCTGCGGGCTCTGGGTGCCGCAGGGTGTCCGCCACGTCTGTGTCTCGTGTCTGTGCTGCCGCATGGCTTCCCTGAGCCCCATGTCTCACGCCCCTGCCCCTCGCTCTGTGTTCGTGAGTCCAGCTCTGTTTCTGTCAGTGTGTGTGTCCCTGGGAGGGACACGCAGGCCCCTGGGTAGGTAGAGGAGTGAGCGGCAAGGAGCCAGGTGGGAGGCTTCAGGGAGAAACCAGGACCCATCCGTCACCTGCCCTTGGGCCCGAGTCATCTCATTTCCCGTGAGTCAGCGCCGCAGGGCACAGGGGCTGCTGGCAGTGGCCTTCGGGACCCAAAGCGGAGGCCTGAGGAGGGCAGGGACTGGTCCCCAGGGTGGCCTGGGTGGGACACATGCCCCATGTGGCTCCCACTCTCAGCTTCCCAGGGTGCGGCCCTGCCCACTGGCCACGTCCCTGCACAGAGGTGTGGACTCGAATCCCACGAGGAGTGTGGCCGAGCTTCTGTTTTCCCATGTGCCGTGGACTGGATCACGCCCCCAAAATTTCTGTGTGGAAGCCCCAACCTCCAATGTGACGGCATCCGAAAGGCTCCTTAGGAGTTATTAGGGTCACATGAAGTCATAAGCTGGGGCCCGACTCCCAAAGGACTGATGGCCTTGTAGGCGGAGGACAGTCTCAGTCACTCTGCGCGCGTCCGGAGGAAAGGCCGTGTGCAGGCAGAGTGGTTGCCTACACACCAGGAAGGGGCTCCTCCCAGAAACCGGCCCTGCCGGACCGCCGGCCAGCGGCACTGTGGGAGGCAAGTGCCAGGCGTCTAAGCCAGCTGCCTGTTACTCGGCCCTCACTGCCCTACGTGCTCTCGGCCTGAGCAGAAGCAGGTGATGTTCTCGCTGATTCTCTAGGAGACAAGGAGAAGTTCCTGTCCCCTACAGCTGCTGAGAATGTCTGCAGAAGAACCTGGGTCCCAGAGGGGCCGGGGGGGCAGGCGCTGCTCCGCCTCACTGCTCTGTCACCTGGCGGCCACCCTTGGTTCTCGTGGGTCCATCACCACTGCTTGCTCTGTGTGGCCTCATCCGGTGTACTGAGATCCTGGGGGACCTGTCCCCACCCCCATGGCCCCCGCGGGACGCACTGACCCTCCTGAGAAGCAGCAGAGCAGCCACAACCCTCTGCTGCGCATCCGCGTGACCCGGGAAGGCACGGCCCGCCCCCAGAGGTGGACGAAGGACCCACCAGCAGGCAGAGTGAGCTTGACTACGAGACAAGCTGCCTTTTGCTGGAACATCAGAGGCCCCCACACAGCCTCCCTCCCACCTGATGCAGCCCCACTTCGGTGGGTTTGTCACAGCAGGGGCCGTGGGGCGCTCGCCCTCCTGGCTGCTCCACCCCGCCCCCTGGCAGCCGGGTGGGCTGCCTGGGGGGGCCGTTTGGCTGAGACCTGCGCTCCTGGGGCCTAGAGCCGGGGAGGCCCCGCGCCGCCCCTCCTCTGCTCCTCTCCGAGTCTCCGGCCTCCGGGGCAAGTGGAGGCCAGGATGGGACCTCGGCCAAGGGCAGGCTCCCCTGGGCGGGATCCTGGGACAAGCAAAGATCGGCAGATACAAATGGGTGAGATCGGAGCAAAGGGCGACTGCAGCGACCCGCATGGTGAGGGGCGCTGCTCCTGGAGGGGCGCCAGGTGCACGCACACACGGGGGACTCTGCTCCACCCACAGCGGCTCCAAGGCAAGGCACTGCTTGAATTAAAAGGAGAAGGCGGCCTTTTGAAGGCTGGGCCTCCCACCCTGTCTGCCTGCTCGGGACGGACGGCCTCGGTCCCGAGCCACTTCCAGCAGAGACCATGAGCCTTGTCGGAAGGGCCTGCTGTGCCTTTTCAAGGTCCCCGCACACCCAGGCTCCTCTGGTTTTCTCATGTCCGTGTGTTTTTACCCCCAAAGCCCGGAGAGGAGGCTGGTCCCCGGAGGAGTAACCAGAGCCTCCCGGATTGCTGGCTCTGGACCCCCCTGGTCCTGTCCCCGAGGAAGGTGGCCGTGGTTTATGCCCCCCTAGGGCTGTCTCAGACATTCTGAGAGTTGCCACAGCCACAGGCAAGTGGCCCTGTGTGGGGTCAGTGTGAGTGGTGCAGTTTATCACAGTGGGCGGGCAGAGAAGGGAGTGGTCAGCTCGGGGCTGTGGCCCCAGGAAGGCTTCGACCCAGGAAGGGACTGAGTCAGGGGAGCAGTGGAAAAGGGGCTCCAGGTGGGGAGAGGGGAAAGGCCAGGAGGAAAGGACCGGAGCAGCGAGGCGTCTGGGGCTGGGACCACGAGCAGCTGATGACTGGTGCAGAGACCCCTGGATGACAGGTGTGAGGTGGGCACAGCGAACCAGTGGGGCCACCAGGTCTGTGTCCCCGGCTGTCCCCGAGTTCTGGGCCCCCGAGCACCTCATGTAGGTTGTGGGTCCTCCTGAGGTGACTGTGCACATGCCCACAGAATCCTGCTGTGACGTAGGGGGACACTGCACTTTAGGCTTGGGGACTGGGGGACCTGTGACCTGCAGAGTCTGTGGCCTGCACAGGATGAGACAAGGGCCCTTGAATCCCAGGCAGAGAGGAACGAGCCCTTCCAGGCCTCTCGGGTGCCACGGGCCCTGCCAGGAATGCACCCAGCTTAGTGACGATGCCCAGTGCGTGGGCCTCACTGCGGACTCTGAGCCAATGAACTTGCTAAAGCCCCTGGGGATGGAGGAGGCACAGCCAGTCACCAAATGGACCTGGGCCTGGGGCCATGGCCTCCGAGGGGCTCCCACAGCCTGGCTTGGAGGCGCCTGCTCTCCAGGACGCTGCAGGAGCCCCGTTGGGCCACAGTTCCGGAAGGCTCCGTGCCCTGCTGGAGGGGGGCAGCTGAGGGAAAAGCAGGGTTCACGCCGTGACGGGGGTGGAGAGTCAGCTACCTGAAGCCCCGTCGGCGCCGAAGGGTGAAGTGGGTGCCCAGGCGTGGGAAGATGCTGGAAGCTGGTCAGCAGCCCCTTTGTGGCCTCACCCTGGTGTGGGCTCTGCTGGTGGCCGGCTGGAGCCGAGACCCCGCCCCACCACTATAAGGAGCTCTTGCCCCCGGGCCCCAGCGCACCCCATCGGGGCAAGAGCTCCCCCTTCCTCGTCAGCTGCCACGCAGCCCGCTGTGGAAGGGCGGCCACACCCCCCAGGTGTCCTGCAGCTTTGAACAGCTGGGGCTCCAAGGGCGTGTTTGGAGTCCCGGGGGACCCTTCCCTCCGCCGAACCGCCATGGAAGGCGGCGGGAAGCTTCCTAAGGCTCGAGGGAGAGCAGCCGAGCTGTGTCTCAGGAGGGTCTTCTGCAGCGAGCCGCACACCTTGTCACCCAGTGTCTGATGCCATTGCGCTCTGTCTGTCCCCTCATTCCGTACACACGGTGGGGGCGGGGCGGTCTGCATGCGTGACTTGATAATCCAACCTCGTTCATAGAACAGGAGTTACAAATCTAGATGGGATAAGAAAGCAGAGCCAGGATTGTTTCCGTTTAATTTGAAAAAAAAAAATAGCTTGATTCGGGAACCCAGCAGCTGGTCGATGTGGACCCTGTCTCATCCTGCCGTAGCTTGTAAAACCCCACTCGGCGGCTCCTAAGGACAGATGCTGGTGGATTCTAGCACTTGAACCCTGTCGAATGCTGCCTTGCGGCTTCTCCAAAAGAAGCAGCAGCCCATCATACCAGGGTACTCAGGAAGGGGGGTCTTTTGCCAGATCTCAACCCCAGCCACCGCAGGGCAGCAGACTGCCGCACCCCCCAAGGACCAATCAGGCCAAACTTCCCGTGCCCTGGCAGCCCTGCGCCTTTGCACCGGGTGGCGGACCTCGGGCTCGAGGTTGGATTAGCAGGTCGGGGTCCCACGGTGGAAGTGTCGGTGGGGGTCACATACCCCGACCCCGGGGCAGGGGTGTGGACAGCCCCAGGTGGGGGAGACCGGCTCCCCAAGGATACTTTTTCATGCTTGAAATGCTTCGCTCTGCTTCCCTCCCCCCGCCACCCGCTGTCTGCGCCCTTCCGTCTGGAGGCAGTGAAAGCGGCCGCAGCACGCCCAGCCTCTCCGTGGGGTCCGACAGCAGGCCTCCCCCCTCCACCTACCAGCAGGCTCCTCGCCACTTCCACGTCCCAGGTAGGCGCCGGGCCTGCTGGGCGGGGCTGCCTCGCCGAGGCGGGTGTTGGGCCTTCCCCCAGCCTCTCCATCCCCACCCGAGTCCTGAGATTCTTTACGAACCAAACACACAGGCCTACACACGCCCAAATGTCCTCGTGTCTGTTTCTCCCAAAGCCCCTCCAACCCCAGGGAGACTGTGCATCCCTGGGCACGGGTTGGAGGGCGTGGCCAGAGGGCTCACCGTCCCCCCCTGCCACCTGCTCCCTTTGCCCCTTCAAGCTTGGGGCAGCTGCTGGGTGGGCGAGGCTTGGTCTCAGGTGTGGGGCCTGGGGGACCACCGTTTGGGGGTCCCAAATCCTGCCCGGAGATGCTGAATCTGGGCGACTGGTGGGTGCTGACAAGCAATCAGGAGACCAAAACCTCAGTTTGCTCGCTCACCTGCTTTCTCTCCTTTTCTCTCTCTCCTCCCCAGACACCGGTGTGAAAGACAACATCTATAGGAAACCCCCCATCTACAAGCAGCATGGTACGGCTCCTCGCTGCCTGCCAGTGGCCCTTGCATGCCTGTCGTCCCGCGCCCCCAAGTCCTTGCTTTGTCGTGCTGATGCAGCCTGGGGGTGACACGCAGACACCCCTGCAGGGCCCGGGAGAGGCCCTTCAGACAGTGCAGGCACCCGTGTGTTGGAAACCTGAGGCCGACGCCCATCAGCTGGGCTCGGGATGGGCGTTTGTGGCGAGAGTGGCTTTGGGCACTTGAGTTTGCCACTTTGGGAGAAGCAGCCAGGCTGACCGTAGACGAGCTGGTGGTGGCAGAGGCCTCTCGGACCCGGGCCCAAGCCAGCCTGCTCACGCCAGAATCACCCCTTTACTCCTGCGTGGGAATCTGGGTCCTGTGCTGTGGGAATTTCTGAGGAGAGAGTGGGAGCCTGGCCTCCAGGAAAGGGGCCCCTTGCGCCAGCAGAGAGGGGCAGGAGGTGTTGAATGGAGAGAGTCTCAGCGCCCGTCTCCCTCCTGGAGGTGACCGCACATGTCTGCTCCACCTGAGGCTGCAGGACAGGTGCACAGGCAGCAGGTGGTTGGGCCGCAGGGCAGGAGGCAGGAGGCTCAAGGTGTCTTCGCAGAGCTTCCGATGAGCTGGGGCATCAGCACCCTGAGCCTCTGCTTCCTCCCCTGCACGGTGGGGCGGACCCCTCCACCTGCCCTCTACACAGGCCACCTGTGTGGCCGCTGGCGTGACCAACCACGTCCTGACACCGGGAAGTGCCGGGCAGGTGGTGGCATGGTTGTCAAGTCCTTAGGGAGACGGGAAGAGGGGTCCCCACCCCTGAAGCTCTTGTGCAGATGCACCCAGGAAGCAGCCTCGGCCTGCCCTGACAGCTGGCTGGGCTCTGCCCGTGGGACCCTGCACACGGGTGCTCACGGGTGCTCACGGGTGCTCACGCTGTCAGACCTGGCCTCCCACCCTGGGAACATCAGGCTTTTCCACTGTCCCCTGATTGCACTGGCCCCTCCTGCCGAGAAAGAAAACCAGTGAAGGCAAGTGCCTGGGTTTCCAGACTTTCACCACTGCCCCCACCAGGCAAGCTTCAAGCCCAGGTCCCCCGCGGGTCCCACTGGGGAAACTGAGGCCCAGCCGAAGGAAGCTCCGTCCTCCCATTGTGCCACCGGTGCTCAGGTCCTGCAAGCAGTGTGGGTCACGCAGCCTTGCACTAGCCTCACATGTGTCTTTTGCACACAGCTAGGGGGTCAGCCTCGCCTGAGGCAAAGACCTGCCGACCGGAAGCCCCCTCAGAGGCACGTGGGGAGGGGTTACGGTGGCCAGGGACCCCTCCGGGTCTCTGTTGTTGACCTGGATGGACAGGCCTCCGTGAGCGTAGTCAGGGTCCGGCCTGCGGTTGGTGTGCTCTTCCCTGGACCCGCGCCCCTCAGCCGGCCCTCGGGGACGAGCAGATGTGTTGGGATGGCTTGGATTGCCGGCACACCACAGGCGTTTGGCTTGACAAGCTGGCCCCCTCCGGTTGGAGTGTAGTCTGTGTGTGGGTGTGAGCATGCACACCTGTGTGACACCCAGGCCTGCACATGTGTGTGTGTGCAAAGTCCCCACCCCCAACCTCGACACAGTCCGGGTAACGACGTGGACGCACTGGGCCAGCTAATTAGTTTCACGTGATGTGTTCGATGGCTAAAAAGTGGTGCTTTTTAAGGGGCGCACTTACTTTTCGACCCTCCAGTTCCCACTCTGACTTTTTAATTAGCATCACCCTTTCCTGATGCCCGAGTCTTCTTCCTGGCTTTGGGACGTGATCCCCAGGCCATGATGGGGGCGGGGCCTAACCGGCAGGGTGGGGACCGTGGTGCTGAGGACGGGGTGGCTGGCATTCGCCTGGCCGCTGCAGACCGGGTCACCGCCGCACGCTGCCCTCTCCACGCATGACGGCGTGTTTCCTTCCGCCTCCCTGAGGTCGGCACGATCGTAGGTGAGGGGACTGAGGCCAGGCCGACACGGAACCAGCCCCTGGCCAAGCCGAGGTCCACACCCAGGTCTACCGACCCCTGACCTCTGACCCCTGGCCCAACAGCATTTTCCTGTATGACATCAGTTCTGCTTGGTTATGATTTAGTGGCTTTTTGAATGAAAGAATGAGAAAGAGAAGGATGGAAGCAAAAGGAGAGGAAGAGAACATAAGAAGAAAGGGGACAGGGTGGCAAGGACCCTCTGTGCGGTCAGGAGCCAGTCAGGGTCGGGTCCACGCAGGACAGGAGGAGGGCAGCGCCTCCCCAGCGGTGCATAAACTGCCCTGGGATCAAAAAGCTCAGGTGCCACTGGGGACATTTCTGGTGTTTGCCTGGGCGCCAGTCACCCACTGTCACACTGTGAGGCAGGCCCGACTCGGAACAGCCAGTCCCCTTCAGTCCCTGTCCCCGTCCCCAAGTGCACACCCCTCAGAGCCTGGCTCCTTCCAGAGGGCAAGCTTCAAGGTCGCTGCCCTTGCCTCGGGCCTTGAGGGGTTTCGGGTGAGGCTGAGTTGAACCTCAGCGGAGAGCTGGGCTTTGGGCTGCCCTGCCCCACAACAGGCTGGCGCTGGGCCCGGATCTACACTGTGTAAAGCGAGTTCGAGAGGAGCAGGGACGCCTTCTGTTTCCCAGGCAGCAGACAGGTCTCGGCCATAACCAGACATGAGCCCTCGGAGGGCGTGGGGGGAGCCCTGGCCCAGGAGGTGGACAGTGCACTATCGCCTCCGGCCACCCGCTGCGGGGGTGGGGGTGTCAGAGCCCCCCACCCTGGACCAGACCGTTAGGGCAGCCCCGAGCGGCACACCTCGCAGCTGTTTGTTCCGTCCCAGGTTTGAAACAGAAAGACCCAGGCATTGTGTGTCTTTCGGATTCCCGGGTCGTGGTGTTGAACTGTGTTTTGGTTTGGGGGTCCTCATGGGATGGAAAAAAGGGAAGGCAGGCCCCTCATCAAGAAAGAAAGTTAGGGACCCCGCTGTCATCAGGGTGCCACCAACGTGGGCCCCGGGGGGACCCACGGGGGCGCAGCCTTTCCCCGGAGGGTTCCCAGGGCCATTGGCTTCCAGGCTCAGAAGGAGCCGCCCTGTGTGACGGGACAGACTCCCTCCCCTGGGTCCCTCTGTCCTCCTGTGTGTTTCTGTCCTTCCCTGGCACTAAGGCAGCCTGCCACAGGTCTGTCTCCAGTGGGCCTCTCAGTGATCCCCAAGTTTTTACAATGAACTCCCCGTCTGTCACAGCACCCACGGTACCCCACGCGGCCCTCACACCTCGGAGGCGTGGGCATCCTCTGCCCACTTTACAGATCAGGAAACTGAGGCTCGGAGCCGTCATGGAGCAGACGGCAGTAATGCCCTGTGCCAGGGGTGGGGGGCTCCTGCCTTTTCCTGCCCGGTGCCCAGTTCCCGGGAGACCACGGTGTGATTCTTGGGCTACAGACTGAGAGTCTGAGGGGGCCTGGATTCGAGTCAGGCTGAGAGTTGGCACTGTTTGCAAAAGACACTTGCTAAGTTTTGGCAGGACCCCCCCAGTCAGACAGGGCTGTGTCTGAGCCCTTTGCTTAGGCTGTCTGGCCACCCAGCCAGCCTTGGCTGTGTGACGTCCTCAAGCCCAGGGTGACCTGGGGGCCTGGGGACCTGAGCTCCAGGGGCCAGGGTTGCACATCCCACGGGGCCCGAGCTGCCCTTGCACCTGCAAATTTCCCCCAGCGTGGCACTCCATCTGGGGGCCTTCGGGACTGTGGCTCACTCACTTCTCCGGGCCGGACAAGAGCCACCGGCTTGGTTGTCCCTGGGGCTTGCTGGGCAGCCGCCAGGAGTCGTGGCCGACGTACAGCTTCGGTCCCACTCCCGACGGCTGTCATCTGGGCAGTGGGAGGGCCGGCCGGTGCCCAGGCTCCCCTGCAGACCTGTGGTTAGTTTGCCCCCGAGAGCGCAGAGGCCGGGCTTTCATCTCCATGTGGAAAACAGAGGCGCTGACCCCTGGGAGGAGGAGTCAGCAGGGGCCGCATCTTGTCAGGGTCCTGTAGCCCAGTCCCCAGTGTCCCAGCTCTCAGGCCTGGTGTCAGTCTTGTCCTCGGTGGCCCATGTGAGGCAGGGTGCTCCGAAAGGCCCAAAGGCCCGAGCCCTCTGCCGGCTGCAGGTAAGGACCCCGCCTGGCATGTCCTTACCTGGGCCGCGGTCTCTGGGGGTGGGGGACTGGGGGTTCCTGTCATTGCCCCGGGCACAGGGTCAGTGTTTCAGTTCGGGATGTGCGGGATGGGTCCTGACAGGCTGAGCTGGATGGGAAGTTATGTGCTCAGACTCGGTAGGAGAGCAGGTCAGTCCAGCTGGGTGACCACCCCTCAGAAAGGCCAGCGGAGAGCACTCACCTTCCTGGGAGAAGGACGTGCTGGCTCTGTCCCGTTGCGGTCACCTCTGGCTGTACGTGGTGCCTCATCCCTTCATGTTCTTCACTCACTCGTTCACCGGCCTGTGATGTGCGGGTGCCCAGCAGTGAGGTGGGGCAGGCATGGAGGAAGGACCGGCCTGGGTTCAAAGGCCACCTGCTGATCCAGGACCTTGAACTTGAGGAAGGCACGGACTCGCTCTGAGCCTCCGTCCTCCGATCCGTGAAGTGGGCTGTGGGGGACTAGGGGACCACGTTCGGGGAGCCCCAGCTCAGTCCGACACAGGGCAGGCCGGTTTTGCTTACTGTGAAGTCAGACTTTCAAAACACAAAGTGCGTCCTTCAAAGTGCCAAGTGGCTGCGCCTGCTGACGAGCCTGATCTCTCACTGGGGGCAAGGGGGTTGGCTGCGTCTCACCAGGCAGCCCTGCGGCCCCTGCTCTCGGTTTGGAGGGCCTGTCCCCGTGGGAGAGGGGACCCGCGTGCCTGGCTCCTCAGCCCGTAAAAGGCCCTCACACGGGCGACCTTTTCTGGGGCTGTTTCTGTGTTTTGAGCGCAGCTGGGAGGTGGGAACCCAGAAGGAGCCGTGAGCTTCCTGACAGTCGGTTTTCCCTTCCAGCCTCGAGGCGCCTGGACGGGGAGGACGGAAGTTTCGACCTGGATAACAGGAAGGTAATGCAGGTGGACCTGCCGTAGGGCAAGCTGTGTAGAAGGGAATGGGGCTTGGTGGGCTCGTCCGACCTGAAACCTCGTCCCCCGAGGGCACGCAGAACAGGGGCCGAATTCGGGGGCTGGGTCGGGCTCCTCCCCTGCGGCCTCCCTCCTACCTGTGGCATCAGCCCAGCTACTACCCGAGTCCTCGCGATGCCCCCAGGCAGCCTGGTGGCCGCTCTGTGACCGAGCAGGCGTCTGAAACCAGAGGAAAGTAAACCGCTGTGCGTCCTGGAACAGCCTCGGCAGGCGTTTTCAGTGACGGGCCCAAGCACGTGCCTCGGGCGCCGCGGCCCCTCTCCGTCCTGAAGGAAGGCGGGCGTGTGCAGACAGAGGGGCTCACCTGGCTCTCCCCGTGTGAGGCCATTTGGGCCCAGCCCTCCCGGAGCCTCAGTTTCCCCTTCTGTAAAACGGGTCAGCACCGTCACAGAGGACCCACAAAATCACGTGACTTTTTTGTGTTTCTCGGCAGAAGACCAGCTGGCTGACCCTCAGCGGGGGTATGGGCACCAGGAGTAACTCTCCGGGTCTGGACAGCCAGAGTGTGTCGCACAGCAGCGGGGCGGACAGAGACCCTCAGCAGACAGTGCCAGGAGACGACTTCTACTCACGTGAGTGGTTCTTCTGAGCAAGGAGCTGTCCATGTGGCATGAGACGCCTCGCAGCCCCTTGATGCCGAGCTGGCCCCCCAGATCTAAGCCTTGCTCGCTAAACACTGTAGGAGCACACGGACAGACCTCGGGGCAAACCAGGAAGGGGGCAGGTGCTTTGCCCTTGCTGGCCCCTTGACAGACACGTTAGCCACTGCTTGGCCCGTGGGCTGCACCAGCTGCTCCTCGAGGACCTTCCAGAGGAGCTGGCAAGAGGGCAGAGAGCCAAGTCCAGAGAAGGGCCCCCCGGGCTGCCAGGCCGGACGTGGGCGCCCCTTTCCCTCCAGAGCAGATGCAATCGTGGTCCAGGTGGCGAGTCCAGACTCGGAGTTGATGTCAACGGCATTGTCCCGTGTCCTGTGCTTGTCCTGAGCAAGGGACCGGGAGTTGGGACTATGTATATGAGGACGTATGGGAGACAAAGATGGTGTCGTGCAGCCTGAGTTAGTGAGGAGCTGCTGTCAGGTGTGGGACAGACTCCCAAGAACGGCCCTCACTTCCAGAAGCCGTAAGTCACAGGCAGCAGTAGGTCGAAGGCCCTTGGGAGACCCCTGTGCATCTGCGGGGCCCCGTGGGCCGAGGGTGGTTTTCTGGGGCAAACTTGAGTCTTAGCAGAGGCCCAGCAAGGACGGCCACGGGCACAAGAACACACAGGAAAGGTGTCTGCTTCGCCGGAGTCCCACCCGAGCTCCAATCCCGCCCGGCCAGGCTGTCAGAGCCCCGGAGGAGGGGGCGCATGTCGCAGCCCGTGCTCTGCCCCGCCCACAGCGCATGCTCCGCCTGCAGCCCACTGGTCCTTGTTGGCATCACCCTCCGCGGTGGGCGACAGTGTCCCAGTGGGAGAGGACAGAGAGGATTGGTCATCGTCCCTGTGAAAGAAGAGCTCGAACAAAGCGAAGCTTGTGTTTTGTGTGTGACCTCTGTGAGCGGGGTCTGCAGCCCCCGTGCGTCTGCTCCTCCTGGGGTGCAGCTCTCCCAGTGTCAGGGGCTCAGAGCCAGTGCCCAGAGCCGATGTCACCAGGGGAAGGTCAGACCCAGAACACCTCAGGGGGCTTGTCCAGGACGTGCTTCTCCTGGAGCAGATCTGGAGGGGACATGGCAGATGCCCGTCCCACCAGCAGGCAGGCCGAGGGGTGCGGGCCTGGTCAGAGGAGAACCAGTGGGCGGGCTCCTGCAGCCCCTCCCTGCTCACGGTGCCCAGCGCCCGGGGGGTGGTGCAGGGCGGGCTGGCTCTCAGCCTGGCCTTTCTGCTCTGTGCTCCTTTCCCTGATGTGGTGTGTGGGAGGTGTGAGCCCCCCGGGCACCAGACTGGCAGCCCCGTGGCGGTCCTCCCACACCTGGGGGGCAACGAGACCTCAGCCCCGGCCCCAAGCTCCCAGGAAATTATCTGGAAATCTCGGGGTGGTCTTCCCCACCCTCAGTCTGGCCCGCCCGGGTGGTGGGTGCCCTTCCTCTGCAGGCTGGGAGCGTGCCCCTCCCCTCCCCCAGTCTGCTCAGGGGGTGCCCAAGGCTGCCCCAGTGGTCCCTGCTAGTGGTGGTGGCCTGCCTGCGCCTTGGGCTGAGGGAGGGGGGCGTCTGCCTGTGCCACTCACCCGCACTGTGTCCTGTGCATGTCGCCTTCACCGCTGAGCTCTGCTTCCTCGCCTGCAAATGCCACCAGGTGCCCTGGCGCCGTGCACGGCACCCCACAGGTGGCAGGCCAGGCGAGGCTGGAAGATGGCACCGGGTTTCAGTGAGCCTGTCCCACACCTGCAAGGGCTTGTCTGTCCACCCCCGGCTGCCTTGTCATACCTGCATGCGCCACCACGGGTGCCAACGCAGCCGCCCCCGGGGCAGCGTGCCCCTGGCCTACAGGAACGGACAGCCGTGCTGGAAGCCGCGACCTGACTGACCGAATCCTGGGAAGAATGAACAGTGTGTGTGTGTGCGTGTGTGTGTGTGTCTTGCACTGATGCTTACGGTGACGGGGATCCCAGTCATCCGCTGCCGTGTCCCCTGGGCCGGAGCCCAGTGTCCAGCCATTGCGGCTGTGACTTGATTTCTGTCCTGTTGTCTGTGCTTTGGTCCCCAACGTGCGTGAGGGCAGCAGAGAGGGCCCAGCTGCGGGCTGCCCAGTTCAGGTGCGCCTTGCTCGCTGCCAGCCTCTGGGGAGGCTGGGACGGCCTGGGCAGTGTTCACAGAGGGTTGTGCACCTGTGTCCGGGTTCCTTTGAGCCCCCAAGTGTGACTCCCTCGACACCAGTTCCATCTGCAAACAACTGCTGCTAAACAAAGCGTGTGCACCCAGCGGGACACGCCCACCTGCACCCCGGGGACATCCGCCTGCAGTGTGCCCTCGGACGCTCGGCTCGTGACACCCGGCACAGTGGGCGCTCAATAACTGTTTGTTGGATTGAGACGCGTTAAATTCAACGGGTATTTATTGAGCGCCCACTGTGTGCCAGACGCTGTGCAGGGCGCCGAGAGGGGGACCAAGGAGCCGAGGGCAGCCACGGCCCCGGGAGGCTGCAGGGGCTGGGAGAGGCGGAGGCCCCGGTGGGAGCCGGCACGCGTGTGCCCGCCCCCCACCGCGTGCCGGGGCCCTATGGGGGCTCCTGGGGACTGGTCCCTGCCTCACCCCACTCGTGACTCCATCCATGCATCTCACCTGGGATGGAATCATTGTTTGGCCGTTCGTCTGTCTGTCCAGCAGGTGCGGCAGATGCGGTACCGTACGTGCTGGGCCTGGGGCCAGGCAGCACAGAGCTGCTGGTGAATACGGCCCAGTCCCCTTCCCAGCAGGAAAGCCACCGTTCGAGTGGCACTGACAACCAGGGGGGCTCCCCACCAGCACCGCTGCCGTCTGCAGCGGGGGCCTCCAGCCTGGCATTTGTGACAGACGGCCACTCGTCCCCTCACATGGCTCGTGGGGCGTCCTCTGGACTGCCACATCAAGGGCTGTGGTGTCCCAGAGCCTGGTTTCTGCAAAGGGGAGGGGTGGTGTCTGTGTTTTGTTACCAGAAGATGGCCCCGAGGTGTGTAGGAGGAGACGCACTGTCCCCAGTGGGACCTGAGGTGCTGGGCCCCTCCCCTGGCCTGTGCCCCGTGTTTAGGTGGGCCAACTGCCGCTCCGGGCCCCACCTTCCCAACCCTTCAGGTCCTGTCCTCTCTTTTGAGGTCCCCAGTCCCCCCTGGGTGGTCAGTGTCAGACCATGTCCCCCGGGCCAGCTGTAGACCTTGCCCAGGGGACCCACAGACCCTGGGAGGGGGGCTGGGCTCTCCCCTCACATCCCACTGCAGGAGGGGAGTGGGGCGGCTTGGGACCGGGCTGCGAGTGCCAGCGGCCCTGACGGGTGGTCCCGGTGTGGGCGGCTGTGCCCCAACCCTGCCCGTGGCTTTGGCATTTGTGTCACCTTCTGCCTGCCCCTCCCCCCCACGGACCCCCACATTGGATGGGATGTGCAGTTGTCACCTGCCTGGTTACCAAGGGAACGGCGGCCAGAGGCTGGTCAGCAGCGGCCTTTCCGAGGTTCCCGGTACTCCTCTGGGGTTTCAAGGGGCAAAGAAATGGCTCTCACGCTTCTTAGTTTATGGTTGAAAGGGAGGGGCACCCTGGTTTGCCACCAACCTCACAGGACTATCAGGTGGGGTGGGCAACCTGCCCAGTTCGCATATAATGACCCTGAGGCCCCAGGGCCAGAATCCTGGGAATCGAAAGGGCCTTGGGTCCCTTTCTTTTATGAGGGGCCAGCCAGGGCCCAGTGAGGGGATGACCCTCTGTGAGAGCCTTCTGGGTGCAGACGCCGTGTAGCTGCTGGGGCGGCGCCAGGCCGAGCAGCGTCTTGCCCTGGGGAGCTGACGTTCCGGGGCCCCGTGTCTCAGACTTCGAGAGAGGCTGGGGACTGGGATTGTGTTGTGAAATCTCCTCGTTGCACGCAGCTTGAGATTGTTGAAAGAATAAAATGGTCCCGGGCCCTGTGGTTGGTGGTGGCTGGGCCTCCATTTTCCACTCACCCCTCTGCTGCCAGAGACCAGAGGCTCCCGGGGTCCTGGGCGCCTCGGTGCATCCCCACCTCCCTGGCTTCTTTCTCCATCCCTGGGAACAGACATCGCTACACGGGCAGGCGTGGTCTTCAAGGGCGTTGCCGCGTCACCTGCCAGCCCTGCACCTGGCTTTGCCCCCCCCCCGGGCCGAGCCGGCCTGTGTGACAGCTATATTGTCTGTTTCAGGGTTCCCCTGTTCCAGACCCGACCCTCTGCCAGGACTTGGAAGGAATGGCCTGGACCACCGGGTAGGTGCCCCGCCCCCCACCCTGGCCCGTCTGGCGCTAATGTTACCGTGAGCGGTTCCCACGGCTTTGAGACCACACAGCCCGCGGAGGCCCGGGCACCGCCTGCCCGCCTGTGCCTGCTGCTCCCCCAGGCACCCCCCCCACTCCTTCGGACCAGGCCAGGCAGAGCATCACCTCCCTGCCCCACCTCCGTGTGTACAGGCGGGGAGACAGCCCCCCCCCCCGTCCTCCTTCTGTGACCCGGAACCTGAGAAGGACCTTAAACTGTGAGCCAAGGCTCCACCCTGCTCCCTTTGCTGGGTGCCCCTGCCCCTCACTGCTGCCACTGTCACCTTGCTCCGCCACAGGTGGCCTTGGCACCTGCCATCACCACGCAGAGCGGTGGTCTCTGTGGCTGCTCCCAGTGGGAAGCTGGTTGGACCCCCTCCTCCAGGTGTCCCCGGTTTGGGGACAGTCAGAGGACAGCCCAGACTGTGTGGTGCCTGACTTATCCCCCATGGGGGTGTGGGGGCCACGGGACCCTGATGAAGACTTGCCCATCTCTGCCCCTCTCCCCACAGCTTCCCTGGGTGTCCAGTGAGAATCCCTCAGGCTGGTGGGCGTGATGACGCCAGAGCCCCTCCCCCCACCTCTCCCTGCCGAGGATGTTTGTCCATAAACCGAGGCAATTCGTCTTCAAGGGCAGCCACTCCAAGCTGGTGGTCTCAGCCATAAGTGTAGCACAGGGGGCAGCTCCTCCAGCCTCCCCCAGGAGGGTCTCGGAGCCAGGGGCCAGTCCCCCAGGACACGGCTGAGAACAGGGACATATCCCCGGAGCTGCCAATGTCCTCTCGGCTTCTCTGTCCACCCCAGCTGTGCTGGAGGAGCTGGCGTGTCTGCCCTGGGCCAGGCTCGCTTGTCCCAGGATGAGCCGAACCAGGATGTACATGCCGCCCGCTTCTTCCGGTGGCTTCAGTGGGTTTGTCCACCCTTCCTGTCCTCTGTGAGAAAGTGGGACTGAGGTCCACGGACGGTCACAGCCCCAGGAAGCTCAGTGTTAGGGTTTGGGAACAGCTGGTCCAGACACTTGGGCGGGGACCCTGTCCTCGTCCCCCCCTCTAGAACGGAGTCAGAAGCTGACCATGGAACTCAGAGCTCCACCCTGTGAACACCCTGCCAGCCTGCGGGGGGGGGGCAGCCTGTGAGGAAGCCCAGGTGTCCTTCCCGGGGGGAGTGCAGAAGGGGGGCTTCATCATCACGTGAAGACTCGATTTTCACGTCGTTTCTGGGGGGAGCAGTCAATATCACGGTGATTTCGCCTCAGGTTCTTTTCTCCCCTGGAACATTTTCTCCTTTTCACTCTGCCTAAGACTCTTAGGTAATGTCATGCTTATTTCTCAGTGGGAAGGCCAGGTACTTACCTTCCAATGGCCAGCCCGTCATCCCTTGGGTCCCCAGGGAGCGTGTGCACCCCTTGTTGTCAGTGGCCTGCAGAGTCCCCAAGTCACTTTTTCCGTTGTTTCTTGGTTCATTTTTACTTCCAGAAAGGATTCTTGGTGGGCTAGAGTAAAAGCCCAGGTGAGGTGTGACCCAAAGCCCATTAACACCAAGTCAGGAAGGAGGAGAGGGGCAACTGTAGCAGAAAATTACATCAAAAACAACATTGTATCGGAAAGCCGCAGAGCTGAGCTCCCAGCTTCCCACTCGCGGCAGGTGCTGCGGCTTCTGGCAGAGAGAGGGATCTGTTACAGGGCCATCCCCGTTTGTCCCCAGCTCCCGAGCATGTAGTCCCTGGCGGGTGTCACGGCTCTCTGGGGAATAAGCAGAGAAGGAGCTGCCTGCCGCTGGCTCTTCTGGGGACACGTGCCACTGGGCCTGTTTCTCAGAGAAAGACCACTGGCCACCAACAGTCCCAGTGGCAGCCCCTGGAAGGGGTCCCATCTTGAAAACCCCTGATGCTAAATGTGAACAGTCCGACCTCTCCTACTGCAGCACCGAGGGTCAGGTCAGGACTCGCGGCACAAAGCAGGGACACGGTTTACAGAGTGGCTGGAGCACTCGTCGCTTTAAATGCACCGAGCGGGATAAAATGCAAGGGTGCTGGCTGCTGTCACAGCGAGTTTGGTGGGTGCTTGCAGCGTGAGCTGATTTCTTCTGAAATCAGACATGCAGATCCAGTGTAAAAATTGCACGCATGGCTAACGCGGGCAGCTGAGTTCCTCCAACAGGAGTGTGAGAAACACATATGCCCTTGGAACCGGTTCCCCACGCCACTTGATAAACGCCCATGGGTGTGACTCTAAGGACAACGCTAACGAATGACAGAATCTCGACACTTTCCAGCCGTGACACTGGGAAGAGCTTGGGCCTTCGCATCAGACAGCCCTGAGTTCAAACCCCAGCCCTACCCCTCACGGGGTGTGTCTTTGGGCAAGTTGCGTGCATTTTCTGCCATTTTCCAGTCTTTACGAAGTTTGTCCTTACCTGTTAAGGTGATTGTGAGGACAGGTGATGTGGCCATGAAATCTTGTGAGCTCCACAGTGTGGTTCCCACCCGAGTCATTCTTATCGAAGCAAGTTCCTGTCCGGTCTTCCCTCCGGGCCAGTGGTTGCTGCGTGCCGCCGCACGACCCGGCATGAGCATTAGGGAGAGAGGCACACAGCCAGGGGTGCAGGGCCACAATGTCCCTGCTGCTATTAGCCATGCTGGTACAGTCTTTGAAAAGCAAAACACATCAGCCAGATTTTTGTTTTACAGTACCACACATTTGCTGTGTGACCTTGGGCAAGTTGCTTAACCTCTCTGAGCCTTGTTCCTAAACTGGTCCTAACAATGCCCACCTCCTCGGGTTGCAGTGGAAATGAGTGAATGTGAGGTAGAGCAGCTGGCACGTAATGACACTGAACAAAGGGCAGAGGTGAATCATTCGGTGGTCCTCTGTGGAGACCAGCAGAGGTGCGCCTGTTGGTGCACCTTTGTGGGGCCCTGCAGGCCCGCACACACAGCAGCAGCCCCAGGCTCCCTGGCACCCGAGAGGTCTTGAAGACCGTGGCCCCACTTGGCAACTAAAGCCAGGACGCTGCTCTGTCCCTGCTCTGGGCTGATCCCCCGCTTCCCTCTCCACCCGAACTGTGCCCCACCCTCCCTCCTGGGAGTCTCCGGCCTGTCTCAGAGCGTGACAGAGCCAAGGACGCTAGTTCTGCCTCCAGGAAGTTGGTTTCCAACTGCTCACGGTGGCCCTGATGGCCTGTTTGGACGGCCTGTGATGCAGGACAGTGGTCACTAGGGGGCGACATTTCCCTTCTCTGTCACAGGCAGGTTGAGGCCAGTGGCTGGCAAGTTTACCCAGTTGTTCCAGGAGGAGGTGCGTGTCAGTGACCTGAGATGGGGGTCTCAAAAAAGTGTCCTCGCAAGGAAGGAAAATGATTCGGGCCGGGGGCTCCTGGGCTGGGCCTAGGGCAGGCCAGGGAGGCATGTACCAAGCTCAGGAATCCAGATAATGTTTTAATGCCATGCTTTTAAAAACCCAAATTAATGCAGACAGATCGACGATGAACAAAATATCAAACATTTAAATAAAGACTGGCTCCAACCCTGCACTTAACGTGCGACCCCACTCACCGGCCCCGCTCCCCTGTTTGGGGGGCAGGACCTGGGACCCCTGTTCTCCCAGGCCCGGAGCCCCACCTCAAGCACTGTGGGCTCCCCGCTCCTGCTTCTGCGGGGTCAGAGCTGAAAGCACTCGTTCTTGCAATGCGATTGGAGGGCGCGGAAGATGGCCCGCCTTCGACAGCAGAGCCCTCCCCGTGAAGGCGAACCCCAGGCTGTTTCAGGAGTGCTGGCCAGGAGCCCTGGCCCTGTGTGGGACCTGTACCAGGTTCAAGGCTTGGACGGTGGAGGGCAGACGGGCCCTGGTGGGGCTCAGTGCCTGCTTGTGGGGGCGGGGGGGGCTCTCGGGAGGGCATTTGCAGGTGGGCAGAGGGAGAGAGAATTCCAGGCATTCTGGGTCATGACTCATTAGAAGGTGAAGCTTGCTGCCAGTGCTGGGTGCTGCGGACAGGTGAGGAGGGCACCTGAGACAGGCAGCAGGGCTCTGGGTCCATGTGCCCTCTGCACGTGTCACCCTCTTAAAGTCCTCGTCAGTCACAGCCTCCTCTCTGTACAAGTGCTTGCCACATGCTGGGCTCTGTCCCGGGGGCTGTGTGGACACCAGCCAGGAAGCACCTGGAGACGGCAGGGTCCGGAGGGGAGCAGAGGCCCCATGGAGCAGCCTCTGTGCCGAGTCTGGTAGGAGTTGCCTGGACCGCAGCGTGTGAGCGAAGCTGCCAGCTGACACCCACCCACCTGGGCCGTGAGGCCCACTGCCCGCCCCTACGGCCTGCCTCCTGCCACCCTTTCTCTTTTTCTTCCAGAATGCCAATTTGGTCCCTGGCGAAGCAGACCCGGATGCCAGCTGGGGCACTCGAGGTACCAGGAGCAGGGACCCCTGGGGTCTCTGGCTGGGACAGGGGTCACTGACACGGCCCCCCAGGGCCAGCTGGCTGCAGCCATCCGGGAGTGAGGGGAGCCCGGGATGCTCTTGTCCCGCCTCTTCCAAGGGCCTCTGCTCACCTCAGTTCTCCGGGGGCCCAAGGCGCTCCCTCTCTCCCAGCAGCCCCCGCCTGGGCTGTCACTCTGGTCCCTTGGGGACTAGGAACTGTGTGGGGATGGCTGCCCCGTCAGGGTACCGGCCAGCCCTCCCCCCAGTGAATTTTCGTGATGGTGAGAGAGTCAGAGTGGCAGTGAAAGGCCCCGGGTCTGAGCCCAAGGAGCCCCCCCACCCCGCTCGACTTCTGGGCCTCTCCCAAGGGCGCCACAGAGGCGTTCGGCCCAGGGCTCTGCCAGCTCCGAGCCAGCTGGGGCCTGCACCACCGGTCCCACGCCGGGTTCCTCATCCTGGCGCCCCGAGGGGGATGGCGTGGGGGGCAGCTCCCTCTCGTGGGCTGGTCTGCACGGCCAGGCAGAGCATGGGGTGTCCCAGCCTGTCCCTCTAAGAGCCTCTCCGAGTCCTGGGCTCACCGCTGACGCGTCCAGAATCCCATGCATCACACTGAAAACTTCGGGGACCGGCTCCTCGACCAGGAGCCCTGCCAGGGACTCTCCCCCGAGACAGGCTCGTGGTCCGGGTTCCAGGGTTTGTGTCTGTGTGGCTTCTGCATGTTCAGGGAGGCTTCTGTCCACACGAGTTGACTTTTTAACGAGACGCTTCGAATCTGGAGGGAAGACCCTTACGACACTGGCGTGTGGAGCTCGGAGATTTAAAAGGAGGACTAAAGGGTTAGGGACGGGAGCAGGAGGCTGGGGGCTCAGGCCCCAGGGAGGCTGCGGGTCTCCAAGACGCCCCTAACACTTCTACCCAGACCGCCCGCTCCTCAGGGACAGGCAGGCAGCTTTCTCGGGTGACTCGGCCTGTGCGGGGGACACCGTGCCACTTCCAGCTCCCAGTCTGGCTCTAGCCTTCTGACCACCTCCTGCTCTGGGCTTCCCACCAGGAAGGGCAGGACCCTCCTCCTAGGGCAGCCACTGGGGGACCGGGAGCCGCGTGGCCCAGCTGACTGCAGGGGCGGGGGCTGGGCCCTGATGGGACTGCTTCCCCCTTTGTGCCCGGAGCCCGCGGTCTCTCAGCCGCCGCCCATGCTCTCTGCTCTTTCTCTGACAGAATACAAGGTAAGAAAGAGGGGCCACCGCCTGTGCTGACCTCCGACCTCTTCCTGCCACCGCCGGCCAGGTGAAAAGTCCCCTTTGTTGTGCTTTTCCTATGACGTGGGTCCGATGCAGACGCAAGTATGCCCCTCCCCCAGCCCAGCTGGGCTCTGCGTCCCTGCCTGAGCCGGCTGGGGGCGAACCCGCGGTCTCCTCCCCCGCAGGTCTACCCGTATGACGCCCTCATCGTGACAAACCGGATTCGCGTGAAACTGCCCAGAGATGTGGACCGGACGAGGCTGGAGGTGAGAGCGGCTCTGCGGGGGGGTCCTCCCCTCAGTGACTCTGCAGGCACCTCGTCCACGGCGCGACCCTCGTCGCCCCTGGTGTCCCTGCTGGGGGCGGTGCCGGCACAGCAAGGGCTCGGGTCCAGGGCCCGCATTGGTTCAGGGCGTGGGAACTTGGGGTCAGGGACTCTTGTGCCCAGCAAGGCGGCCGTGCCAGGAGGCCCCCGCTGCTCGAGGTCTGGGCGGGAAAGGCTCGCAGCTACCAGGCATGCTTGTCTGTCCCAAGTCTGGAGAGCGGACACTTGTCCCAACCGATGTGCGACTTCTCGTGGTCCAGGAGGACACGCTGGCCTGTGGGGGGCAAGGGCTGTCACCGTAGACCAGCGCGCGGCAGGGGGCACAGCCCCCAGGACGGTCGAAATCCGAGTGTAACTTCTGACTCCCCACAGCTGGAGGACAGCTGTCCCTCGGTGTCCGCGGGGGTGGGTTCCCCGCACAGCGCCCGCTGTGTCTGCAGGCTCCCAGCCGAGGCTCACAGACACCGTGGTCGGTTGAGTGTGCCGGTGCGTGGAGCCCAGGGACAGGGGGGCTGAGTGGACATGCAGTGGACAGACCCTCAGGCTAGGGGGCCCGTGCGGTTCGGATTCCTGTTGCCCGAGGGTCAGCTCTACCGCATGTAAAAGGCCCCACAGGGCGTCGGCGCAGAACAGGGTTTGGATAATGATGCGCCTGGGAGGACGAACTTCGCCGAGCCCCTCCGAGCCGGGTCCAAGGGGGCCCACGTGCAGCTTCGTGCCCACAGGCGTCCCAGGAAGTGGTCAACGGCCAGATGCTCGGTTCGAGTCCAGAGCCGGGTCAGGAATGTCTCAGTGCCTTTTAATGGTGCTTTCACTGGACGTGAGGGCGCTGGAGGTCCCTGAATGCCTGGGGCCACCCTGTCCCATCTGTGCTCCATCAGGGCTGGGCACACAGTAGGTGCCGGGAGCATAGGAGGCCTACTGTGCATCCAGCCAGCACCAGGCCCTGCCAGCCTGCCTGCCCAGGGGGTGACTCTGGCAGCAGCCAGGAGAGAAGCGAGGGGGCCGTGCAAACAGCCCCGTCCAGGGCTGAGAGCGGAGTGCTGAGCCGGCCCTGGGAGGAGCAACAGGACTGTCACCGGCAGAGAAGGGGGAGCACGGGAGGGTCTTCCAGGCCCAGGGACCCGTGGGGGCAGGGCCAGGGAGGCCGGTGCTCAGAGTGCACAGAGCGGCAGAACTCAGGCCCCGCCCCTCACTCAGGGGTGCAGCCCGGGGGTCCCGGTCGTGGTCCTGGGCAGCAGCTGCCCGGGCCTCCCTGTGGCCACCCCGCTTTCTCTGCAGGGACGCACTCTGGCTCCCCTGCAGTGGGTTCCTTGTTCATGGACTGGGCCCGTCCCCAGGACAAACGTCACTCCTATAAAATGGGCTGCCGGGCTGGGTGGCTCTGGGGTCGGGAGCAGCCTGGAGGCAGCGGCTGTTGTGGGACTCGGCTCCCTGTGGCCCTGCCCTGTGGGCCAGGGCTCTCTCTCCACCAGGGGATCCCAGCGCGCTGCCTGCCCTGGGCACCGCAGTGGTGGCCCTGGGGCCCCCAGCCACCGGGACTTGCGTCTTCCCCTTGGGACTGGGGCACTCGTTAAAGGACTCCCATCCTACCCCCCTCTCCTACCCCCCAACACAGACTGAAAGGTGCGAAATATGAAGTAGTTAACACAAGCAAACCTTTTTAAAAAGCGACTGGGGAGTGTGTCTGGACTAATCTTTCAGATCTTCCAGCACACACCCAAGGGCGCGTCCCTGTCGTCCCTCTCCCGGGGCCTTCTGGCTTGGCCGGAAGGCCCCGTGGGACTGTGGCCACCGTGGGCCCCTCCCACAGGCTCCGGGGCTGGGAGGGCCCGGGATGGGCCATGTCCCTGCAGCAGAGGAGGGACCCTGACAGTTTTCTTCCGGAGGAAAGAGCTTTATTTTTAACAGAAAAACAATCCACAACACTTGTAAAACTCCGGGAAAAGACACCGGAGAACGGAAACCTCCCCCAGAATTCCCCACCGGCCCAACCCCCGGCCGTCCGGGAGCCGCTTCCTGCTCAGGCGCGCGCCCCCCCCCCACCACCACCACACTGCCTGGGTTTTGGATGAGGCTTCACACACGGCTGATGCCACTGGACATCTGCCTGTTTCTTTAAACTCAACCGTTTTCCACACTGGTTCCCATGGAGCCATCTGTCCCTTTAAACAATTGTGTGGTGGCCCTGTGTCCATGTTCCCCACGCAGGAGGGTCCCAAAGGCCACGTCTGGCTCCCACCCATGCCCCACTGGCTGAGCTCGGTCACAGGGCAAAGCCACGTGCAGGGCGGGCTGGGGTGGCAGTGTGCCCTGCGAGAGGAGAGCAAGGCTGGGCGGGGGGAGCAGGGGTGTTGCCAGGCCAGGTCCCAGCAGGAAGGCTCCTCTGTCCCGGGGTCCAGGTGTGCTGCCTACCCTCTGCCAAAGTGCCGAGCTGAGCCTCGCATCCCTGGGTGAGAGTGGGTCCTGGAGTTGGGGGGTGCTCGCCAGTGGGAGCCCCATCCTCACAGACCTAGTCTGACAGGGAGGCAATCAGCTGTGACCCAGAGGGGGTGTGCGCTTAACCACTGACGTAAGGGCTGCACAGGGGAGGAAGGTGGGCCTGTGAGTGGCTGAAAAGTAGGTCAGAATTAACTGGGCGCGGCCAGCGTGCCCGCACGTGAGGATGTAAGCCGAGGAGCGGCGGCCGGAAGAGACCTCCAGGAAGAGCAATGGCTTGTGCAAAGGCCCCGGGGCAGGGGGAAGCCAGGCCTGTTTGAGGAGGAAGTCGAGGTGGCTGTATTGGAGCAGGGGACACTAAGGACAGGACAGGCCTTGCCAGGCCCTGGGCCCTGGCGAGCAGTTTGGTTTTGGTCTAGAAGCAGTGGCTTTACAGTGGGGCACTCAGGATTCGGTTTGTAATTTAGAACCACGCCGGCGCTGCGCTGGGAGGCCGATCGGCTGTGTGCATGCAGGGAGCCTGTTGAGCATGGAATCAGGTCGTCCGAGCAAGACCGGCAGACAGTGTGGGCAGCGTGGAGGCAGGAAGCAGGTGGATCCGGGCAGTGTTTGGGGCTCGAGGTGGCAGGCCTTGGTGACAGCAGGTGTGCTGTGGAGGGGCTGTGACCCTAGGCCGTCGGGATGTGGTGGTGGATGGAGGGGTCACTGGGCAGAGGGTGACAAGCCAGGACACTGACGATGATTGGCGCTCCGGCCCCCGAGGCCCAGCCGAGGGATCCCAGGACAGGCAGGCAGGCGGAGGGAAAGGCACCTGGCAATGCCTAGTGGGTGCCCGGTGAATGCCAGTCACTTACCAAGGTGGTATGACAGTCCTCTGCCATTCCGGAAGGTGGCACTGCGGGAAGTGGGCAGATGAGCCGTATGATCTTCACAGGCAGAGGGGGACCAGCAGGCTGGCTTCCCAGGGGCCCCCTGGGGCCCACGACCCCGTGGTGTCTGTCCTAGTCAGTCTGGGTCCCAGTCCCCCACCCCCGGGTCCTGCCTGGGAGTCCCTCAGAACCCCCTCTGCCAGGCAGTTGCTCTGAGGGGCCGCTGTGCCAGGAGCTCCCCACTTGAGGGAAAGGAGCTTACCTGTTCCTGGGAGAAAACTCAGGGGTCCGCTCGTCTGAGGGCACTCCCTACCCACTTCTGTCTGTCACGGGCTGAAACATGTCACCGCTGTGGCGGTGCGCCAGTCGCTTGACGTCCGAGGTGGTGTCCTGGTGGAAAGAGACGCTCAGGTCAAGATGACCTGGTGTGAACCCAGGCTCCACGATGTCCAGCTGTGTGACTGTGGGCAGGTGACCCAGCCACCCGGAGCCGGACTCCACTCTGTCCAATGGCACTGCATGGCTGTCCCGCGCAGCGTCACCGGCGCTGATTTGGTTGCTGAACAGCAGGCACGGACACCAACCGGGGGCAAGCTCGGGACGGGGGCGCGGTGGGTGGGCGGTTTGGTTATTCCGTCCTGGTGATCCCCACGTTCCCAGCCTGAGAGGGAACCACGCAGGTGACACCGGAGCAGAGAGAGCTCTCCACGGGGCCGAGGCTGTGGGAGGGCCGAGCGAGCGCTGCGCCTGCTGAGGACTCGAGGAAGAACCGGGAGGCTGAAAGGATGTGGGGACGGCCACGAGGCTCGGCCGCCCGGAGGGGAAAGGGCTCGCTCCTTGACGCCCAGCGCCGGCAGCCAGTGGCACCGTAGGCTCCGTGGGGTCTGGTTTAGTGAACAAACACTTGTCCCACCCCACGGCGGCGCTCCGGGCTGTTGCACACGTGGCTTTCACACCTGATGTGGCACTGCAGAGACGGGCCTGGGAGGCGGAGGGGCCGCAGGGCCTTCCTGGTCCCATAGCCCCCGAGAGATTCAACGGCGCTTTGCAGAAGGAGTTCCTAACCCCCCTCCGTACCTCAGCCTCCCAGCGCACGTGTGCAGACGCTCTGTCCCCTAAGTGGGGTCCTCTGGAGAAATGGGACCAGCAGGAGGCAGGCAGGGGGACAGACAGAGATGCAGACAGACACAGACTTTTTTTGAGGGGCTGGCATGTGAACCAGTGGGGCTGGCGTGTCTGGAGTCTGCAGGACAGGTGGCTAGGGTGGCCGGGCAGCATCGGCCAGGCTTGCACGCAGTGTGACCAGACAGACAGCAGAGTGTGCTGTGGGGAGGGGCTCCCTGTCCCGCCCTTGGCCTGGAGGCAGCGTCCCTGGGAGTCACTGGAGGGTCCTCATGGATTCGGCAGCCCGGACCTTTCTTTCTGAGCGCCGGGCGGCACAGGGCAGCTGCAGGAAGGGGAGCAGCTGACGCCTCACAGCAGCGCCCCGTCCTGGCCTCCAGGTCTGGAGGCCCAGCGGTAAGAGCCCAAGCCTGGGATGTGCCTCAGTGAGAAGGGCTTGCAGGGACAGGAGAACCGGCTTTGTTTACTGCCCCCCAGCCCCCTGCCAGGCCGATCCTCTGAGAACCTGACGGACACTGGTGATGGCGCCGGGTCCCGGTTGTGCTGCACACGTCTATCTGAAAGATGGGTCAGCGCCAGCGTCTATGGTTCCAGGGGCCCAAGAGGTTGGTGGTGGTTCAGCACGGAGAGGCATGGCATGGCTCCAGGGGCCTGAGTGGCCAGGGCAATCTAGGGGGCCCCCTGGAGGAGGGGACATTTGAGCTAGGACCCATGGGAGGAGGAGGAGCCACTGTGTGTCGGGGAGGGTGGTGGTAGCAGGAAGAACACTGCAGGCCCTGGGGTGGCAAAGAGCCTGGAATGTTCCAGAAACCATAGATGGCAGGGGTCTGGCACAGCGCCCTCCCTTCTCTTTGTTGTTCACCAGTGTTGCTTTGATGAGCTCCTGCCGGGAGTCAGAGGTCAGCCGTCAGGGCGTCCTGTTTTCAGGACACCTTTGGCATTTGGTCCAGGTCACACCTCAGAGTCGGAGGTTCATTTGTCCAGGTCACGGGGCGTCTCCTCTGCAAGGCCTTCCTGGGTCACCCCTGATCCCTCAGCCCTCCAGAGGATTTACTTGCTTTCTGACATGCCTCTTCATGGGGCCAGGGAGCTCTGGGGGGTGAGTGAGGGCGGCCTGGTCTGGCCGATGTCAGGGTCCCAGACCTAGCACCCACAGGTGAGCGGCCCCTCTGCAAAGGTGCCACCCCCTGGGCCTCCTGCCTGCCAGCTCCAGAAGGGACTGGGCTGTGCCTGGGGCCAGCCCTCCTAGGGAGCCTTGAGGAAGCAGGGTCAGGGGAGTTGGCCCAGGGGTCATCTGTGCATGGCCCCGTCCTGCCAGCTATGGATGGGGGAGGGGTGTGACTCTGAGAGGGGGGCCAGTGCCTCAGCCGCCATAAGCAGGCCTGGCCACCCCTTCTCACCTAGAAGGCAGGTAGACTCAGCCGGGCGAGGCAGGATCCCTGGAGTCCCCAGGTCCCTCCTCATTGACACCCCCCCCCCCAGCTCTCCATGCCCTGCAGGGCTGTGGAGGCCTGGCCCTGCTTCTTTCGGCTCCACCTCCCTGGCTTCTTTCAGGCACCGGACTCGTGGCTTTTCTCTTATTTATGTCTTTTAACGGCCCCTGGCCACTCCCAGGGACCTGTGTCTCTGGCCTGTCCCAGGCCCCCAGTCAGTATTTGCTGAATATTGGGAAAGCACATTCCTCTCCTCCTTCCTTCCCCACGCCCGATTGTCCCACCTTAATTGGGAGGACTGTGCCTTGGTACCTGGACGTGGCGCTGCCGCCTGCGACGACAATTCTGAGCGTCTGTGCACTGGGCAGGAAGGCCTCAGCCACCAAGAACCCCTGGGTGAATGGCTCACTGCTGGCAAGCTCCGGCATTCCACCTCCTGTGGGCAAGTTCAAGGTCGCAGCCAGCAGCGGCCGACGGGGCCTTCCTGCCAGAGACTAGCTTGATGGGGGCGGGGGGAGCGAGGTCCGTGTCCTCACAACTCCGTGTTTGTGTGTGCACGCGTGTGTCCGCACTCTGAGTGTGTCCGTGTGTGTGAGTGTGCGGGTGCACTTTCTCTCTTCACCGTCACGCCAGCCTTCAGTGTGGCCGGTCTCTTTGCAAAGTCCGGGAAAGCATACTTTTTTGTGCAAGAATTGGTTTTTAATTTTTTTTATTTTTAAAGATTTTGCTTATTTATTTTTAGACAGAGGGGAAGGGAGAAAGAGAGGGAGAGAAACATCATTGTGGGGTTGCCTCTTGCATGCCCCCCACTGGAGACCTGGTCTGCAGCCCAGGCATGTGCCCTGACTGAGAATCGAACTGGCGACCCTTTGCTTTGCAGGCCGGTGCTCAGTCCACTGAGCCACACCAGCCAGGGCGAGGATTGGTTTCTTTATTGTAAGATTCATGTAAATAAAATGCAGCATTTTACCTGTTTTAAGGTGTGTGGTTCGGGGACACCAAGCACGTCCCCAGCGACCACCTTGTCTGTTTAGTCTCCGCAGGCTCCCGGCTCCCCAGGCGGAGACCCCGCCCCTGTAGGCGGGCACTCCTGCCGCACCCCTTGCCCTGGGCCACCACGGTCTGGTTTGGTCCCCATGGGAGCACCCGCCCTGGGTGTTTTGGAGGAGCGGCCTCAGACAAAACAGGCGGCCTTTCGTGCCGGCCTCTGTCGCGGGGCCTCATGTTTCCGGCTCTTGTCCACGCCACGGCAGGTGTCGGAATGTCACTGCTCGTGGGCTCCAGCACGTCTGGCCTACCCGCGTGTCCTTCGGTGGACAGCTGGGCTGTCTGGGCCCCTGTGACAAGGCCACCGTGAACCCGGACCTGCAGGCCTGCGACTCAGTCCCGCGGTCAGTTCTTCCGGATCCGCCGGGGAGGCTTTGTCAGTGGGGGACTGCAGACCGTTATCCACACGGCTACACAGAGCCACGCTTTTTAAGCAAAGGCAGAGGGGAATTCGAACCCGGTCCTCTGGGGGCAGGAGCCCGACCCCTTCCAGCTGCAGGCGCCCAGGCTGGGAGGATGTGAGTGAGTTTCTCTGAGCCTATGGACAGAGACAGGTGTGCGGGGCTGGGAGCAGACACCGGCAAGAGGGAGGCCGGAACTCGGTGGCAGTGGGGGATGCTTGCCCGACCACCCCGACCACCTTGGTGGCTGACACCCATGTCCCTGGCCAGGGCCAGTCCTGAGGTAGCCCAGTGCTAACTGCATGGTCTTACTCATCCCTGCAACTCCAGGAGGGGTACAGGGGCCGCCTTCAGGTACAGGGAGTAGACCGAGGCTCTGGGGCCGGCTGGCACGGGCGCCCTTGACCTCCATGTGGCCCAGCCCTCCATGGGGCCCCCAGACAAGGAGGAGGGCTCAGAGAGACAAGCACTAATCACACAGCTGAGGCTGGGGGGCAGGGGGAATGGGGCTCGGACGCAGGCCGGCCTGCCTGGCTCCCGGGCCCACTCTCCACGCCTATCTTCCTCATCAGTAAAATGGGCTGTCATAACCTCCACCCCTCCTGTCGGAGGGCCCACGAAAATTAAATAACGGGAACCCACAGAACCTCAGGTGTTTGCAGGCAGGTGGGAGTCCTGGTCCCGGGCACGCTTGTGGCTTCGGTTCGCGTGGGGGTGGGTGTGTAGGTGTCACCAAGAGTCCCTACCCGAGTCCCTCTCCTCTGGGCTTGCTTCCGACAGCTGCAGAATGGGGGTGAGGGGGATGCAGAGGGGACCTGCAGGACCCGAGGCCCCAGCTGCTGAGGGCGGCCACCGGACCCTCACCGCAGTCCTACCTCTGGTGGCCCAGTGGCACGTCGCAGAGTTGCTGACCGCTCCCTTCTGGTGTCTCCCCACCCCCTTTTTTTCCAGAGACACTTGTCGCCGGAGGAGTTCCAGGAAGTGTTTGGGATGAGCGTGGAGGAGTTCGACCGCCTGGCCCTCTGGAAGCGGAACGACCTGAAGAAGAAGGCCCTGCTCTTCTGACGGCTGCCCGGGCTCTGACGGCGGAACGTGCGGGCAGGGGCGGGGGTGCGGGCGCCTGCGGGAACCAAGCACAGCCCTCCTGTCGCACTGGCTCTGGCTTCTCTGTGTCCGCTGGGTGGGTGGGGCGCCGGGGAGGGCTGGGGGTGGGGCGGGAGTGGGTCCCACCCCAGGTTCACTGGCAGCTCTCCCACTGTCACAGTTCAGGGCCCCTCCCCACTGTGCTTGGCACCGGGGAGACACTGCAGAATGGCTGTCCCAGGGGGTGGAGGGACATTCAGACAACCACAGCCGCCTCCCTTGGCCTTTGGAGCACAGAGGTGGCTGGGACTTGAGATTTGAGTGACAGGCACTGACACAATCACTGGTGGGGGACACGGGGCTCCCCATGTCCCGGGCCCCGCCCACCTGCCCCTCCCAGCCCCAGAGGCGCAGCCTCACTGGTGATCCCGCAGCCCAGGGTGCCCGGGGCTGTGCCAAGCGTGGGGCGCACCAGTTTTGTGGCCGTCTGTGACCCAGTCTCTTTTTAGGGACGAATGTCAACCTGACAGGGTACTGTCCCCCAGGGCCCTCTGTGCACTGCGTCATTCTTTCAAATCCGCCCCTAGATGCCTAAATGATGCCTATAAAGTAACACAAAAGTTTTATTTTGTTAAAGAGCATAGCCTACTTAAACATGAGATGACACATGGAAAGAGTTTAGTTTTCCAGTCCCGCTGAGGGAGTGCTTCGGCCTTTCTGCCCCCGCGCCCCGTTCCACAGTGTGTGGTCTCGGTTCCCGGTGTGTCCCTCGGACGCGGGGCTCCTCGTCTGGCTTCCGTTCGCCTTCTTTCTTTCACACCAGTCAGTCACACGGGTGCCCCGAAAGGCAGGCCCTCCCCCCAGTGCTGTCTGTAGGAACAAGTGAACTGCGGACCCACGGTGATTCCCTCGCTGTCGTCTTCCAAGTCTTAAGGAGAAGGAAGTTCTGCCAACGAGCTGGAACCAAGGGTGTCCGTGTGCCGGTGTCCTCCCACCCCAAGTGGCTCCCACTCCACCTGGCTCCCACCCATGTGGCAGCCAGCCCGTCCCACCTCCCCGCAGTGGAACACGGACATGTGGCCCCAGGAGCGGTGCCTCGTGGCTGACCGGTCCTGAGACGGACACCAACCCCTGGGGACAGAGGATGGGACACCTCTCCCCTCTGCTAGGTCGGCAGTGCGCCCCGCTTGGTGGCGCTGGGTCTGTCCTTCGGTGTGGGTCAGGGTATGGTGCCCCTAACGGAGTGTTTGTGACGTGTGTCCAGAGGCTTACGAAAACCAGAAGGGGTCCCCCGCGTCTGTTCCCAGTGTCCTGTGGAGCTGTGTCTTGGTGTGTCCCGGACGTCCCTGCCTGTGAGTCAGCGTTACTCAGCTTCCTCCCAGCCCCGTGACACGCCGCGTCCCGTTGCGCACCCGGCTTCTTGCCAGCCCGGCTTGGCCGGGGAGGGGGGAACCTCGGCACCTAACGCGCTTCCTTCCGCGTAGCAACCTGAGCGTGAGCACCTGGCAACCCTGCGTTCTCCTCAGTGCCATGTCCTCCTGTCAGCCCAGGCCAGCCTGGAAAATAAAGGACGATGCACTGTGACTCCTGCAAGTGCAGAGCCGCTTCTTAGAAACACGCGCCATTTCTAGTGGGCCGGGCCCCTTCTGCTGACGCTGTGTGGGGAGGGGGTCTGCCCGGAGAGCTGGCGCTGGGTGCGTGCACAGAGTGGGCGATGCTGTTGGGGCTGGACCGGGGGTCGACCTTGGAACGCCACAGGCCTGGGACCCCTGCTTGCTCAGGAGCGCGTCTCTGCCGATGGCAGAGAGCTGACACCGGCCCCAGTCAGGCTGGGGGGACCGAGTGCCAACAAGGCTGCCCGCTGCCCGAAGGACGGCCGGAAGGAGGCCCCGAATGCACCATGGAGCTCAGGGAGGCTCTCAGAGAAGGTGCTGCCCGAACTAATTCATCATGTCTTGGCTTGGAAGTGACACTCGCCACCTTTAGGCCGGCCTATTGGCCAGCACTAGTCCCGTGACCCCACCCCACTTGCAGAGGAGTCTGGGGAACGCAGCACCCGTGTGACCCAGAGGAGAGAAGGCCAGCACCAGCGGTGAGCGGTCTCGGTTCTGCCGCCGAGGCTCCGCCTAGTCCCCACGTTCAACTCCCAGGGCCGCCGGTGGCTTTTGTAGGAATCATTTGGCACCCCAGCCTCCCTGGTTACCCCCCTCGGCAGGTGACCCAACCCTGCGCAGGGATGGGACCAAGGACAGCCCCAGAGCCCCTGGGATCCCCGCCCAGTGGCTTCACCCCCAGAGGTGCCTGGCTCTGTGCAGAGGTCTCCACCTGATCAGACGCGCAGGGAGTGGACAGGGAGGTGGGGGAGCCGGCACAGGCTGGGATGCACAGAGGGGGCGGAGAGAAGGGGGTCGGGCGAGGAGGAGGGTGAAGCGATGAGAGCCCTTCAGAGGGATTCAGCAGCGAAGGAGACCTGTGCCTCCCTGGTGACCTCCAGAGGCTGCGGGGCCAGGCTGAACTAGGTCTCACGAATCATAGAAACGTCCTTTTCTTGACAACCCCTTGAGATTATCTGATTGATCCTACAGGCCCTCACTGAGTGCCCACTATGTGCCAGGCAGTCTTTTGGGGTCTCAGGACACAACAGTGAATAAGACAGGTAAAGGTCTGGAATGTATCTTCTTTTGGGGGTGGGAGGAGCAGACAGACAATGCATGTTTCAGGGAAGATAAACTCTTCGGGAAAAGCTTTCTACGGGACAAGGGGAGAGTGACCACAGAGGGCGCTGTTGGGCATAGGCGACAGCTGAATCAGTCCTGGGGCGGGGGAAGTTCCTTCTTCCTTGGTGACAGGAAGGAAGGAGAAGAGGAAGACTGGGATGCTGCTTAGTTTGTGGCAAAAACAAGCAGCATAAAAGCAAGGTCTGGACCACTCATTTCAATCCCGAACTGCTTCCAGTGAAATAACTCATCCAGCACATGCTGTGGGCACCCGGTGCCACATGGGTGCCGGGAGGTAAACATGAGTCAAACGTACCCTCCCCAGAGGAGTTCGCTGTGGCAGGGGACAGACAGACCTGGGAACCCACGGGGACGGTGCAGGTGTTGAGTGTGACAACGTAGGGCAGGCTGTTCAGGCTGCAGTGACGTGGTGCAGGACGCAAGGATGCCGTCCGGGGAGAAGAGGCAGCTTTGCTCAGGCAGCTGAGCCGGGTCCCGAAGAGTGAGGGGGAGTGGGCCCGGTGGGGTGGGGCAGACTGCTCGGAGCGGACTGAACACAGGGCATGCAGCGGCGGTGGGTTTTGGAGGCGATGAGGGACTGACAGGTTTTTTTCTTTCCCTGTCAACATTCTAAGACTGTTGTCTCATTGCCTTTTGACTTCCATTTTCTTCTGTTAAGAATTCACCTGTAATTCTTAGTGCTATTTCCCAGAATATGGTGTTTGTTTTCTATGGCTGATTTTAAAATTAAAAAAAAATCATTGGTTTTCAGTGGCATGGTTGGCTGCCTCTGATATGCGCCCCGGGGTCCCCTCTTCCTGGTCCCCCCACCCTGCTGGGGTCCCCTCCCCTTGAGTGGGGGCGTGTGTACTGACTTGCTCCTGACACAAGGTGGGGACAGTGATGGGATGTTGCCACAAGAAGCCGGGGCTCCCGTCCCAGGTGTTCTGCTCTCCTTTCCTCTGTTGTGAGGTGCCTCACACAGGCTTCCCATAGGGGCTGACAGCCAGGGCGGAGCTGTGGCCTGCCGACAGCCACACGGGGGAGCCTGGGCACCGATGGTCCCAGGCGAGCCCTGCCAGGAGTCCCCCGCTGCCGCCGCGGTTGGACTGCAGCCCGGAGAGGCCCGGAGCCAGGGAAGCTGTGAGATAACACAGACAGCCATAAGGCAGCTGTAAGGTGTTTAAAGCCGCCAGGTTTGGGGGTGATTTGTCACAGAGCAGTGGGTGGCGACTGCAGCAGGCCTGTGGGCTGCCGTCGCATCTGTGAGGGACAACACATCCCACACGGGGCCTGGGTTTCCCGAGGGTTCGCCACTGCCGTGGATGCCGCGCTCCCTCTGGGCCCCAGCATCTAGGAAGGCTCTGTTGAAAATGCTGTGCCAAGGCAGCTTACCTGGCATATAGGCAGCTTATAATTTATTTTTTCCTCAGCAGACATGTCACTGGAGGCGTCTGGGGAGAGTATTGGGGTCGCCGAGCCACCAGCTTCTCCTTCACAGTATCGATCAAGGGCGGGAATTTCCACGGAGAGCACCGGGCTAGCTCTTCGAACAAAGCACCCTGATTGGTTCCCTCGAGTGAATGCCCCACACCGGCAGGGCTGTGCTGGTCCGCAGGGTTCGGGCTTGTTTTCTGGGGTTGCATGGGGTCCCTGGATTTCAGTTTCATGACGAGAAATGAGCTCCAATCAGAGCTGCAGTAGTTTCTCCTGAGTGGGTGGGTGGAGGTGAAGCCCAAATAGAACGAGTGCTGATGAGGAAGGCATGTCAGGCTGAGCTTACTAATTCACAACTATTTGTTGCATGTCTACATACTTCGTTAGGAGTTCTGTAAGCCACAGAAACATTGACTACTGACGGCTGAAACAAATAAAGGGTTTGTTTTTTCTACCTAGTGGAGAATCTGGAGGTAGGTGATTGGGGTGGCAGAATCTCTCTGATTCTGACTTTGCTCATGGCTGTGAGGTGGCTGCTGCAGCTCTGGCCATCGTGTGCGTGTTCAAGGCAGGAATTCCTGGTGCTGAGAAAAACAGTATTAGCTGAGTCTACTCCCTTCCCCAGGGAGCAAGCTGTTCCCTAGAAACCAGTGTGTGCTGGTCGGTCTTCGACTGCTGGCCTCCTGGAAGATGGGAGGAAGGAGGCCCGTCCTGGTCTGTTGCGGTGCCACGGATCAGGTGCCGCAATTGCTGTGGTGTAAATTCTCCCACGACATGTGATTTCAAGCTACCAACATGACGGTGCTGGCTGCGTGTAGGGGAAGAGACGCCAGCCACACGCCGTCTCCCAGCACGTCTATCACACGGTTACTAGGAGACGTAAAATTCTTCAGAGCACTGACCATTGTGAGCTATCATAAAATAATTAGGAAGTAATTTTGAGTGTTATCTTTGTTTTTAATATAATGTCTCATTGTAAGTTTATATAACTTCATTGTTAAGCAGTGACTGATTGTGTTTAACAACTGACTTGCAAAATTCCTGAACAATAAACACTGGGCTCCTGTGGCTTGGTCCAAATGGCTCCTGGCAGCGCTGCCAGGAACCGTCCCGCTGACTCCCTCCGCGTCTCCCCGGCCGGGACGTCACGTGACCGCCTCAGGCTGTCTAGGAAGCTGGGAAGCCAGAAGCCGCCTGGGTCCCGAGGTGGAGCGCGTCCAGGGGAGGGGGCTGGGAGGGGGCAAGGGCCCGCCAACTAGCCCACCAGCTGGTCTACCACCACCCAGTGGCCCCCCCAACCAGAACCAAACGGTGGGGGTGGGGGTCGGAGGACTGCAATGAGCAAGACAAACTCCATTTCTTTTCTCTTGGGGCTCTCATGCTAGGGGCAAGAGAGAGATTAAAAATTATTTTTTCTTTTATAGATTTTAGAGGGAGGGGTAGGGAGAGAAAAAGAGAGGGGGAGAAACATCAATGTGTGAGAGAAACATCGACCAGCTGCCTCTTGCATACGCCCTGACTGGGGACTGAACACACAACCCAGGCATGTGCTCTGACTGAGTTTCGAACCCATAACTCTTCGGCTGGCAGGATGACACTCACCCAACTGAGCCACACGGGCCAGGGCAGAGAGGGCTTTTAAACCACCCACATGATCGTAACGGACGCCAGAAGGAAAGCCGGAGTGCTATGGATGTGTGTGATGCGGAGGTCTAGGCTGTTGTGTCCATTTTTTATTGTCTCATAACAAACGACTACAAACATAGCAGCTGAGGGCAACGCACACATTTCTTATTTTAATGCTCACCTGAGGACATTTTCTCACTGCTTTTATAGAGAGAGGAAGGGAGAGAGAGACATCGACGTGTGAGGTAAACATCCATTGGTTGCCTCCTGTACGCACCTGCTGGGGATGGGACCTGCAATGTAGGTGTGTGCTCTGGCCGGGAATCGAACCTGCAGACTCTTGGTGTATGGGATGACACTCCAACCCACCCAGCAACCCGGCCCGGGCTGTGCATGCTTCTTGACTCAGTTTCTGTTAGTTGGAGTTTGGCACATTTTAGCGGCATCCTCTGCTCAGTGCACCCCAGGTTCCACTTAGCATGTCAGCAGCCTGCGCCCTGACCTGGAGCCTTGTCTAGGGTCAGATCTACTTCCACGCTCACTCAGGTTGATGCCAGAATTCAGTTCCAGGAGCCAGCGTGACTGGGGGCTGGCCCTAGGTCCTACAGACCCTGCACCAGGTGGGCTCTTCGCTGCCTGGCAGGTGACCTCTTCAAAGCCTGTAAGTAGACCCTCTCTGCCTCATCTGTTACGACGAATTCTTAGTGATGACAAGTTCTTAGTGATGTAACCTGACCATGGGAGTGACATCCCACCCCCTCTGCCACATTGTATTAGCTAGAAGCTGTCCCAGGTTCTGCCAGCACTTGTTCCGGGGGGGACCGTGCAAGGGCGTGACTCGTTGAGAGGGGTCATCTTAGGGTGTGTCTGCCGAAGAGCTGCACACGGTGCAGGAAGGCCTGGGAATAGTGACTGAACTCAGGTGAGACTCAAAGGCCAGGAGGAGCTGCCCAGACCCCTAGAGAGAAGTGCCAGGCAGAGGGTGGCTGTAAAGGGCTGAAGCCCGGGCAACCATCCTTGTAGTGATGGCTTCACTGCCTGAGATGTGTTCTCCTGACCTCTGAGTACGCCCCAACCACCCTGGGATCTGGCGGGGGAGAGAGGAGCGTGCCTTTTATGTTCATGCCGGAGTTAGTTTGGCAAATCAGATCGGAACCCAGGCTCTTGATGTGTGTGTTTGTGTGCGTGCAGGGGGACCAGTCACCGTCCACACCTTACACACCCTTCCTTCCTTCCTCTCTCTTTCCCCCATCCCTCCCCCTTCCCTTCCTTCTTCCTCTTCCCTCTCTTCCTCCCTCCCTCCCTTCATTTCCTTTCTCCCTCCCTTTCCTTCCTTCTTTCCCCCTCCTTCCCTCCCTTCCTTCCTCCCTCCCCCCCTTACCTCCAGTGTTCCTTGAGTGCCCACAGGGTCCCTGGCTCTGTTCTGTGTGCAGAGACAGAGGCAGACCCCTGCCTCGTCCTTGAGGGGTCACACTTCATGGGGGGTGGGTTCCATCACACAGAGAGCTGCAGCCACTGCTGTGACCAAGGTTGTGAGGAATGTGGGGGGTATGCAGAGGGAGCCCCACAGGGCTGGTGAGGGGGTGGGGAGGTGCTCACGGGTGATTTCGGAGTCAAACCTGAGCAGCTGTATGGAAGGGGAGGCCACTGACTGGGAAGGGGAGGAATGCGGAGGAGCAGGTTGGGGGTGCTGGATAAAGCATTTGTTTGGGCCTTAGGGGACTGAGACACCTCCTGGGTGTCCAGCTGGGGCTCCAGGAGAGGTCCAGCCTGGGAGTGCGGATCTGTCCGTCACTGCAGTGTGGTGTTTAATGCCTGGGAGAGTGTCCCCGGCGAGTAGGAGGACATCTGGCCTGAGCCATGGGTCACCTTAACACCCCAACACGCTGAGGTCAGACAGAGAAGCCCGGATCCTAGAGATTCCAGAAACCCAGTGCAGGGCCACATCATGCTGAGAGAGCAGATGTGACGATGAGGACAGAGGTTCAGGATGATAGGTGGAGGCCCTGGCTGGTGTAGCTCAGTAGACTGAGTTCGGGCTGCGGACCGAAGTGTCGCGGGTTTGATTCCCAGTCAGGGTACACACCTAGGTTGTGGGCCAGGTCCCCCATTGGGGGCCATGTGAGAGGCAACCACACATTGATATTTCTCCCTCCTTTCCCCTCTCTCTAAAAATAAATAAATAAAATCTTTAAAAAGAGATGATAGGTGGTGTTTGGGTTTATTGGGTGACAGACGAGGAAAGGAGGGCATTTCAGGGCGGAAGAGCACAACCACAAAGGGTCTGACAGGAGAGGGTGACAGCTGGCTGCTGGCTCCTTCTCCCAGCCTTAAAGTGACTCTGAGAGACCACTGGTCCTGCTTGAAAGAGCCCCTTTCTGGAGGGCGTGTTTGGCTCCACTCCACACGCACATCCTATGAGCTGTCCAGATGTTTGTTGAATGAATAAAAAAGAAAGGAGTGAATGGGACTCTGTGGCTTGGGGCAGCACATGATCTCGCTCCTTGGGCCCCAGTGTCCCTTTATGTACGGCAGATCGTGCCTATAAGCTTGAATTCTGGGTTTGGGATGAGCACGGCCTTCTGAGAAGATTCCTAGTGGGCTTTAGGCTCAGCCTCTCTGGGTGCAACTGGGGATAGGGCCGCTCCTCTGTCCAGCCTTCTCTCTGGACCCGCAGCCCCGCCCACGCAGCCCCGCCCCACCTCCCTTTGTTTCTCCGGACCACGCCCCCTCCCCACATCTCCCTCTCCATTGGTCGGGGGGCGGACCTTGAGCGCCGGGAGCCGCGAGGGGCGGGTCGGAGGGGAGTGGGTGGGGCGAGTGCGCTTGCGCGTTGCCCGAGTCCGGCTGTAGCCTCGCGCCGGCTGCTTCTCAGCTGAACCAGAGCCCGATCCTTAGACGGCGACGGGCTGAAGCGACGGTGGAGGCGACCCCGCCCCGGGGCTCCTTTGTTGCGGCGGCAGCGGCTCTGCAGGGTGCTGGGTTCCGCTCCTCTCGGCCCGGGCGCTGGCGGCCGGAGCGAGCGCTGCTGAGGCGGCGGCCTGAGGTGAGGCGCGGGCAGCAAGACGGACGAGGCGGGGGTCGCGGTCCGGACGGGGATTCCCGGGCGGGCGGGCGGGGGTTCCTGTCAGGGCAGGGTCACGGAGCGGGCGAGGTGCCCGGCCGGGCAGGCGTCCCGGGGCCGGAAGGGGGCCCGAGCCGGGCAAGGGTCCGGGCCCGAGGGTGGGGGACCTAGGTCCCCCGCGGGGGCAGGCGTCACTGAGCCGGGCGGAGGTCCCGGCGCCCGGCGGGGGCCCGGGCGGGAGGCTTCCCGGGCGGGGCGGGGGTTCCGGGCCTGGTGTGGCGCGTCCGAGGGGGGCGCCGCGGGGTCGCCGCTCGTGGTGGCGGCCGCCGCCCTGCGGGACAGCGGGGCTGGCCCGGGGACGGGGACTGGCCGGGCTGTGGCGAGCCCAGGCGCCCCGGATTGTTTAGGCCGCGGGGCGGCACCGCGGGGGCTCCGCGCCTGCTGCGTGCGACCCGGCTCGGACCCGCGCGCGGGGTCCCGGCCCCCTGACGTCCGCTCACCCGGGATGTGGCGGCCTCCCTGCGGCCGTGGAGCCCGGAAGCCCTGGGAACAGGGGGTTTGTCCCCGCGCTCCCCGCCCCCACCTCCTGCGGGGTGTGCCTGGTCGGTGTGTCTCGTGGAGGGTGACTGCGTGGACCCTCGATCGTGGGGGCTCTGGCCACCCTGCGAGGGGGAGGCTCTTTCTTGTTCCCCTCACAGGCCACTGAGTGTGTCACAGAGCGTGGCTTTGCGTGGACCCGTGCGCGTGGTGCCTTAGCTATCCTGTGAGTCGGGGGGCTTTGCCCTGTCCCCTCCCCTCGTGACTTGTGGGAGTGTGAACCCGGGCCTGCCCCCCACCCCAGCAACGTGTGTATGTGCGTGCGCACGCTGAGGGTCTTCATGTGGTGAGGGGTCCTTGTGAGAGCCCTGGTGCCCCTCGGGGTGTATAGGTCGGGCGCAGCGGGCGGCGTTGGGGGCGCAGCTGGGCTGGGTTGGACCGCCGACCCTCTGTTTAGTTACGGTCCGGTTTGCCCGAGGAGCAGGAGCCGGAGGGGCGCCGCAGGGCCGCACTCCCCGGGGCTGCCCCCCACCCCCACCCGCCGGGGCCCTCTCTGCAGGGTCCCCTTCCCCGGGGAGTGCCGGCCCTCACCGCGCACGCCCGGGGTGGCTCTCCAGGCCGCCGCGTTTCCTGCCCAGCGGCGCGAGGCTGGGCCAGCAGGAGCCGGCTCTGATTGGAGCGAGCCGAGCCCCTCTGCCCCGCGCTTCTTGATTCTTCCGTTAGGATTGGGAGGAAAAAAAAATCTGGTAAACCAGATTTAACTTTGCAGCCCTCAGCGCCCGGAGAGTGGAGGAAACGCTCCCAAGAATTTGGCGGGCTGGAAATGCGTTCGAAGGAGGAGCATCCACACCCACGGAAGGAGGCCGAGGCAGTTACAGCTGGAGGTCAGGTTTCTGAAAGGGACCTCGAGGGGAGGTTGCCGAAGGCAAGGGAAACTCGGATTTCAGCTTGCTGCCAAGGCCTGGCGGTGCCCTGCGGGCCCTGGGTCCCTCAGCCACTGAAATAGAGAGGAATGTTCACTGACCTTTCCAGCAAACTTGCAAAAACACCTATCGTGGGACCAGGGACGGTTCTCTTCCCTGACGGATGCAGAGTCAAGGCCAGGCCTTTCCTTTCAGGAGCATTCTGGTCTAATGCGGAAGTCTGGACCAAGGAGCAGGCAGGCCCTTCATGACCCCCGCGGGGCATTCTTCCCATCCCCCCACCCCCAGCTCCAGCCACTGCAGCGCCCTCACTGGTTCTTAAGGTCTCAGCTGGGGTGGCACCTTCCCTCTGAAGCCTTCCCTGAGGTCCTATGTCCTGCCCTCTGAGAGCCATGGCCTCTAAGGACAGATGCTTAGCTACAGGCACAGCTCAGTCGGTGCTCTGACGCAGGTGGGCACAGTTTGTGCCCAGAGGCCAGAGGAGGCAGCACTAGGTGGGAGACCCTTGTCCTGTACTGCGCGCTCAAACATTCGTTTGGCCAAAAAGTCCTTATGGCTTTTTCTGTAAACTAAAAGACACCTTTTTCATTTTCACCAATAACTCGATTGATTTGGATATTTTGAGTATATCGCCTTTCTCTCGTGGTGTGACATTTATTGTTCTCTATTAATGTCTCGATTTGATCACTGTCACCTTCAATGGTCTGCCCGACTGTGGAGCATTGCCCAGTGAGAAATCTCCAGCACAAAACTTTGCAAACCACTTCTGACATGTTCCATCAGTCACAGCACCTTCTCTGCACACTACACAAAAATTTTTTTTGCATTTCAGTTGCATTTTCACCTTTCTTGAAATAATAACACATAATATACCAAAAATGTTGCATATTTACTTTCACCTTCAGTATTAAAATTGCTACACCACAGTGCACCAATTTTGATGATGGTTTTTAAATGCATGCTGACAGCTGTCACAGTGCAGTCTAACGAATTGTTTCAAATGAAGTTAAAGGCAACTGAATGTTCTAGAGCCGTCATGCAGAACACACTTTTTAGCCAACCCCAGAGTTTTTGTGGTTTAGAATCTGTAGTTCCTCAACTCTCCAGAGGGTTTTTAGGTTAATATTTGTTATTACTTCCCAGTGTCTGTTGCACAGTGGAGAGTACTTGATTGGAATGTATTGGATCTAATTCTGGCCCTGGAATGAAGTTGCTCTGTCCCTGCAAAGCCACCGCTCCTGGCTTTCAGGTTCCTCACTGCCTAGGGTCTGAAACTCGGTAAGAATCTCTCAGCCCTAACCGTTTCAGTCTTTCCACCCAACGTGGTGGAGGCGAGTTCTCTTGGTGACTGACACCGGTCCGAATAATGGGGATCTTTGAACGTGTACATTCTGAAGTGAACGTTGTTTTTCCTCTTCCTGAAGCGTGTGTACCTTGTCTCAGTGACGGCCAGGGTCTGGCGTCAGTGGCGGGAGCTTGCACAACTTCTTTCTGTTGTCTTACATAGTCTTCAAAATTGAGACTCTCTGGCAACATCTGCACTATAGGTAATTGGTCGGGTGGGTGTAGTAATGAGATCGTCGGGTGCAGAGCTTCGGCCTTTTGTGTGTCGTGTGAAGTCAGCCCACTGTAGCTTCTGTATGTCCCAGGCTCTAACAGAGATTTTAATGTGGGGAGTCTGAAATACGTGGGACTTTGGGGGTGCCCTGAGGAGGTATATGTGGTTTTGTGTAATGGTTTAAAACATAGTTTAAAATGATTAATTGCAAAAAATGCATCCTATGTTAAATGACTTATAAGAAAGCTCCAATTCTAAGCAATATAGTAATTAACCCTTTAAGATGCTCATGTCTCCTCCAGTGGACCCATTTGGTAGGTGGCTTTCTCAGATGGCATGAATGTGCCTGCTGCTCCTGTCGGGTGATGACAGGCATAAGAGACAGGCGGCTGTCAGGCGGCGGTGCCACCGACTCACAGTTTTCACTTAACTCCACCAGGCGTTTGTCTTCTCTGGATTTGAAAAAAAAAAAGCGCTTTGTTTCATGCTCCACGTGGCTTGTTTAGTCAGGGATCTTATTCTAGGAGGGGTCCTCAGAAACAGCTGGATTTTCTTTGCGGTTTTCTTAGATTGCTTACTCTGATGTTCTCACGGAAGCTTAACTAGTGAATGCTCGTCCCGTGTTCAGAGTGTATTTGGTCCGTGGCCTGGCATTTACGTGGACGAAGTGACGAGGGGTCTTTCCTGGATGAGAGTGCGGATGAGGAAGGTGGAGTTCGAAGGCCACATTCAAAGCTGTCCTCTTGTTCTTCACTGAAGGAAGAGAGCACTGCACTGTTCCCGGGGGCCCGGGCGGGGAGCCGGATTCAGCCGCTGTAAAGAACCACCCCCACTTTCCCTTGAAAATGAGAAGTTTAGAGATAAAATTTTCTTAGACTGTAAGTCAAAGAAGGTGTCTTTCTGTTAACCACCCATCAGCTGTCCATATCACCTACCAAATGGTTTTTTACTTCCTCTTTTCCATTTCAAAGTCCTTACTATGTGTGTGAATGTTAGGCCACCTTGAAAGCTTTCTGGGTGTTGAGAAGATGTAACCGTACTTCGCATGGTAGAGCCAACTTGCTTCAGTGCTTCCGGTCGGGAGACTTGGACTGGAGAGACACTGGGCCCTAGTGAGGCTTTGCCTAAGTCCAGGCACTTCTCTGAGCTTTGGTTCCTGGTCTGTGAGTGGGATTGTTACTGATGCCTGTTAGTAACATCCAGCTCAAGAGTTTGCTCTGAGGGTGAGATGAAATCACGAATGTAGTGAGATTTGGTAAGTTGCAAAATATTATGTTGTCAAGGAGCTTTAAAAAATGCTTCATTAAGAATTTAGTGAATTTGGTGGGTTTTCTTTAAGATTCCAAATGTTTAATATGCAGATCTTGCATTGGAGGTGTGTTAGGCAACTTCATTTAGGCTCATTTTTCTCTTTTTAATTGTTTGATAGTTTAGTATTTTGGGGAAACATAGAATTCAACTTTCAGTTACTGTTCATGTTTTGTAAACAAGGCTAGTGAATGTACAGTTCAGCCTCCAGCAGTCTCTTCAGTTATTTCTTTAATGAAGCATATTTTCTTGACACTTCAGTTCCAAACTGACCTTTCTGGAGGTTGGGAAAGGCAGTAGGTGGCCCAAGGTCAAGGTCAGTAAATCGGTCCTGGTCTCATTTGAAATTCCCAGAAGGCAGCCAGCATCCCTGCACCCTGATGTCTCCTCGGGGCTCTGCTCCTCTCCACACCAGGTGCCGTTTCTGGGGAGCGTCTCCCCCCCCCCGCCAGGCTGCCCCGCCTTTCTTCCTCTGCTGATGGCCTTCTCTTCCTGCCACTGACCTTACGAGCCTCTGCTCCCCAGGCTGGCAGTGGGAGGGAGGAGAGGCCCAGAGCACAGGCGCCAGCCCTCCAGGACTGTGCATTTTGTAGATGGGCCTCTATGCAGATCACCTGTGATGCGTTCGTACACAAGCACCGTGCTCCTCCGTGCGGACGGACATACAGAGGAGGGACTCGGGGTGAGGGGCTGGGCTCACCGTCTGGCGGGAAAAGCAGACCCAGATGGGACTTTAGGGCAGTGTCGTGAGCACTGCCACAGGTCTGCAGGGGCACTTGGGGGCTGGTGCAGCCTTCTCCTCCATGCTTTTGAGGGTCTGCCAGGCAGGTTGGCCATCGGGAGGCGTGTAAGCAAAGGAGGGGCAGTGAGTTTCCCGAAACCTAACATATGTAGGTGTTCTGAGCAATTTGGAATTCCCCAGGCTGCCTTTATCAGACCCAGTCTCACTCTGCTGTTTTGGGTGAGATGTGGCCACCCTGCTTTCTGATGCAGGAAGCCAGCTGCTTCTCGTCGACTGTCAGCCCTGGGACAGGTGTTCCAAGGGGTGTTTTCATGTGTATGTCACTGTATGAGTTTCCGGTTGCTTCTGTGACAAATTGCCACAAATGTAGTGACCTAAAACAACACAGGACTGTGATCTCACAGTTCTGTAGGTTAGAAGTCTGACTTGGGTCTCCCAGGGTAAAGGACAAGGTGTGGGCAGGGCCGGCCGCCTGGGCTGCGCACGGGTCCTGGCAGGCAGTCGTAGAGGCCTGTTCTCGTGCTGGCTGTCAGCTGGGGGCCCTCAGCTCTGAGAGCCCCTCTGTGGTCCTTGCCCATGAGCCCCGGACCCCAGGCCCATTGAGGTCCCTCGGCCTCTGCTCCCATGCTCTGCCTTCCCCATCTGCCGTATTTCTTCTACTTGGAGAAAATTCTCTGTGCGTAAGGGCTCCTGTGCTCAGGCTGGACCCGCCTCTGTAACCCTATGCGAGGCCTGGCGAAGGCCTTTTGCTCTGTGTTGTGACAGAGCCACAGGTTCCAGGCCTTCAGCATGGACACCTTTGGGGGCCACCATCCTGCCTTCCACAATTGCCAGGTCCACTTATAACCACACCCAGTGGTGTTGTCACTGTTACCCTCAGGTGGCAAATGAATACACCAAGCCACCGACGTTTTCAGCAAATTGGACGAACCCTCGAGATCCCTATTAAATGACAAAACTGTTCACCTGACCTGCTCCTGTGCTGATTTACAGCTCAAGGGGTTTATAGCAATGAGGTGGGGCAGTCAGAAGCAGAGCTGGATTTTGTGGTTTTGAGCCTTTAAGTCATCCACCCTGATCAGAGAAGTTTGGCCAAGAAGTTGTGAGAAGAGTTTTTAGAAAAAACACCCCTGTGGGGAGGTAGGGGCATCGCCTTTGCAAGGGCTGCATGAAGGGCTCTTTCTTCCCGGGGTGGAGAGGGCGTGACTTCATGTCCGTTTCTAGAGTGGAAACAGCTGAGTCAACCCAACAGGGACTCTCGTTCCTGAGTTCCTGAGTGTGGGGGACTGCTTCAAGGCCGAAGCAAAGCCCAATAAACAGTCTTTTCATCTGCAGCGAGGGGTGAGGTATGAC